GGGGGGGGGGGGGAGGGAACAAATCGTAAAGACCCGAAGGGGCATACGAGAAGAAAAAAAAAATTAGTTGAATCTTCAGTTGGTCTGATCAACTGTAAAAGATATTTGGATATCCTTAATTAATTTTAGAGAGAATCATGAGGGATAATCACGTCTATTGATTTCTGTGTCATGATTTTTCAAGATCCCACGGGACATTATCCAGAAGAAGAAACTCCACGTGTCTTCATCAGCCTTAAATCATACACCAGGACCTTTGACCCAGTTTACAGATGATGAGATTATGATGAAAGAGACTGGTAATTGTCATAATGTTTTTCATTTTCTGATGATCATTGCAAAATAATTGTGACATGTTGTTTATCAGTTGCTAAATTGGCGAGGGAGGAAATAGCACCACTAGTCAAGAAGATGGAGAAGGAGGGGAGGATTGATGATGGATTATTGAAGAAGCTATTTGAGAACGGGGTAATGTGCTGAAACCACGAAGTGTTTAGTTATCACTGATTTGGGGGAAGAGGAGAATCCTTCTGTATATAATTTAGAACAATCGGAGAATGTACCGAAACGTTTTCTAGGGATCAAAGGCTTGCTGCCGCCAATTTCCTTCATTATAACTGGGGCAAAACTCTGAAGATTTCATCACTTGTGCGCAAACCGAAATTTTACGCACGCTCCGGGTGCGCAAAACCCGACTTTGCAGACATTGTGATGAAAAATAGAGTTCGACAGTCGTGGGGAAAGTGCTCTTTGACCCTTGGGTAGTACTTGCCTCCGGCGAGCTATACACACCTCCCATCGGCCAACAATAGTATATTTTTATACGAACGCGTAATGGTATATTTCGATACTAGTGCTTAAGGGGAAACGGAACCCCTGCGTTAAAATGAATCTTTAGAATTGTGTTTTCTCCTGCAATTATTATTTTTTATCCATTAAACTACTTCATTGACTCAACAATGTCATAATCGAGTCGATAAAGTAATTTCATAGATAGAATAATTCAAGGATAATTCACAACTGATTTTTCTCGCCGATAGATGATTGATAATTTGTATTAATCGATCAACTTTTCATATCAGTTAATGGGAATGGAGATTCCAAGTGAACTCGGTGGAGCCGGATGTAGCTTCCTGACGACAATTTTGACAGTTGAGGAAGTAGCTAAAGTTGACGGGGCCGTAGCTGCTCTCGTGGACATTCACAACACTTTAGTTAATTCTCTTACCATTAAAGTTGGTACTGAGGCACAAAAGGCTAAATATCTGCCGAAACTGGCGCAAGAATTTGTAAGTAGCCGATAGGAGAAAATATTAATAGAAAAAAATGAAGATTTGTGTCGATTCCTACAAATGTTGAAATGTAAAATGATGTATTAGTATAGAAAATATTGAAGAGGAAAACCCATTCGTCTGAATTTCAATCGAAATTCTATTAAAAATCCATTGGAAATTAGTTTTCAATGAATATCTCGGAATCTAAAACAGCTAGCAAAATTTTCGTTTTTTGTAGAGCGAATTGAGAGGTACAAAAAAGGTAATAACAAAAATTTCACTATCTCCCTTGCATTCGGAGATATTCCTCAAAAACTCTGCGAACCGTTTGACCGCTTCGCTATGAAAATTATAACATCATCGTGATTTATGTGTATTTATCTTTCTCCATGCGGAGGAAAATGCGGTAGAAAATGCGGAGAAAGTTATCGCTCTGTGCTCTCCTCTTGTATTAATAAAAGATTAATTAATAATGATGATTGTAATTTCCGATAAGGAACAAAGCAGTTAAATAATGAAATTAATCTACAGGCTGGGAGTTTTTGTCTCACAGAGCCAGGCGCAGGTTCAGACGCCTTTTCCCTCAAAACCGAAGCCAAGAAGGACGGATCTCACTACATAATCAACGGCACTAAAATGTGGATCTCCAACTCTGACATCGCTGGAGTTTTCATCGTCTTCGCCAATGCAAACCCATCAGCGGTAATTTTTTCTTATTTGTGAAAACTGCCTGACCTCGATCGAACTTATCTTATCACAGAGATTTATTGTGGATTGAAATAAGGCTGGAGGCTCGATTGACAGAGTGCGCTAATTCATTTGAGAAACACATAACGATAAAAGCGTATCTATAACGATTATTACAAAAATTCGGGGGAATGAGGAAATTGTGGAATTGAATTATTGAATTTAATTCAATTCAATTATTGAATTATTGAATTCAATTGAATTGAATTATTGAATTGAATTAAATTCAATAATTCAATTCCGAATTGAAAAATTCGGGGAAATGAGGAAATTAAAGTGTTATTGAATTAAATTCAATATTAAATATTGAATATTATATGAAATTAAATATTAACAATATTAAATTAGATTCAATAATTCAATTTCGAATTAAGAAATTCGGGGGAATGAGGAAATTGTGGAATTGAATTATTGAATTGAATTAAATTCAATAATTCAATTCCGAATTAAAAAATTCGGGGAAATGAGGGAATTAAAGTGTTATTGAATTAAATTCAATATTAAATATTATATGAAATTAAATATTAGCAATATTAAATTAGATTCAATAATTAAATTTCGAATTAAGAAATTCGGGGGAATGAGGAAATTATGGAATTGAATTATTGAATTCAATTGGATTTTCAATTCATCCATGAAAATTATTCGCAGGGATACAGGGGAATTACGACTTTCCTCGTTGACAGAGAAATGCCAGGAGTTACTGTAGCTAAACCTGAAGACAAACTCGGTATAAAGGCATCGGGGACCTGCATGGTGCACTTTGAAAACGTGAGGGTGCCTGAAGAGAACATTCTGGGGGAGTTTGGACAGGGGTACAAGTATGCAGCTGGGTTCCTCAACGAGGGAAGGATAGGCATCGGTGCACAGATGATTGGAATTGCTCAGGGTGCCCTTGATGCCACGATTCCTTATACTTTGGAGAGGAAACAGTTTGGAAAGGATATTTTCTCATTTCAGGTGAAATCTCAGTAATATTATTCATTAAGGAATTCGTAAAACTGCACTGTTTAATTCCACTTTATACCGTCACCGATCTATTCGGCTATAATTTAACTCTATCTATAGGTATTACTATAGATGACTATAGCTGTAAATAGTTATACATAACAATAACTATTCAGAACTATGACTATAAATATTTAAGTATACTTACAAATATTGATAACTAAAATTATTTCTATAGCTATAAGTATAGCTAATGAAGTTCTTACTAAAAAACACAGAACTATAAAAGAAAGGAAAACTGATTAGTGATGATTTGGAATGAAAAAAAATAACAAAAATGAAAAAAAAAAGATGAATTAACTATCAAAATCCATCAAATCATTTTCATTTAAACTGAAAATTTGAAATTTGCCAATGAATTTAAATAATTTCGATAATTTACACATTATAACAACAGGGATTCATGAAGAATAAATGTATTTTTTATATAGAAAAAAAACATTGTTTTTTTTTTGTATAGAAAAAAAAAATATAAAGCCTAATGGGTATATATTCATAACGTACAGAGTACAGTTTCACAGAGGAAAATCAAAAGGTGTTGATGTGACAGGTGTCGCTTTGACGAAAAAAAAAATTAATCAAATTTTCAATAGAATTCGAATCGAATTTAATTCGCGAATATAAGTGAGGAAATGAAGAAATCCATTCTGATTCCAGTCGATGCAACACCAAATAGCTCAGGTAGTCACCGAGCTCGAGGCAGCAAGACTCCTGGTGTACAACGCAGCTCGAAAAGTAGAGGCAAAACAAGAATTCACGAAAGACGCAGCGATGGCCAAGCTTGTAGCCTCAGGTACCCACTCACAATTAATTCAATCCCTTGAATTGTTATGAATCATTTATTCCTCCCCCACAGAGACTGCCCTCAAGGTGACAGCCAAGTGCATAGATTTCATGGGAGGCGTTGGATACACGACAGACTTCCCCCAGGAGAAGTACTTCAGGGACTGCAAAATTGGTACAATCTACGAGGGCACCAGCAACATGCAGTTATCAACCATCGCAAAATACATCAGGAAGGAGTATTCATGATTCCGAGCGTTCTATTAGTTTTTCAATCCATTTTTTTATGAAATATTTTATATGAACTGGGAGATAAAGTTGTTTTTTACGTAATTTATTGAATTTTTTTCATTCTCTTGATCAAGTCGATTTTTTTTATTCTTTCGTTAATTTCATTATGAGATATATCTCAGATCCATTTTTTACATGAGTATTTTATGAAAAAATGCCTAGAGATGAAAAAATCGAGGGATTTTTACTTCTCTGGACAAATTATTTCGCTAAAATTTTTTAAAATTAATCCTTTTTCCTGAATCCTCAGCCTGAATTTCCCTTTTCCTCGAACGTTTTGATAAAAGACGAGACCTAATTTTTTATTTTTACACGCATGAAAAAATAAAAAATTCAATTGGAATCCTATTGAAAAATTCTGCTTGTTTTTTTGGGCTGATTATATTGCATATTTGATAGGATAAAGTCAATATATTTTGAATTTCTGTTCGAATTTGTCTCTTGAGATTTTTTCTATTAGAATTCCAACAGAATTTGCTAGCGAATTCGCTACATTTTCTATTGAATTTTTTCATCCTTGAAATACAGTGAAAAAAAAGAAGAAAAAACTGAAAATTGCATACTAAACTCATCATATCTTTAATACAAATAATACCTCATCTACGATTACAAATCCAACTCACAATAGATAACTGTTTAATTCACTTGGGATCATGTGGAAGCTTGAACCCAACTAAATCAGCCGTCTCCCTGACGCTCCTCTCCCCAGCCCCAGCATACTCCGTATTAATCTGTTTGTAACTCCTCAACGACGCCAAATAACAGTTGTACGTCTCCGCCAAGTGCTCCATCTCCTCCCGAGCCTTGCAGAGAGTCTCCGACGTCTCCCTGTGCGCCCTGGCCTGCTCCATCACATACTGCACAGCAATATTATCCTTGATCTTCCCCTCACTCGATATCGCCCTAATCTCCCTCAGCAGGGACCGAATCATCTTCAAATTGGAGTTCATTCTCACAATTCTCTGAAATCGTTCCAATACAAAAGTAAACCTTAATAGTACTCCTCCGACTCTGCCTCCTACGGTCCTGGATCAATAAAAAATTTCTTTGGATATTCTCCTCGAGCTTTCAATAGAAAAAATAATAATTCATAAATTCCCACTGCTCCCACAATTACTGAATCTCTCCGAGTACAAAATTCTCCCTCAATCTATTCAAGTCTCTCTCAAAATTCTCCTGATTGAAGGGGGGACTCCCAATGTCCTCCCAGAACTCCTGCGTCACCCTGTTAAGTTTCTCAGTCGTGAAAACATGAATGGAAGTCGAGTTAAAAGCTTCTCGCGCCGAATCAAAGTCCCCTTCTAACTTAAACTCAGTGACGTAGGGGTGAATTCTCTTGATCAACTCGACCGAGTCCCTGAGGCCTGCATCAGCCGCAATGCCATCACGAATTTCCCCGAATGAATTTGTCACGAGAATGCAATTGCTCAGTCCTCTACCCCAATTGGCGTGAATGCAGTTGGCAATGATGCCTTGAAAACAGTGTGGCATGTAGAACAGAGTCAAATCATTTCCCACCTTTCGCTTGCCCTCCTCATTGATCTCAATCATGGAAAGACCAAGTGTCTTGAGTACCTCGATCTCTTTGGAAAAAAAAACGGGATCATAGAGGTGCACGTGACTCCTGTATCGTGATTTTATTGTCAGAAGGGCGGCCAGCTGATACTTGGCACTACGGCTCTCAGAGAAATTTCCCAGCCCGTAACAGACTATTTCCGGTATGGCAGTGACGTCGAGCAGGCTCAGGGACTCTGCCAAGCCGTTGTACAATATTTGACGGTATGGGGAGTTCCTTAGGGCTATCACAGCGTCTAAAACTTCACTGGAAGAAATTCGGGGCAGTTATTTCGAGGTTAGGGCGCAGTGTTTTGGAGTTGTCTCGGGGGATTGGGGGTTTGAGGGCGGGTGGTACTCACCGGAGGAGGTGCTCGGTGTTTATCTCGGGCTCTCGGGGGTTCAGGGCGCGATTCAGGACGTGATTCACGAATTGACGTCTTGTGTGCCTTCTACGTCGTGTTACGAGCTGAAACTCGTCGAGTCCTGGCATGATTTTGCGACTACGGAGGGGAGGGGGTAGATAGACACGTAACTTCTGAACGCGATAAGCAGATATTTGTAAAAGAATCTAGATGTTAAGTTGGGCGAGCCCATGTTTCAAAAACTAGTTTTTTTAATTCTTGAATAATTCTATCTGCAACTTTGCTAACTATATCTGCGTATTTGCTGCGATTTTTTCCGGAAAATTTGGAGGTAATTCCAATATATGCCATCCTCCTGTCGTCAGATTGACGGCAAATTGTCGACAATTTTATGGAACTGGAAAATTTAAATTTGCTGATACATTTCAGTGCATCGGCAACTTTTAAAAACTCCAGGAGAATAATGCAAAAGACATGAAAGTAGAGCATTAATAACGCTTTTTATGAATAACTCCGAATGAAAATAACAAAATAAAAAAAACATGCGGGGCGCAACAATAAATTTGCAAATATCGCATCCAAAGTAAGCAACATCGAGGCTCGATAACACGAGATTTGACCATGAGGAAATAAATAATGAGGAAATATAAGTGTGCATTCACAACACAACAATATATAATAAATAATCAGCCATTTAAAGCGCAACATTCGAACAAAGAATTTTACTTTTTAGACGTTTTTTCTGAACCGATTATTATGAATAAGACTAGACTACCAATTGAGCGCAAAATCAACCACAATTCCAGTTTCTATTCGGATTAACTTCACTTCCGACTTTATTCCAGATTTTAATCCTAAAAATTTAAGTCATGTTCAAACTTTTTGTTATTTGTGATTATCTTTTTTTGTATAAATTAAATAGTTGTAGAAATAATTAGACAATTATGAACGAAAGAGGTTTATAGAGATTTTGATTCTCCTATTTTCTATTTTATTTATAGTATCTCATTAAAGAATTTATATAAAATAATTTAAGTCAAGGAATTTCCATGGAAATAATTTCAATAGAATGCGAAATCTACTAATTGTTTTAAATAAATCCAACAAAACGAACGAATAAATAAAATTTTTAATAGAATTCTAAAAAAACAACATTCTGGAAAATAATAAAAGCTAAAAAAGCTCTCATTTAAAAAAAAAACAAAGAAAATAATTAATTTCCGTTTAATCCAGTTACGAAATCGAGCGGTTAAAAATGTTTAGGATACGATTGATGTCAGCTACTTTGTATTTGTAATCATATCCGTAGGAAATGCGAGAGGGGTGTTAGAATTAATTATTGCCTAATGAGACATGCGACACGAGTTTCAAGGTTTCGTTGGTCACCTGTTAATAGTCATTACACCGAGAGTCAGATGTTCCTTCGATCTTCAGGGATCATTATTAAGCGTTGGAACGTTGGAAAGCGATGCAGTTGCTTTTCGATTGTCCAAACTTTCACATTAAATTCACACGCGAGAGAAAGCAGTTGAATTTCGGCGCGACTGGCTCAGCCAATAAACTAGACATCTTCCCGGAATCATGAATTTTCAACATGGCGTTGGCCACAACAGAGAGCCCCGTCAAATCGCCAGCTAATGTATTATTGTTGTTCACTCGTTATCAATGTTTTTGGGGAATGAAAATACGACAGTAGTGAGGGACACGAATTGTCGATTGCGCATAAAAAATGGGTAATTACTGGCATCTCAAACGGTCGATGGGGCCATTATCAAAGTAAGTGGAGCTAATGAAGCATGACAGTAAAATTAACAATGTTTGACATTCGAAAGATATCGAATGACTTCTGAAAATTCTGGTGACAATAATTCAATGAAAATTCAATGGATCAAGAAATTTCTCCTGTCGTTTTTATGACATTCTACTTTTTCCAGCATTTGAATGACGATGACGAGGCGTTGATCGTCGTAACAGTGATGACAATCAATTGACGTGAGAGATCAAAATCAAGGGTATGTACAAAACAAACGAATGAGGTAACAAGTCAGGGGGGAAGTGGTAAAACGAGATCATTCAATTTTTGAATTTTTCATTCAATTTCGGAGAATTCGAAATTTTCGGAGATTTTTTTTTGACTCATTTTTTTTTTTATGAAAACAAGTCGTCGTGATGATTTTTCTTTCTCTATTGAATTCTGAAATATTTATTAAAATCAAATTTGAGTTTTTTTGTCCGGTTGGAAATAATCGGATTTGCCTTCAAGTTCATCGGTTTTTTATGCATAAACGAATCTTTGAAGCTTGTCCAAGTACTTTTATCATTTATCAATCTTTGGAATCCTTTTTAACGTTTGTAGCTAAATATCGAAGCTTCTATTCAAGCTCTATTTCACTCCAGAGTGGCGAATATTTTAGAATGATGTTATTATTGGAATTTTGAAAGTTTAAATTGAATTCTGGATTTTAAGCTGCTAAGAAGCATGTGAAAAGTCTAAGAAAGAAATGGCAAAGTCTGTATTTTGAAAAACATTTGTAAACAATCAATTTTTCTCCTAAAAATCATTTTTCTGGAAATCACGAAAACTTGTCCATAGTCAGAGTTTCACCAGAAATGAATGCAATGTCGAAAAATGAGGTTTCAAAAATTTACACAATTGCTCGGTCTTATTTCCATGCATCAACAAATCTTTTAAGCATATCTTTGTATCGGATCAAACCTATAGAAATCGTATAGAAATAATTTGTAGAAAAAAAAGTATAGAAATATCCAAATATCATATACGAAAATGCCATAGAAATTCTATACGCAATCCGTGTAGAAAATTTCTGTACGATGTTTTCACACATGAATCGTTCTTCAGCAATTTTATAAACGTAGAAATGAACTTGAAGTGAAAGAATTCTTTGTGATAGCCCAACATTTGTTACGCCATATTTTTCAATACACGTCAAAACGAGCTCTGGCCTTATCCTCATCAAAAACTGGTTGTTTCACTCAACCTTGCATAAAATTTGGCGACACTTGATTCCCAAAAAAGAGACTCATCGAATTCTCGTTTTCCCATTTCTCAACTTAACTAAAATCAACCTTCCTAAACTCGCCAAAGCCTAAACCCCAAAATAAAAAGCCTCCAATCTCAATTAACCCCCAAAAATGATCCCCCAGGTCTCTCCCCCGACTTCCCCGGGAGCCTTCCCCAAAAAAATGGAAGACTACACCCCGGTGGAGGAGGACTTCCCCGGTCGTTTGCTCCACCAGGCAGCCCTGTGGGACAACGCCGAGCTCCTGGAGGACCTCCTCCGAGGCGATCACTCCCAATACATAAACAGCCAAGACTCGTGGGGTCGCACAGCGCTCCACGCCGCGGCGATAACCGAGAACTCGCGTTGCTTAGTAGTCCTCCTCTCGAACGGCGCGAACCCTAACATTCCCTGCGGCCCTCGAGGTCAGCATCGCACAGCCCTCCACATCTGTACCGATCACGGTCACAGTGAGAACATCACAATGCTCCTGGAGCACAACGTGAACCTCTCTGTCCGCGACAGCAACGGTTTGACCCCGCAGGACATCGCGGCCAAGAATAGCGATAAGAAATCCATAGCCCTCCTAACCGAAGCCTCCGAAAAGTACGAACTCCTCCGGTTGGCGACCCACGCGTCCCTCCGAGCAGCTTGTCTGCAGAGTGACACAATATCCGCGAGAACCATAATCCAAAGTTCCTCCGAACCCCTCGAAACCATCGTAAACATGGCGCCAAACGGTGCAAACACCCTCCTCTTCATCGCCTGCGAAATGGGTCACAAAGACATCGTGCGCCTGTTGTTAGACCACGGAGCTGACTGTCGAAGCCACCCAATGACCAAATACACGCCCTTGTACATCGCTTGCTACAACGGAAAGCTGGAGATTGTCGATCTCCTCCTTCGTCACTTTCCCAAGCAAATTCAGTCCCTGACGGTCGAACGCTGGCTGCCCATCCACGCGGCGACGATCAACGGTCACTCGTCTGTCGTAGACCTTCTTCTAAGGTTCGAGTACCCCCAGCACTTGTGTCTAAGGTTCAAAGATCCCTCCGGGGAGTTCGAGTACGACATGCCCTTCGATGTTAACACACAAGACGTGACGGGCCAGAACGTCCTCTACATCGCGAGTACGTTAGGTAATCTCAAGATAGTCGAAACTCTCTTGGGGTACAAAGTCAAATCCGTGAAGATCAATGAGGAAGAGCCTCAGCCGACCTCGGAACAGCTCCCCATAGCCAAACGCAGGATATCCACGGGGATCCAAAGGCTCATGTCTTCTCTTAACTTCAGGAGCAAGACTTCCGAGCAGAAGAAGGACGACAACTTGATCTGTCCTTTACAGCTCGATATCTATTGCAACAACAGCACTGAGACTGCACTTCATGCTGCTGTTAAGGCTGGACACACAGAAGTCGTAGCAATCTTGTTGCAATCTGGCAGCAATCCAAATTTGCCGATCAAGACGTACAGTCGATCCTCTGCGAATAAGTCTGAAGGTGAAACCGAGGCTGTGAATGATCTCACTATTTTGACGATAGCTTGTCACAATAGAGACGTAAAAATAGCGGATTTGTTGTTAAAGTATGGAGCTGTGGATAACGAGTGTAGAGCCTTGAAAATAGCGGCTCAAAACGGTGATGAGATACTCACAGCCAAGTTGCTGTCGATCAAGGCGCACCCTGATCCTGACTACAAGATAAATAAGAAAGCGATGACTGAGGGAACGCAAACCTCTCACTTCTCAGCCCTCTCCAGCTTTGGTAACGTAACTTATCCCTCTTTATTTCCCAATACCCCTACCATGATCAACTGGCACGATCAGCAGTGCAGATTGTCTCAGATAAGAACCCAGTGGCTGATCGACGCAGTCCTCCACGTGAACAAGAAGCTCAGTGGAAAGAACAATGACCTCGCACTTTACGCAATAACGCGAATTGATATATCTCACAACTCCATCACCACGATACCGTCCATGATATTCTACCTGCAGAGCTTAAAGTACCTCAACATGGCGCAGAATAAGATAGACACTCTCTCCGAGAAACTTGAAACCGACAAGAGGCCGAGAGACGGAAGGGACAAATTGTCCCCAGTTCTGGAGGAGATGTACCTGCAGGACAATCGTCTGGAGAAGCTTCCAGAGTTTCTGATGGTTCTGCCCGCGTTGGAGATTCTCGACGTCTCGAATAACAAGCTTCAACGCCTGCCAGACAATCTCTGGAGGGCGCCGAAGCTCAAGGAACTCAACGCTTCCTTCAATCTCCTTCGAGATCTGCCCAGCCAGGTCTCCCAGAACATCTCCACACGAAGGGACATGGGCCTGTCAAGCACCAATAACTTCGAGTTCTCCTCAAGACCCCCCACAAGCAACAGCACTCACGAAGGACTTGAAATCACCGCAATGACTAGAGACGATTCAGCGGAATTTGACTCTTTCACGAAATTGACAAACGCTCAGATAATAGAAATGGATAGGCCGCACGTGTGGACAAAGTCAGTGAGAGTATCCGAGAAGATAAACGATGACTCAGAGCCAGGTGCACGCTCAGTCCTGACGTCGCTGAACCTTGCGCATAATTTGTTTAATAGTATTCCGGTTGCTTTGCCCTGTCTTGCAGTTAGTTTAGTGAGATTAAACATGGCTTATAATTCATTACGATCGATGAGTCACATAACTTCTTACCCAGCGAGCCTCAAGCAGCTGGATTTATCCAACAATCAGATATCCTGTTGGCCGAGTTTACCACAGGTGGACCCCAGCTGCGCTGACTCCATGGAGCAAGCCTCCACCGCATGCTATTGTCCCTCGACAAACATCCAATCACCGATAATGAACTCTGTTGCTAGTAACAGATCGAGCTGTGTGGGTGCGTCCTTGAGGGACATCGTTCTCATGTCTGTTTGCAATCACAGGAGACACTTGAGACTCGAAAACTTGAGGACTTTGGTTCTCGCGAACAATCTGTTGACTAGAATTCAATTGACATCGGTTGATGATGGAGAGAACACCATTGGATTCGACGAGAATGGTAGGGTTTACTATTACAGCGATAGCGATCGTCACAGCGAGTCTGATCGCGAGAGTAAATTGTCGAAGAACTCGGCAACAATGTCCGCGCAAGCTCAGCAGAATCAGTACTCAAAGCTCTACCTTCTGTTTCCCAACGTCAGTATGTTGGACGTGAGCAATAATAGTCTGAAGGAAATACCCCAGAACATTTACGAACTGAGTAATCTGTCTGTTCTGAACATAAGTGGAAACACTGAGATCAGTGAGCTGCCCCCGCAGATGGGTCTACTCTCTCGTCTGTGGAATCTCAACACTCAGGGCTGTAAACTCCAGGAGCCCTTGAAGACGATGATAGAGTCGAAGAAGTACAAGACGATGGACGTCGTGGGGTACCTGAAATCGATCCTAGAAGACGCGAAGCCCTACGCAAGGATGAAACTGATGATTGTGGGGATTCAGGGGATAGGGAAGACTAGTTTGCTCGAGCAACTACGTCAGGAGGGCGAGGTGCCTAATAAGAAGAGATCTGCGGAGCACTGGGCCAAGCGAATGGGGAATAAGAACATCAATACGAAGACAGCTAGGGGTACAACGATATCAACCGTTGGGGTGGACATTGGTGACTGGATTTACGAGAAAAAGGTGCGGGGACAGTCGTCACATGGTGCCGTGTACTTCAGGACATGGGACTTTGGTGGACAAAAAGAGTATTATGCTACTCACCAGTATTTCTTGTCGAAACGAAGTTTGTACCTGGTCGTCTGGAAGATAACAGATGGGTTCAAAGGGGTCTTCGAGATATTCCAGTGGCTCGTGAACATCCAGAGTAGAGCTCCAAACTCTCCAGTGATAATCGTAGGAACCCACTACGACGTTTCCAACGAACAAAGCGAAGTTCTCCAACAGTACATCAGGGACAAATTCATAAACGTCGTTGATGCTGAGAAGTGTGGCCTCCCCAAGGTCATGGAGACCATTGAGGTGAGCTGCAAGACCCGTCACAACATCAAGATGCTGTGTAACCTGGTTTACGATGTTGTGTTTAGTCTCAAGTCTCCAGGAAGCAAGGAACTGCTGCTGGAGCAGAGAGTTCCGGCCAGTTATCTAGCCCTCGAGGACGTTGTCGTCCAATTGGCGCATGATAGAAAGCTCTCCGGGGCTGATCCCGTTCTCAGAGCTGACCAGTATTACGCAGCTGTTAATAACGAACTCCAGAAGCTGCATAAATCCTTCAGGGATCTTGCGGAACTCCACCAGGCGACGCTGTTTCTACACGAGAATGGGATAATCCTTCATTACGATGATGCCACCCTCAAGGACCTTTATTTTCTGGATCCTCAGTGGCTCTGCGACATGCTCGCTCACGTCGTCACCATCCGGGAGATCAATCCCTTCGCAAGGGCTGGGATCATGAAGCTGGATGACATTCAACACGTGTTCAAATCGTCCACGATATCCTCGGTAGACACTCAGGGGTACATCGTGAGCCTTCTCAACAAATTCGAGGTTGCTCTCACCTGGGATTATCGAACCCTCTTGATACCTTCTCTACTACCAACCGAGGAAGACATTCAGAGGAACAACCAGATCATCAAGATCCCGTTGAAGTCCAGGGGTTGGCATGTCAGGACGAAGAAAATAACATCTCCAACTAGTGTCCTTGACTCTATGATCGGGGACAGGAGAAACAGCCGGCATTTGGATCTCACTCGTAACAACAAAACATCAACCCTGACATCTAGACCTCAGCCCGACTGCTCAGTAACGAGACTACTACTGATGTCGTATTTTCCAAGTGGTTTCTGGTCCAGATTGATCACCAGGATCCTCGCCGACGATACCATCGTCGACATCGTGATGTCCTTCATAACCCCTTTCAAAGATTTCGTTGACGAGAATATATTCTCAACTCTATTGGATAACAATGCCGAATGGATCGTCTGGCAGACTGGCCTAGAGCTACGTTACGCAGGGATTACATTGTTAAGGCTCAAAGAAGTCAACTGGAAGATGAAGAACGCTCCCTACGACTACAGACAGTTAAAATTCAAGTTGAAACAGGATGGAATCTGGTGCAGTGTGGATTTGAAGAACTCCGCAATTTTGGAGATTTGGTTTCCGGTGGATACTCTAGTAATAAAGCAGCCGATAATATCTGCCTTGTCCCCAGAGGGGGGCGAGGATGAGGAGCCTATGGGGTACCAGGCTATTGTCGTGGAGCCTCGCCCGGAGAGTATGCCTCAACTCCTCGCCCTGATCGTCGACCACATTGACATCCTCCTCGAGGACTGGTACCCCACGTTGGGAACTCGTTTCGTCCACACCTCGGAGGGAAAACTCCTGGTGACGAGGTTGATCCCCTGCCCCAGGTGCCTCCTGAACGCCACAAACGGTAATTCCGATAATGATCGAAGTGATCAGGAGGCGTCTGCGTCGGGGGGATCGATGGAGATGCTCGCAGAGGGTGACGAGGAGACCTCCAAATCCCCTGACGACTGCTGCACTTACCATCAACATCGCGAGCGCCAGAGCCAGGACAGTTACAAGTCGGATGGTGACAGTGGAGTCGGTTACGACAGCTCTGCCTCCAGTAGGATGCCCTCCCTCGAGGGTCACCCAGACGTGACAGCGCGTCAATCCTCAAGTAAGAGCTTGAACACAGAAGGGATCACTGTTTACTCGTGGATGGTGGAGGAGTGCATTCTGTCGGCGTACAGTAATAAAACCATCGCCTGCCCGAAGCACCTGGACATTCCGCTATCCCACGTAGCCCCGGACATCATCTTCATGGACCTTGGCGCCAAGCACTTGATTAAGTCCGACGACATAAAGAGGGGAAGAATGCTGGGACGCGGTGCCTTCGGATTTGTTTTTAAAGGCTCCTGCAAAGTTTCGAGTGGAGCTCGAGGGGAGAGGATGGACGTTGCTATGAAGATGCTGCAACCGGTGCCCCCGGGCCCTAATTCAAAACCTTCGGCGGTCTTGGCCTACAAGGCAGCCCAGAGCAAGTGGGACAGAGATCCTCTCCAGTACGCCTGCAAGGCTTACTGCACAGCCAGACAAGAACTAAACATCTTGCTGACATTACGACACACGAACATTGTTCCTCTCATCGGAATCGTCATCAGTCCCCTAGCTCTCGTTCTGGATCTAGCCCCGGAGGGCGCATTAGACAATGTCCTGAAGAACTATCGAAGATCAGGGGCTAAACTAGACCCCCACACCCTCCAGTCCATAATCCTACAGGTCGCGAAAGCAGTGGAGTACCTCCACCAGCAACACGTCATCTACAGAGACCTGAAGTCTGAGAATGTTCTAGTATGGATGATGCCCCAGCCGCATCAGAGCTACCTGGAGCACCCGGTTCACGTTAAAGTCGCGGATTACGGCATCTCCAGGCTGACCCTGCCATCGGGGGCTAAGGGATTCGGTGGTACCGAAGGTTTCATGGCACCTGAGATAATAAAATACAATGGAGAGGAGGAGTACACTGAGAAAGTTGATTCCTTCTCCTTCGGGATGTTCATCTACGAGCTTGTGACCCTTCGACAGCCGTTTGAGGGGCATGAAGCTGTGAAGGAGTGCATCTTGGAGGGTGGTAGGCCACCTCTATCTTACAGAGAGACCCTGTACCCTTGCTATGTCCTCGATTTGATGGTCATCTGCTGGGCGCAGAACCCTAAGGATCGTCCCACTGCTAGTCAAATCGTCTCGATAGCCTCAGCCCCCGAATTCACGCATCTTATTGATGTCACGCTGTTGACTGAACGAACACACGTTACCGCGATCACAGCGACATCTAGACCTCCGGCGTCGGCAGGATCTAACGAAAGCTTCTTCGCTGATGAAATCTGGCTGGGGCACAACAACGGGGAAGTCGACATGCTTCTAGGGACTGAGAAAGGCTGGCTTCAGCATGTGAGGATCGAGACGCCGGTGATCCCTTATGCCATGTCTGGGGTAGATGGTTACATCTGGATTGGAGACAATACAGGGCAGATCCATGTGTATCTGGCCACCAACTTCGGTTGTGTTGCCAGCGATTATTTGGAGTCCGATCAGAACCTTTATAGGGAATCTAAGATCGTGGGGCTGATTCATCTGGAGAGCATCAAACAGTTTGCGGTTGCTTTGCACAGCGGAAAGATCTACCTCCTGACCAATAATTTCACGCAAATGAAGAAGACGGAAGTTGTCAAGAGTGTGAAGGAGAACATCAAGACGTACTCTTTAGCTGCTGTTCACAGGAGGAGGAGAATCATTGAACTCTGGGTGGGGCAGAGCTTTGGCAGGATCTCGATTTATGTGATCAAGGAGAATGGGAATTTAGTTGATACTTGTGAGGTTGTTCACGTGCAGAATGAAACCTCGAGTAAGAATCTGTTTGCTACGTATTTGTTGAGCGCTGAGACGTCTGTTCTTTCTTACACGTATCCTGGGTGCATCGTTTATCAGTGGGACGTGGAGACGAGGCAGATTATCAATAAGTTGGATATGTCGAAGCTGGTCCCATGCTCAGAGAGCTTGAAGTCGATTTCCATCGAGGAGAACTTTACCACTGAGAGGTGCCAAGTGACTGCTCTCGAGGTCTGCATGAATCAGTTGTATATTGGGACCACCTGGGGGTGCATTGCAGTTGCTGAGTGCAACTCCCTGAGACCCATCACGGTTTTTAGACCCTTCGAGGGGAAGGTCTCGCAGATTATTGCGTTGAAGTCACCTGATAAGAAGAGGCTGACTTTGGCGACCGTCGGGCAGGGATACAGGAGTCTCATCTCAAGGTACACTGATTATCCTATTGATTGTTTGCTCGCTGAAGATCTCAGGCATAATATGTACACGCTGTTGTGGCGCGCCGAGCATTGGTCCGCTGCGTAATTGCGGGGGTTGTTAGGAAATTGCTGGGGGTGCTGGGTGGTTGTGAAGTGATGGGCGGAGTGAGTCCATTTATCAAAATATGCAATAAAAGGTAACGCATTCACTGATAATTAGAATGACTGTTGAGAATTTGGACCAGGTTTATGATGAAGAATGAAATATTCAGGGTTGGGAATTTTGACGATTGGATTTTTTATTTTCTGTACGAAAGAGGTGGAATATTGTCATGAATTTGGCATAAATGTAAGGACTCAAAGAGATTCTCTGTTTGGGGTAAGTAGTTGGTAGTGGAGACGCATTTACCACAACTTTGTAAAGAGGTTCTATTTGAATTCTATTAAAACTTCATTCAAATTCTAGTAGAATACTACTTGAAACTCAATTTGTTTTTTGTATCAACATCTTGAGAATGATTTCTCTATGTTTTTTTCTCTTGGAACTTGTTATTCATGACGAAAAGTGTGGGGTGAACCTTTGAAAACAGATTCCCAAAATTTTTTATCAAATGTCTATCGAAAAGTAGACTGAATAGAATTTTGAATAGATTTTCAATAAAATTATTGGTCTTTTAATAGAAATTCAAAAGTCTTTCTATTTTTTTTGTTATACGTGTCAATTTAAGTTGATCTTATTTTGGGGGTATTTTGGAGTCGGCCTTTTTATTTTCGACAACACTTAGCGAGTTAACATATATAATCCATAATTGTTGAATATGACTATTAAAAATATTACTCAGGTATTCATTCGTTAGACTAAGTCTTTAATTACTCTTTTATGAGATTTGTGAAAGAATATTTTCGCATCTACAGGAGAAAAGATTTCTTGCGAAGGCCTTTTCAAACGGTTTTCATTGAAATTTTTCTCGCTCCTTTGAATCCAAAAAATTCCATAAAAAATCGCTGAAGTAAAAAGGAATTTCTTCGGTTACACCACTTCACAACCACATTCATTAATATTTCATAATGATAACGTAGGATAAGAAAAAAAATTCTCAAAGATGAGAATTTTTTCCGAACCGCATTTTCAATAAGAATACGTCCACAGATGTTTAAATATAAATGTTATCAAAAAAACGTAATCTTATTTAATTTTTTTAGTCACGAGTCCAGTCATGTGATTGTGTAAATAATTTTTAAGGTGAAATAATACAGGATTATTGAGTAGATTAATAATTGAAACTTGAGGCAGTTATTCACAGTGAGACATTAAGTAAGATTAAAAATCGTCGATTTAGATCACGCGCGAAGAATTTTCATAGAAAAACGTTGTGATTTCTATTAGAAATCTAACAATTGTTCTGTTAATTCTAATGAATCGAATTTTATCTTTCTGTACAACTTATTACATTGAGATGGTTTTTTAAAAGTTTCATGACATTTTTTTTCTTTTTTCAACTTCATTGTTTGTCTTTCATAAAAAAATCAACTTATCTCGAAAAAATTCGAATAATTTAGACTGAGGGTTCTATAGAAAATATAGAACCCGGCTACTGATGTAGCCTAAGCAGTTTAGAAAAATGAAATTCTATCAATTTCTTCGATGAAATAATTTTGACTGAAAGTGCTCGCAGAAGTCCAATAGAAATCCAATAGAATTTTCTAGAGAAGAGCGAGGATTTTCTATGAAATTTTTACGTACGTGGTGCAGTTCATCTTCCAGTTAACACAGTGCATATGTATTTTGTAATTGATTACCATTAATCAAAAATACGCTGTGACTTGCGTCCCATTACTCGTCATATTCGGCAGGAGATATTATGACGTAACGTCGAGTGGTTGTCATTGAAATTCAATCGTGGTTGTTGATTTATTTCTGTAGCGTAATTTTGCGAGAGTGATTGTATAATTTTAATCAGTTTTTTAGTATTTTCCAAAGAGATGGTTTACAGCACTTGCTTAATAGATCGGTCGTATTTAACGAGTGAGAATAATTTTCTTATTTTAGCTATTAAAATTAACAATCGTGTACCTCATTTTTTGTCTATTTATTTATTCATTGTATTCATTAAATTGTGTGTAGATAGGTAGACTACTAATTCGTTGTTGACGATATTAATAATTGAATAAAAATTGAAATGAATATTACAATTTATTGCTTATATCACGAAGATCCTGGGGTTTAAGAATTATGACTTGGCTTGATTAGGAGAGAGGTGGGGGTATGAACCGTTTTTAATTTTCAGTAAAATTGGACTGTAAAATTTAACAATTTTTTTCATTTTGACTTATGCAAGTCGGCTTATTTTATCAGAAGATATTTATGATTGATCAATTGGCGCTTGTTCAGTAATTTATTAGACAATTCTAATAAAGAATCATTATTAAATTATTGAATTATTATTATTTTTAAATTATTATCGAATTATTACGTCTTTCTGTGTTTTTAAATAGATATTTCTTGGCCATGATTTTTCCAGGTATTTTTCTTGGATTTCATTACGCGAAAGAGATAAAAATACAGCGGAAGAAAGTTGGAAAATTTATGCCCGAGAATTTTTACAGAAAACTTGAAATTTATTGCTTTTTTAAAAATCAAATATCTCTTAATAAAATGACACGGTAAAGTTGCATAATCTTGTATAGCAATGGCGCAAAAAAACAGAATTTTTCTAATAGAATTTCTCAGAGAAAGCTCTAGGTTTTTCTATTAAATTCTTATATGCGTGGTGATGCCTGATTCATGATAAAATCAACACATATGTTCTGCTATAGGGGAACATAATTCGATTGAACCAAATAAGAGATTAGTGTGAACTTGGCAAATGAATGTCAATAAAAATAATTTAATATTTCGAAATAATGACATCTAATCAATCGGCTGACAGCTATAACGGTGCAGATCACGAAAATTTCTCGTGGTCACAGAGTATAAATGATATCGACGTGATTGTGAAGATTCCTGGTGGGTTGAAGTGCCTTGATGACCTCAAAATTCATGTCTCGACGAGGGGAATCAAGGTCGAGGCGTGTACGAGGAATTTCAGGACAGGTGATGGGGAGTCAGACTGGTGCGTTATTTTCCAGGGAGAGCTGAGCTACGAAATTAAAAGTACAGAGAGCATTTGGACTTTTGTGGCTGGGAAATATGTTCACGTGGGGAATCCTCAAATTTAGTCCCTTGATATCAGTTTGTGGGAAAAACAGGACTATTTTTTCTCGAGAAAAATTGGTAACAAGTGGGAAATTGCATGTATTTTTTCAATTTTCTCATCTCAAGCTTGGGACCTGAATAATTCAGTAGCGAAGTGGTAAAATGGTAGAAGTCATTTTTGACTGTTAACTAGTTTTCAACGAATATCTCGGAATCTAAGGGAGATGGCAAAATTGTTATTATAACCTTTTTTGTAGAGCTGATTGAGTGCTACAATGAAGGTAGATACGGAAATTTCGCTATCTCCCTTAGATTCGGAAATATTCCTCAAAAACTCAACTGGGAGATAAGTCAACTTAAATTGCTTTACCACTTCGCTATTGAATTAATTTTTCCTTCTCAAACGTGTGAAATATTGCTCATTAATTGATAATTAATTGTTAAAAGTTGAAGATTTCAAACGCTTTGAAATCGCTGATATCGTCGGCCACTGGAAGACGACAACGCCCTACTCTCTTCTTTTTCGACCAATGAAACGTTATAACAATTGCAAATGAGTCGACATTAACAACTGAATAAAAACAAAAAATACGAAACTTAAATTTGAACGATTACAAAGATTCCATTCGGAAGCAAAAAAAAATGTAAAATTGTAAAATTGCCAACAATTACTAAAATCGTAAAAAACCAGTCGTATTTTCTTGAGAAAAAAAGAATGGGCCTTTTCCTGCACCCGAAAATATTCATCTCCTTTTGAAAACCAATAAAAATTGTAGATCCACTTGGAGAAATTATCAGAGAGATGGTGGGAGTCATTGACCACTGATGAAGCGAAGATCTCATTAGACAAAATTGATTGTTCCCGTGACATTGATGAGCTGAACCCCCAGGAGCAGATGACACTGAAGGAACTGATGTGGCGAGAGCATGAAAAAAAATTGAAAAGAGTCGAGAAAGTGAAGGAATAATGAGGCGCATTGTTTCGGTGGATTCAGTTTTAATCCGAGAAGATTTAACACTCAACTCAGAATTCATGTGAATCCTTCGGGTGTTTTGGTTCGTCACTAATTGCGAAGCAATGCTAATGAAAATGCAAAGTTCTCCTGCTGGAATGAAAGGAGTTAAGTTTCGAATTTTGGAGGTGATCACATTCACATCATGAGTATTACCAACTGACATAAATAATATACCTGTCCACATTACGGTATCTCGTGCGGTGCCGATGCTCTCGTGCTCTACCGGACCCTCAGGTTGCTGAGTTCATTCCGGTTTCTCTGGCCATATGCACGTAAACACTTATTATATTTATAATGTGGGCTAATCACATTGACCTACAAATATTGTCTTCGAGAGTGGCCCGAAATTTTTGGAATTGCGAAAAATATTTTTTGAATACGAAATTTGTGATGCAAATAACACTTATGAATTTTCAAATTTTTGTATTTTTCAATTGTATCTTTTTTGAATTTTTTTTTGAAATCCTTATTTGCAAAACGTGTGGGTTCACTTGGTTTTCCTTCGTTTCTCTTCAGAAAAATTCAATAAAAAAATTCGAGCGAATTAATAGTTCAGAAGAATGAAAATTTGCCATCAAATTTTTTAATAGAAAATAACAAGTGAAGAAATTGGCGAAGTTTTAACGGAAATGGTGAAAAAATTAGAATTTCTTGTGGAAACAATGAAATTCATCAAATTTCATTCAATTGAAGCTGCTTAATTCCACCTGTCGTAATCTGCCGTTGCACCACCTAATGAATGAATTCATTAATCCTCCCTTCCCAACAACTACCAGAATGCCATCGTACAAATCCCCATCAAATTTTCTATCAAATTTTTTAATTAAAAAAAACCAAGCGGAGAAATTTTTGAATTTTTTCATGGAAGCAACAAAATTCATTAAATCCCATTCAATTTCCGAATGAAAAAATACAATAGAAAGACTTAGCGAACTCCCTAGAAAATTCTATTAGGGTTTTATTAAAATTCTAAGGAATTCTCGTTATAATTCTATTTTTTTGCACCGATGCTATGAGATATTTAATAGGAAAAAGTCAACAGATTTCGATTTTTCTATATGAATATTCTCTTGGACTTTTTTCTATCAGAATACTTGGGCATAAATTTTCTATTTTTCTTTCACTCGGATCCTGTAATTCAAAACAAAACACAAGATAGCGGAAAAACTTGGAAAATCCGTGCCCAATAATTTTACCACAAAAAATTTCCCGAGAAAAATTCCAACAAAAAAATCGAAATCTAATAGAAAAACAAATAGAATTTTACCGAGAATTTCTCTAGAATTTTAACAGAATTCCCATGAAATTTCTAGAGCATTACAATATCCAGCGAATTCTCTAAAGTTTTCTATCAAATTTTTTCATACGTCTTGAAGTTGATTGATTCCCGTACCACTTCCCCCATCGCAATCCTCACTTGCACCACCCAATCAATCAACTAATTAATCTCCCCTCCCACCTCTCAGAATGCAACCGTACAAACCCCCATCACCCATAATCAAAGTGGGCTAATCACCTCGTCCCACATCCGATTAATTCCTAAAATAACTCCACCAAACTCACCCAAAACCCTAAAAACCCATTTAAAACGTGTTCAACACCCCCTCCCCCTCCCTGCCACCCCCTCCCATCAACCTCCCCCGTGCCACTTAATTCCTCCGCAAAAAACCCTATTAATAACATCCATCAATCCACATCCAAACTCATAAGCAGTCTCCAACAGTGGCATTTTATCAAACCCCTCCTGGAATTTCTCAGCTTCGGCTAGATTTTCTCCAACATTAACCTGTTGCTTTGTATGAGTGCCTGAAAGAAGAGGGACAGGTAACTCCGTCGGCCTGGGATCTCGTCTTTCAGATATTCTCAAACGGAGGCTCTCGCACCTGTTGCACACCACGCGACGATTCCCCAATCGAAATAAATTCTCCAGAGAAACCGAATCAAGCCGAAAGGTCTGCAGAGTAAAAAATCGAAAAAGACCCCGAAGGGAAGAAATTCCGGAAGAAAATGGAGGTGTTCTCCGGTGTTATGAGAGATCAAGAATTGTGGAAATGAAAATGGTTGAGAACCTGAGGCAGGTAAACTGGTAAAACACACCTACCTGCGTTAGTAGTGTACAACGAAGGTGGTCGGAGGACTATCCATTGGATATCCCCTCTACACCTGAAAAATCCGAGGTGTTCCCTTGCCTTTCTTCCAGTACCTCTCCAGTTCTTCCTCCGCAACGAGTCTCTCTCATTACCAGCACAAGCTTTTCCCTCTGTTTCCCCAGCACAGAGGCATCCACTGCTGCTCCACTGATTAATTACTCATTAATTGACAGAAGATAATGATGCGATAATAATGTGCGTGAATAGTTGTGTGAATTCAGTGTTGAATAAATCGAAATCAATATTGCACTGATTCAACCGCTGGTTTATTGGATTTACTGCTGGGCATTGGAGCACCAGGTGGGAGAAGGAATTTGTGTTGAAATCGTGTCGGTGGGCTGCGCAACGGCGCTGGAGTGATAGTCTAGTGATTTCATTATTTCTATTTATTTTAAATAATTTAATAAGAAAGATGCCGTGCTCAGCAGTGACGCTGTCTCTGGCAACCATAACCGGCATCATCGCCACAGCACTTCTCTCTATTGCCTTTGGTACGGATAACTGGCTCTATACCGAGGTCAAGCGTGCCCAAATACAGGTATGTCTACGATAATACTGTTATTTTTATATTTATATCGCAGGGGGAGAACTAATCGGGTTCAGAGGACGTGGCTTTGTGACCCGGGGGAGGGGGGGATGTTATAAATATTTGTGGAACGAAATCTTTTGGTGAAGATTTAATTCGGGATTGTAGGTGGATGCAGGGAAGTCTTTATAATTACCTTTTACGAGGTTTTTGATGGTATTGAAATTTAAGGTCATTCGACATGGGACGATTTTTGGTAGGAAAATTTGGACCGTTCTCCAGAATATTCACGCACGAGAACATTTAATAGAAAATCCTAGCAAATTCGTTAGAATATTGTATTTCCGTTGAACTTTCTGCTAGTTTTTGGCCGATTCTGTTGGAATTTTTAATAGAAAATATAAAATAAGAAAAGTCAATAGAATTTGATTTTTCTGTATAACTCGTTCTCGAATTTTACGTTTTTTTCATTCATTTTTTTTCTTCTCGTCAAAAAGATCGAAATTAAATCATTTCTAGGGGAATCGTAGTGAAAACATCTGGATAATTGTATTTTTTATAAATGAGTATAGTTATTGTTGCTAATAAATTAGCAATTTGGTTCCGAATGGATTCTTTTTTCCGCCACGGCGGGCGCAAAGCGCACATTTCCCTTCCACTTTGCGGGAGGGAAATCTAACTTTGCCCTGCACAGAGAAAAATGTTCAGTAAAATTACGGAATCGACTCAGAAAATTCAAGTGACGGTATCGTAATTTTCTACAGGAGATTCAGATAAAAATTACAGAACACTCTGGAAAAATTCCGTGACACACTGAGAGAAAAATATGATTCTTCTGACTATATTCCATCGCCATCGAATTATAGTCAAAAAGTCCTCAACAATTTTTCATGGGTTACGGTAACTATGGCCGGAGAAGTAATTACTACAATGGAATGTAGTCATTGCAACTATTTTATAGTTTTCCTCACGATAGATTTGTCGTGGTACTTTTGAACTTTGGTTAGTTTAACTGCATTTTGATTTGCAAAAATTACGGTTGTGAAATTATTATAATGTTATGTGCCGCATACAAAAAAAAATTGTATCGTTCACCAAAACTGCCTCAACTATTTTCTTATTGTAAATCGAACTTCAGGTTTTTCTCTAGTGCAGTTGCGTAAAATTTCCTACAACCACATTTCGCTCCGGAATTACGGAAAAAATGCGTAATTTTTATTGAATATTTCTCTCCATGTGAGCCGTGACGGGAGGTAAAATGAAGGATCCTTACCCACGTGCTTATCACCCTCGCCTTCGGCTCGGGTAATTTTGCACGTGGGCACGACTCCTTTATTTTCCCTCCTCAGATAGGGAATATACTATTTTTAAATTCTTATTTCACTATTCTCTTCATCTACAAACTTAATCTTCTATAAATACAATGAAAATTGTATTTGTTTTCTTCAGTTTTCCTTTTAATAAACATGTTCAATAGCAAATATGGTACAGAAAAAATGGATAGATTGTTGATAATTTATTAACAATGAAAATCCATGCATTTTGGGTATAAAATAGAAAAATACCAGTATTATTATTTTTAATAATACGGTTATTGTTTAGGATTTCACACAGGTAGGGAGGAAAATTTGGGATTAACGGCCATGAGATTAGGATCTAGGCAGGAGTATTGTAAATATTTATTGAGAAATCTTCTAGGGAAGATGATAATTCTAGGTAGATACCGAAGTCTGTAAAGACCTTTCGTGAGGGCTTCGACTACATCGGGATTCGAGGATATTTCGACGTGGGAAAAAGTTGCATGGGATAATTTAGAACGTTCTCCAGGATATCCTCATGCATTTTTATTTGAATTCTATTAGAAATTCTGTTTGTTTCCGCTACTTTCCTTTGAATAGACACATTTAGTAGCCAATATTTTATAGAAAAAATTATTGGTTCTTTATTTTTAATAATACTGTTATTTTTATATTTTTATGCTGATGCGTGAGAAAAATGTGTTAAGATGACGTGGGATTATAATCCAGACAGAAATAAATATTTGTGTAGAACGAAATCCTCTGGTAGAGATAAAAATTGTAGGTAAATAGCGAAGTTGTTGCTACAACAAAAGGTTTTAGAAAAAAACTCCGTTATATACCTTCAATTCGAGTATGTTCAGGCACGCGGTGAAAAATTTCACAGAAAAAACCTAGACTTTCGTTAGGAAATTCTAATTAATTTTTGCTGAAATTCTGTTGGAATTTTCGATAACAGATATTTTATGGCGCAAGTAAATAAATTTTCATTTGGAATAATGAAAAAATATACAGAAATTCCGCGTAACTTTGTCGTTGTTAAAAATTTCAAGCTTTTTCACTGGAAATTTCAAGAGTAATTTTCTAACAGTGTACGCATTGCCATGGAAAATAGCTTTCGACACTCGTGGGGAAAGTCTTAAACGCAGAAAAATGATTTATTTGAATTAAATAAACTTTATTTGAGTCAAATAAATCGTCTATTTGATTCTAATAGAGGATTTACTCGATTCAAACAAAGTTTACTTAATCCAAATAAACCATTTTGCTGGGTGTAACCGCACTGATAGAACGATTCATTTATTCCAAACGAGATTCGCTAACTATTAACGAATGGTAGAGTTGAATATGACCAAATAAATATTCGTTAATAGTTAACGAATGGTTTACTTGAAAGATGGAAGTGGAGTCAAACAAGGCTCCTCAAATACGTATTTGTTAACTATTAAAGAATGAACATTTGATGAAACCGAATAGACCATTTGTTAACAACATTTGTTAACAATAACTAATCCTTTCTATCAGTGCGATGGAAGGGTAGCACTCGCACCTACCCCACAGCTACACTCCTCTACACGTCAAAACCCCATTTCACCCTCGCATCGAAATACACTATTTTCCTTCAGGAAAGAAAAAACTTCTAGAAATTTCGCTCTCTCATAAATTCAATTACATTTATCGGAATCAAAAGTCAATTGAGCTCAATCGATTGAATGATCGGTTGAATGAACTGCAGAGTCACTCGAAGAAACCATAATGAGAGCATTTTGTGTGGTGTTGCTCTGGAGAATGATAAAAATGGAATTCTACGGCTAATGGAATAAAATTGTAGTTGAAAATGTTTTCAAGGGAAATAAGCAATTGATAATGCATCAGTCGGGGAAAAAATACCAGTTCATCTGGGAAAATAGCTGGTTTCCTGGATTAATGTGCTCAGTATATCGAGCTGAGGCATTATATCGTGGAAAATACACGCTTGTATTATTCGCCCGTCCTTGTGCCGGGTTAATGTCCTGCGTTAGGGGGCTGGCAAGCGCCAACATTCGCTGTATCTCTTTCGCATACCGGTGTACAACCGCGGATTCTATTTTTCATTTATTTTCTACTGCTACAATATGCCTTTTTGCAGACAATAACACCCCCTGCAATTGGTCCGACTCGCTCCATAAATTTACACATGTTTTTTTCTAGTTTTTAAATAACTGTTTTTATTCGCGTAGGAAAAATCAGAGGGAAAATCCTAAATTGGTGGAATTCTCGTGAAAACTATTTGTTTTTTTGTCAATTGTAGTTAAAACTTCTGCAGCTTTCGTCAATATATTTTGATTTTTTTTATAATTCAGTAGAGAAGTGGTAAAGCGGTTCAAGTCGACGTATCTCTTAGTTGAGTTTTTGAAGAATATCTCCGAATCTAAAGGAGATAGTCGAATTTTCGTAATAACCTTTTTTCTAGAGCAAATCGAGTGCTACAAAAAAGGTATTGACAAAAAGTTAGCTATCTCCCTTAGGTTCTGAGATATTCACTAAAAACTGGTCAATAGTCAAAATCGACTTGAACCGTTTTACCACTTCGCTACTGAATTCATCGAAATATTTTCTTCTGTCTCTTTGTAAGAATCCTCTTGTTAATCGAGTATTAATTCAAGATAAATTATGTTGCTGACACTATTCAGATGAAAAATATGTATTGTTAATAATTATAACAGCCCTTACGGCATTTATGGTTTTGGTTAGCTAATAAGAATTGTAACTTTAATACTGATTTGTCAATGTGATATTGTCACCAATGTTTTTCTCACCTGGGGTTTAATATTAAAGGGAAGGGAGCTAAATGTATAGGCCCGAGAGGGTATATATATGGATGAATAAATAAAATGAATAATAATAAAATCACTTTCTTCTCATTATTAATGAGAGACAGTGAAATAGAAAATTAGGAGAATAATTTGAATATAAAAATCAGAGTTTATTGATGTTTTATGGATATCTTCGGTGAAGAAGCGATAGAACTTTCTCTCCAATTTTTTTCTGTATGAAATTCAAAATGTTCTCGAGAATATAATTCCTTACATAAATTCCTCTTCATAAATTCTCTTTTTCTCCACTGTATTTTCATTTACCCCTTATCGAAAAATTTGAAAAATAAAAGAAAAACAATGGAATGAGTTTTAGAAAACATGACAATTTATTGTTTTTTTTTCCATGGATGTTTTGTTATGATATTCGATAACAAAAATAGTATAGACGTAATCATAAGTGCAGATGGATAATTTCCAAAAAGCTTTCTTGTTTGATTTTTTCCACACGGATTGGGGTTGAATTAGAGGTGAATAAGTCGTCTACGACAATTTTTCAATGGATTCCACACGCTGAGAAAATTCTAGCAAAAATTAGTGTGCTATTCAACCGCCCACACTGAGAGAAAATTAGACACAATATGATGAGAATAGTTTCTTGAGTGGAGAAAATCACGTGCATTTTCGGTCAATTCATGATCGGTTTCAGACAAGAAATCGGTGAAATTAAAAAATAGTTAAGTAATTGATAATCTCAATTTCCAATTAATGATGAATTAAATATTCAAAAATATGGAACTATAAATTTTCTATTAGACAGATAATACTAAATTTCTTATAAGGAATTTCCGATTATCCAAATAATCGTCAATCTTCCTAACTCAATTACTGATTAATGAATAATCCGAAGTTTGACTATTTAAATTGATGATTGCTTCAGTAATTATAATTTACGGATACGGCTGTCCCTGATTTTGAAGGGATTTTCCTGAATTTTCAGTGAAGCCTGAAATTTAAGATTTTTCCTCCTAAATCGCATTCAGTGTCACTGTCCTGAAAATTGTTAGTCAACTGTCCATGAAATTTCATATTTTTAGTCCAACAGTGCAGACTGAGATAAAAACAGCAGAGTTCTCACACAGGCAGGGATGGCCATTAATATTATATTTCTCCAGTATCAAACGGATTTCTGACTCACATTTATAAATATTTAAATATACTCACCAAAATTTTAAAACAATCTAACATTAATAGTTTAAATTTCCATGAGATGATATAATTTATGGATATGGCTATCCCTCATTTTTGAAGGGGCTCGCACAGGATTGTCATGTATATTTCTCTCCGTGTGGCTAAATAAGTTGAGCTATCACAACAGGAAATTCAAATGTACCCAGAGGAACGCTCGGGACGCATGTTGGACGATCAACATTCCTCGCCGCGCCCATTTCACCAGGTTGAGCAGCCACAAACACACGTACAACTTTTGAAATTCAAAAAGTCCCCTGATTCTATTACCCACATACATTCGCCAGTCAATTCACATCGACAATATCAGTCCCGATGAAAGTCCAGTTTTATTGAAAACTCACCGGTGCAGTTTTAATTTCCATCGGAAAAATCTGGGGGAAAAATCAGATTGTCCAGTTTAAAAAGTTGTTCAACTGGACGAGTGAAACTCACCGTGACAGTCATAAATTAACGAAACTATGTTGGTTAGAAAATTGTTGATGGAACAATTTCTATAGGTGGACAGTGACATAATTTGCAGCTCCTTTAATTGATGAAATATGGCACAATAAAAATATTAATGAGGATGGCGAATAGAGTGGGAAGAGGTAGAATGTTAAATAGCTGGGGACGTAATTCAGGAATTTTAATTGATGAAATTATCTCGGTTATTCTGGAAGGATGTGCAGTGACTCGTTGGAAAGGGTTTTCCTTTCTATGTCAAAGAAATCTTATGGTTGTATTGTGAGGCGAAACGCCGATGTGAAAGCAGTTGAAATGCGCTGTATTAACTCGATGGAACTCTCTTTTTTTTTACCTCTCTCTGCATTTTTTCGTCTTTATTTCCTCATTGCCATTTTTCGGATTTTTGCTGCGTGTGGGTTTCCGCTAATTAATGAATCGAGGTATATTGTGAAGGCAAGGCTATCGCGATGCTGAGAGTGACGACGGGGTCTAGGCATTAATGGGTGATGCAAGCATTTGCGTAGCCTCGTCAAGGACATTCTGGCAGTCGATTTGTTACATTCCTATTTCTAATGGTGACAGACAATTTGCTCGCGAGGACAATTGCGAGATGACTGCGGGGGGAGTTTTTTTAAGGATATTCAAGTGCCTTTTATGGTGACGTTGAATTACACTACACTGTTGGAAATTTTTGTCTGAATTTTCCGTGCCAAATTCGGGAAATTTTTATCGTGTTCCAATTCCACTGAAATTTCAGGAAATTTTGTCATTTAAAATTCAGAATTTCGTGGAAAAATCAAACAACTGTAAATTTCCGTTCCATTTTCCCCGGACAATGAATCGAGACCTAGAAAACTCTGGTAAATATATTCTTGAATTTTCAGGACAGCGACACTGAATGAGATTTAGGAGGAAAAATCATGAAATTTCAGATTTCACTGAAAATTCAATGCAATTTGATACTGAATATCGATATTAGATTGGAAATTCAAGTAAATTAAGGAATTCTCGTCTTTACGCTGCTTAAAATTCTGGAAGTTTACTGAATTTTCAGTGAAACCTGAAATTTCAATTTTTTTCCAACAGTGTAGACTGAGATAAAAATAACAGAGATCTCAAGCAAGCAGGGATGGCCATTAATATTATATCTCTTCAATATTAAAAGGATTTGTGACTTACATTGATAAATTTTTAAATATACTCATCAACATTTTAAAATAATCTAACATTAATAGTTCACATTTCCGATTGATGATGAATTAAATATTTGATAATATAGAACTGTAAATTTTTCATTGAGTGAATATTTCTAATTTCTTAAAAAGGATTTCAATGAAAAAAAACGGCTAAAATAACGGCAAGTGTCAGTGAGAGGATGAGAGAAACTTAAGTAGGCTCGCGAGAGGAATATTTCCGGAATGATAATTAGACGTCTTGCGCAGGGTGTGTCTATCATTAATGAGCACAGATTTGTGTTGCCTTAGAAGGGGATTGAGAGCGCAAATTGACGATTCTTCTGCTAATGCTGGAGTGATGCCTTTCGACCTTTTGCAGAATAGCTAGTTATTGAGATAAAGAGTGATTTACAGACACTTTCCCTTTTAAATTTTGTTGGCAACAAAAAAGTTTCCGAACGTTTTTTTGGGGAAAAAAAACATTCCTCCCTTACCAATGTATTCTTACGATGGTATAAGCCTATGAAGTTCTCTCAGATCGAATGATTGTCGTACACTAGATTCTATTTTTTCCTGCCAAAAGTTCGAATTCTTCTAGGGATATTTCTGATAATCGCGACAAAAAGTTAATTTTTGTGAAAGATATTAAATTTCCTTCTATTAAGCTGGTGAATTTCCCTGAAGTAAATCGTTTCCACTCCATTCGGAAGCCAATGATATCAGCAATCATGGCCGTGAAAGCCTCAAAACTAAAATTCTCACGTTTGTCTTTATCAATAAGAACAAAACAATTAATTATTCCGAGAAAAAAATTCAGAGAACGTTTCGGTTAGCTCAGATACAATCTCTTGTGAAATTGCCGAAAGAAAAAATGTAAAAACCAATATCATCCACGAAAATAATCTTCATAATTTAATTTCAGCAATATGCCTCGAAAAATCCTGACCAGAGTCACGTGGTGGAGCAGATGAACATGAAGTTCTTCTACTACACGCGGACCCAAGGCCTCTTCAGGATATGTTACCCCAAGGAGCGTCCACCAACTGGTAATTATCAAATGTCACTTCGCCCCTCTCATCTTACTTCACGCAATTTCCCTGTCACTGTCGCATCGCATTTGTATCGCGGAGAAATGCGAGATAACGCATTCCGTTAATGTTTCTCTCGCTTCGTATGCGCGCCAAGCCGGATCCACACCGTTAGCACGAATGTAAATTACTTAATTGCTGGGTAGCGGTCCTGTATGCCCAGTGCAGCTCAAAACACCTCTTTTTTTTCTTTCCAATTGTCAAATCTATCATCGTGGGTTGGAACGAACGTACTTCACGTGGAGTAACAATACTGATGGGAAGAACATTGTGAAATGGCTTTCCTTTTAAGTCAACATTGAGGATATGTGAGTGCTGGGACAATTTTTTGATTGTTGAAATTATTTAAACTAGGAAAGGAACGCGCGCGTACTTAAGCTACTGGTTCATTGCATTTTTTATCCTTTCATTTCAGTAGCGAAGTGGTAAAAGGAGATAAGTCAATTTTGACTATTGACCAGGTTTCAATCAATATCTCGGAATCTAAGGGAGATGGCAAAATTTTCGTTACAACCTTTTTTGTGGAGCCGATTGAGTACTACAACAAATGTAGTTATNAATTTTGTTGGCAACAAAAAAGTTTCCGAACGTTTTTTTGGGGAAAAAAAACATTCCTCCCTTACCAATGTATTCTTACGATGGTATAAGCCTATGAAGTTCTCTCAGATCGAATGATTGTCGTACACTAGATTCTATTTTTTCCTGCCAAAAGTTCGAATTCTTCTAGGGATATTTCTGATAATCGCGACAAAAAGTTAATTTTTGTGAAAGATATTAAATTTCCTTCTATTAAGCTGGTGAATTTCCCTGAAGTAAATCGTTTCCACTCCATTCGGAAGCCAATGATATCAGCAATCATGGCCGTGAAAGCCTCAAAACTAAAATTCTCACGTTTGTCTTTATCAATAAGAACAAAACAATTAATTATTCCGAGAAAAAAATTCAGAGAACGTTTCGGTTAGCTCAGATACAATCTCTTGTGAAATTGCCGAAAGAAAAAATGTAAAAACCAATATCATCCACGAAAATAATCTTCATAATTTAATTTCAGCAATATGCCTCGAAAAATCCTGACCAGAGTCACGTGGTGGAGCAGATGAACATGAAGTTCTTCTACTACACGCGGACCCAAGGCCTCTTCAGGATATGTTACCCCAAGGAGCGTCCACCAACTGGTAATTATCAAATGTCACTTCGCCCCTCTCATCTTACTTCACGCAATTTCCCTGTCACTGTCGCATCGCATTTGTATCGCGGAGAAATGCGAGATAACGCATTCCGTTAATGTTTCTCTCGCTTCGTATGCGCGCCAAGCCGGATCCACACCGTTAGCACGAATGTAAATTACTTAATTGCTGGGTAGCGGTCCTGTATGCCCAGTGCAGCTCAAAACACCTCTTTTTTTTCTTTCCAATTGTCAAATCTATCATCGTGGGTTGGAACGAACGTACTTCACGTGGAGTAACAATACTGATGGGAAGAACATTGTGAAATGGCTTTCCTTTTAAGTCAACATTGAGGATATGTGAGTGCTGGGACAATTTTTTGATTGTTGAAATTATTTAAACTAGGAAAGGAACGCGCGCGTACTTAAGCTACTGGTTCATTGCATTTTTTATCCTTTCATTTCAGTAGCGAAGTGGTAAAAGGAGATAAGTCAATTTTGACTATTGACCAGGTTTCAATCAATATCTCGGAATCTAAGGGAGATGGCAAAATTTTCGTTACAACCTTTTTTGTGGAGCCGATTGAGTACTACAACAAATGTAGTTATAAAAATTTCGCTATCTCCTTTAGATTCGGAAATATTCCTCAAAAACTCAACTGGAAGATAAGTCGACTTATCTTTGTTTACCACTTCGCTATTGATTTTTTTTTGAAAATGATAAAACTAACAATAAACAATCAAAGGAACATATAATTTGATGTCACGTTTCCACCATGACTTTTTAAAGCTAGAATTATATTATTTCAGACTAAATGATTGCTTCATGGCACAAGATAGTTAAATTGTTCCATAAAGTATCCAGAACAGAATCCATTCATTAGTTAATCTTTGCTGAAGATCCTGGATTGTACAAATCATTTTTTATCTCTTTAAAAGAACATATTTTCTCAATTGTCTATTTCTGTCATAATAATATATATATAATATATATGTATAAAAAAATATATTCAGAAAATATCTTTTTAAAAAGAAATATAAAACAAAGATTTGTATAATCTAGGATCTTATGCAAAGATTGTCCTTGTTCCTAGGCTTAAGGTTATCCCTGGCGAAATAGATTGCTGATAAAAAAGGTGACACCAATTTTTTAATAGAATAAAAATTTTAAACTCGATTTTATTATTCAAATTACATGAGGTATGAACTTCTCGATATTTAAAACCGTTGGAAAATTTTCAAAAAAATAGTAACAACTTGAAGAATTCTAGTTTTATAGAAAGATTAATTAAAAAATGCTGTTATTGAAAATTAATTCAAGTAATTCTTGCATTTTACAAATTTATTAATCAAATTTCGAGACTCAGACGAGACCAAAAATGTCCGCGTTCACTGAGACCGAGACAATTCCTCCAAAGTATTGTCTCGTGAATTCTCTCGCGGCATCACAATCCCTGATTTAGACCTTCAAAATTCAACTAATAATCGAATTGCTAGATGCGGCTTAACCGGTGGCTCTGCAACAACGTTCAACTACAAATGTCAAACAGAATTGCAAAGAAATAAAAAATCTCAAAGTCCTTCAACATCCTTGAACATCCCATCACTAATAAAGAAATACGAAAAAATCGTTGAGTGCATACATTAAACGATCTCTTGACATTTCTTCTTCATCGGAAAATGACATAACAGTCCCGGAATTTCCTCGGCAGAACAGGTTCGGCGATAAAATATTATAAAGAAAATATTGCTTCCATCCTCTCATAATTATTATTGACACGGTTTATCCCGTAAATTAAATGCGCTCAAGCCATAAGTTGTCATTTTAGCCAGGCGTTTACCGTTTAGTGACCGAGAGTGCCTTATCAGGATTTGGCATACCTCCGAAGACATCCGGCACGTGGTTTCCGGCGAGAACTGACTACTCACCCGTGATACGCGATACGTGATGGCCCCAGCTCTGTCATTAAATGTTGAGCTGCTATTTCTACAAGCTCTTTGCTATTCTATTTACATTATGCAAGACAGTATTTCCCAGCCGAACGCCTACCTCCAGTTTGATCATCGCCTTCTTCAACTCCCACTGCTCATTCTTACCGGTTATTACTTATTTCTCATTGTTTTCTCTGTTTTGTTATTGTTACAGTGCAAACTTATCTCAGCCCTGTTGAAACCCACTGCATGAACATTGATTATTTCATTCCTGATGAGGACAATGAGACCAGGGGATTCTCGGAGGACGCTATGACGAGACTGCGTAAGTGCCTCAATGGAATTTTTGTTTATTTCGTTATTATCTCGGTGGTGAGCGGTTTTCGGAGGAAATGTAAGAGATTTTTGTCATTCCGGATGGAAGACAGCGCTTCACTGACGCTACGCCTCCAGTCGTTCACGCATGAAAAAATTTTACAGAAAACCTCGCGAATTCGCTAGAAAATTCTATTGGATTTCTATGGGATTTCTATTGGAATTCTATTGAAAAATTCTATTTGTGTTTTGTGCTGATTCTATTGGATGTTCGATAAGAAAAAGTCAATAGATTTCAAATTTCTGTTGGAATTTTTCTCTTGAGATTTTTTCTATTAGAATTATTGGGCACAAATTTTTTATTTTTTTCCGCTGGATTTTGTTCTATTTCGCATTACAGAATCCCAGTGGAAAAAACTTGGAAAATTGATGCCGAAGGATTCTTATAGAAAAAATCCCAAGGGAAAATTCCAAACAGAAGTTCGAAGTCTATTAACTTTTTCTTATCGAATGTGTAATAGAATCAGCGCAAAAACAAATAGAATTTTTCAATAGAGTTCGAATAGAATTGTCTAGCGAATTCGCTAGATTTTCTATTGAATTTTTTCATGCGTGTTATGACAGGAAATATTGTTCGTCACACGGACGAAATAAAACTCTACTAGAGCATCTGATTGCAACTATATTCGCCAAACAAGTTTTTTTCGGCCTGATGGTGAAATATACTATTTTAATAGCTGGAGAAATTTCCTGCAGAAAGGTCCAGGAGTTTTTCTTAATGAGTCATTAATTACCGAGATCATTAACCCATTGTAAGCGGAGGAGAGGTTTTTTTTAATTTCAAAGCTTCCGAATTTTATTATTTTTCTAGCCGTTTCGATCAAAAAATTAATTCCAATTTGGAATTACCTTGAAGTATAGTATTCGAGTTGTAATTATCAACTGATTGCGATCAACATCTTTGTTAAACTAGGTCCAGATCTAAATTGCATATTTTTGCTCATTTCGTTATTATCTTGGTGGTGAGCGGTTTTACGAGGAAATGTCACAAGAACTTTTTAATAACTGAGGAAATTTCCTGCCGGAAGGTCCAGGAGTTTTTCTTAATGAGTCGTTAATTACCGAGATCATTAACCCACTGTAATGAGATAAAAAGCTTTTTTTATTTTAAAGTTTGCGAAGTGTATTATTTTTTGGTCGTTTCAGCCACCAAAAAAATTAATTCCAGCTTGGAATTACATTGAAGTATAGTATATGAGTTGTAATTATCAATTCATTGCGGTCAATACCTTTGCTAAACTAGTTTTCGATCTAAATTACGCATTTTTGCTTATTTTGTGATTATCCCGGTTGGGAGTGGTTTTAGGAGGAAATCTCCTAAGAGCTTTCTAGTAGCTGAGGAAATTTCCTGCAGAAAGGTCCATGAGTTTTTCTTAATGACTCATTCATTACTGAGATCATTACCCCACTGTGAAGAGATAAATTTTTTATTTTATTTTGAAGCTTCCAAATTTTGTTATTTTTTGGTCGTTTCAGCCACCAAAAAAATTAATTCGAGCTTGGAATTACATTACATCAAAGTATAGTGTTTGAGTTGTAATTATCAATTGATTGTGGTCAATATCTTTGTTAAATTAGGTCTAGATCTAAACTGCACATTTTTGTGAAAATTCAGGAACTGCTCTGGTGTCTCTTCTCCTGAGAATTTGCAAAATTTCACGAATTTTCAGAGCTCTGGTGGAAGATGAGAAGTTTAAATAAAGAAAATATTAAACTTTCGTTCTATTGATGAATATTTTCGCGTGAATGAGATGGGAAAACTTTTTATGAAGACATTTCTCGCAGTTGAAAAAATTCCCCACACGAAATGACTCATGAGTATTTTCCTAAATCCACTCATCATCGAGATAATTCAACTTACAAACAGAAGTAAGAAGCATCAGTGAAAAAAACTCAATTTTAGTTTTTGATCAAGCAGATCCAATCAGTTTTAGGCAAAAAACGTATGAACAATAGATGAATATGTAGAATAGTTGATCATAATCAAATGAAAATTTTTATGAGGATCATTTTTGTAGCTGAGAGAATGTTTACTCATCCACTCATCAAAACGCGTTCCAATGGTCCACTCATTGCCGGGATCAATGAACTATCAACGAGATGAGAGGTTCCAGTGAAAAAAACCTCAACTTTTTTGTTTGATGAATATCTTTGAAAATATGGGCGTCGAAAAATTTCCATGGCGACCATTTTTTATTTGAAGGAATTTCCGACAAAAATATTTTAGAGTTGCTCTTTAATCCGCTCATTATCGAGATTGGGAAACTATATTAACGAGATGAGAAATTTCAATGAAAAAAAACGTAATTTCAGTTTTTTATAATTATCTTTGAATTCGTGGTGGATTGAAATTTTTTTTAATAATAACAAGAAATATCCCCATGAGAATATTTTCACAGTACACTGATAGAAAAAAATATTTTCTCAAACAAGTCTCGTTTGCGCAAAAAAAATCGCAACTTAAAAATGACCAAAAACGAAAATATTGTGCCGACCATTTGAAGACTGTCCTGAGATGAAAAACTGTTGTTGCAAAAACAGATTTCGTTGTTCGAAAAAATTGTTATTTTCTGTGCAAGGAACAAACGTCCTTTATGACACTACTCATTTATTATTCAATACTGCCATATGTATTTTGGTGCAAAATACGTTTTAATAAAGTTCTTTTTATGAGAAACATTTTGTATCATGTTTGAGATTTTCAAATTCAAAACAATTTCGTTTCCGAAATTGTTTGTTCAATACAAACAATATCTGTTCGTTCTTCGGTCAGTACAACGTCTTAATGAACTATAAACCTATTATTCTGAAAATAAAATTCATTTGGAGAATTATCACGCCGATCCACACTCTCATCCACCCTATTTTCGATCCTCAGACATGGGAAGATCGATGATTGCCCTGTTCATGGTGGCATTCCTGGCAATATTCTCAGCCTTCTGGACGGGTATCGTGGGCTGCTGGCGGAGATCTCCCGGAAATATCACAGCGACAGCAATCCTCATGCTCTTCGCCTGTAAGCTAAGTCCCCTCAACCCTGACAAAACTGATTTCAATTATTTCCGTACCTATTCGTTCTCATTTGAAAATCGAAAGTTGATCATCATAATATTAACTGTAGTCATAACCGACAGCAATTCACTATATTATTGACTCCCAATGAAAAAAAAAAGAAAAATGACGAGAATAACCACGTGCATTCCTTACACAATTCTATTAAAAAGAAATAAATTAAAATATTTTGATACTTCTGTACAACTTATTCTTTCAAGATATTTTCTACATAAATTCCTCGGCATGAATCCTTTACGTTTGTTTCGCTGAATTTTTTCTTTCCTCATCTCATTTGAAAAATCCAACAAAAAAATTTAATCTAGTAAGTTATTCAGAAACAGTGTTATCAGAATAAGTTGTATAGAGAAAGTTCAGAATCACTTGATTCTTTCCATAAAAAAATTCCCCATGGTGAATTTTTATTGGAAATACTCAGGAAAGCTGGTGAAGCTTTCAGTAGAATTATTGCATAACATTTTGAAATACTAGAATTGAATAGAAAGTATTACATACGTCTTTTTTTACTTTCAAAAATGATGAAAAAGTCGGAAGTTCCCAATTAATTGAAGAAACGTCTGCATTACGACGACAGAGACGTTTCCAAGTGCCTGAAGCTTATCAATTTTTAATTATTTATGGAAATTCACGTAAAAAAAAATTCATAGGAGAACTTAGCGAATCCGCTAGAAAATTTTATTAGATTCCTATTAGAAAATTCCGCAGCTTACTTGTGCGATTTTTAGAAATGTTCAATGGACAATATTCTATATAAAAAATTACTAGGATTCAATTTTTCTACACAAGTTATTCTGGCCATTCGCAACCCCCTTGCGGCAAATCACGTTAAAAATGAAAATAAATAATTTCTATTGGGTATTGGAATTGAAAATTTATCATTTTTTAGTAACAATTTTTTTTTATCAATTTCTGTAATGCACGTGAAAAAATATGCATTAAAAAATATCCATCCAATGTTCATACTCACGAATAAAAAAATCTATTAAAAAAAGCCTATGTAAAAGTGTAAAGTCTCATAAATGCGCTAGGCTTTTCCTTTAATTCTTTCCGTACGTGGAATGGGTACGAAAATAACTGGACTTTGTTTTCTTCGTTTGGAATATGTGCAGGGCTCTTAAAAAATAAATAATTCCCCCAACAGGTCTGTTGAGTGCCTGTGGCATGGGACTCTGGCACGGTGTTGAGTACTATGAGAAAGAGAAGATTGTCGGTGAGGAGTATTATCAACAATGGAGCAATGTAAGTACTCCCATAAAACGAGCGCTCACAGTAACCCGTAATTTTAACACTGAGATGAAAGTGTCAGAGAAAATATGCAAACGTTGAATAAAAATAAGACCATTTGAATTGAGAAAATCCAGAGGATCCACCGGATGAATGAATATTTCGGTCGTCATTGTGCGGTAAAAATACTCATGATGGATATTGTGATTTCTCACGGATCATTGCGCTGTGCATTCAGTTGTGCTCTCAATATTTTCTCTGATTTCATCGTGATAATATTATTCAACTTTCCTAGAATGTAAATGAGAATGAATAAAAAGTGAAACAAAAACGTTAATTAGATGGAAGATGTTAATCTGGTGGATCATTTGTCTTGGGGGATTCATTTCGATCAATATTGTGGAAAAAATTATAATTCTTCAGGGATGGAATTAATTTTGAGAGTACAATTTCAGCGAGTACTTTCATTCACCTGTCTTGATATTCAATTCGCGCTAATTATTTTCTTCTTTCGTTAATTTTTTTTTCCATTGAAAAATTAGTCATGTTTTGAATCGTTTCACTAAAATGTTGAAAATTACACATTTTTTACAAGTTTTGCAGGTCGAAAGAATATGTAATCTCACAGGAAAAGAAGAAAAGCTGAGATTTTTTTAGTAGAAATTCGTTGATACAATTTTTTCTTTTATATTTCAATTGTTGAGAATGAGAAAATCTATCAGGTTTTTATATCTAATATTTTTTTGTGATAATTCCGATTTTAATTATAATTCTTTTTTTATATCATGCAACAAAAAAATTTGGGGAAAAAATCTATCAAATTCGCTAAACAATTCTGATTTCTATTGAAAATACCGCAAAAATTGGATAGGAAAACGTCAGTGGATTTCGATTTTTCTATATCAATATTCTCTCGGATTTATTACTACAAGAATACTTCGGCATGAATTTTCCAATTTTTTCCACTCGGATCCTGAAATGCAAAACAAAACAAAATATAGTGGAAAAAACTTGGAAAATTCGTGCCCCGAAATTTTAGTAGATTAAATCTAAAGAGAAAAATTCAAACAGAAAAATCCAAATTTATTGATTTCTTCCTATCAAATATCTGATAGAATCTACGTAAAAAACAGATAGAATTTTAACGAGAATTCCCTCTAAACATGACAAATGTCTCTAAAGATGGTGTATGTTTACAATTTTAATAGCGTCCCCATTGAATTTCTAAACACTTCTAATAGAATTTTCTCGCGAATCAGATTCAGAATATTTCCGGCAATAGAACTCTTGCACACCAAATGAGAAAACCTGAATCTCTTCAGAAAATAACAATAACAATAACAATAATAATGACAATAATGAAAATTCAACAGAGCTGGAATGAATTCCATCGAGAATGAGATTCCGACGAATGCAATTTTTTCATCGTTAAAATTGAAATTACACAGGTGTTGAAGAATCATGTGTCACAGTGGTACGACTGGTCCTTTTATCTAGCCTGGCTAGGTGTTGCCATGTGTCTAGCCACAATGACACTCTTCCTCATAGCCGCATCGTGCTTGAGAAAAGAACGGGCTCGAGAGCAAGCCGCTAATGTTCAATACATAATGCCAGGTGAAAAAATAATTCGAGCAAAAAAATAACTAATAAAAATCATTTTGTTTTGTGTTTTATTTGGGGTGCATCACAAATACCGACCATTCGGGGGCTATCTAGATCCTCAAGGAAAGCTCGATAATCTCGTACGACTGGTCGTACGTGGTTGCTTGGGTCGGCGTCGGTTGGTCGCTAGTCAGTGCAATACTGTTTAGCGCTGCGGCAATTTGCTTGAGGGGAGAGAGAATGCGCGACGAGGCGATGAACATGCAGTACCTCATGCCTGGTACATACGTAACACTATTGCTTCTACTAACTTTAATCATTATTTTTATTTTTTCATTTTATTCACTGGGAAAGCTGTTGAATTTGACGGGAGAGAGTTTGGAAACACAGTAATTGCGGTTTTTAAAAATTGATAATCGCAATTAGAAAAAATTTTAGTTATTTTGAAACGTTTTCTTAACGTTTACACGTGGAAGTGAGAAGACAATGGAAATTTAATCCGTTTCGAGATCGGTTTTTGAGAAACATCGCTTTTTTCATTAGATTCGCTAGATTTCATCAGGACACTTATTCTGACCCTCTTGACCCTTATTTTGAACCTCACGATCCTTATTCTGACTCTTATTTTGACCCTCGTGACTCTTAATTGTGGAGTCTTAATTTCGAGGACCAAATTTTTATCACCAAAAGTCAATTTGGATTTTTAGAATACAGAGAGATTTTCTATACAATTTCTTCGGTTCGAATTAAAAAATAGAATGAAAAAAACTTGGAAAATTTGAGTCGAGCAAATTCTGCAGGAAATATCTCAATAGAATAAGTTGTATAGAAAATCGAATTCTTTCGACTTTTTGTGTAGAATATTTTCTATTGAACATGTACGTGTGTTTGAATCGGCCAAGAACCAATAGAAATCCAATAGAATTTTTACTTATTCTCCAAACATTCTTTCTGCAGAAAATTTTACGCTAAAATTCTCCAACTTTTTACACTGTAAACCTTCCCTGAGGAAAACCTGACAAATGTATCTTTAAAAATTTTTATATGAAAATTTTCAACTGAATAACTCTTCTGGAAAATGAAAATTTATCAATTTTTTGATATAAGAGATCCATTAAAAAATCGCAAAGCAAAAATACGTAATTGTCTATCAAATGTGTAGAATTTTCTGCTGAATTTTTCAAATTTGTATATTCACCGAAAATTGATCTTCGAAATGGAATCAACTCGTCAACTTCAACCGCTTCCCTCCTGAGTTTGACCATCACTTAAAATATTTATGGAATCAATAATAGATCATAGTGATATTTCAATTTAATGCACATTTTTAATTTAGTATTTTTATTCAGCCTGATAATTTTGAATATTATTCTGAGTTTTACCATTACATCATCGAAATCATTAACGTTTTACCATTACTGCTGGTCAATTGCAATGCTGTGAGAGACCAGCAAAATATATTGTCTCAGTGTCCACACATCCGGTGTTGTACGTTGAAACAAAAGGAGATTAAGCTTGTTTAACAAAACTAAAAGATTCAGTGTAAATATTCATCCACAAAATAATCATTAATCAGGCGTTATTGTTAAGGAATCATCAAACTGTTGGTATTTAAATAATTTTCCCTCAAGATTTATTTTTCTGCAATTCGTCGTACTATTGACGGCGCTATTCCGAGCCACCTACGCTCTGTTTACCCCGAATTAGCGTAATTTTGTTACGCTCTGGCTCTGAGAGAAGACTTTCTATATCGTCTCCGTTCGCGCACGATTGATTGAATTCATCAGAATTTTTTTCTTTCAATTGTCGGTTGTAATTCAATGTCACGATGTAAAATGATACATTCACAATTGCGATCGCAGGGAGTAGCTGAGGCCGGTGTGAACCAAATGGAAAGTGGCACACGTGCCCAAATGAATGGGTAGTAATCCTCGTGTGCTCTATCTTCTGTAAATTATACTCATGCGATGTAATTCAGTGTAATTGAACGGATCAAAAATGTTCTCTTCCTCGGATGTTCCTGTTTCCGGCTGTAATTGTGTCACGTAAAATGAAAAATAAATCTGCAGAGGGATAATTATCTTGGAGTTGTTAAATGGTGAAACGTAACGGAATGAGTCACTTGGGTTGTTGCGTGATTTTTTTTTCACTCGATGAAATGATAGAATGGAGAATTGGATTGAAAATATTGCACTGAGAAAAAATTAACTCTGTTGGAAAACTATATGTTCCACGGGGGGATTTTTCATGGAGTGGAACAGGTTTATTTGAGGGAAACTAAGGGGAGAATACTGAGTTTTAAAATTCTCAGTGCAAATACGCATTTTTTATTTATGAAAGAAAAAATCGAGATGTTGCGGACAATTGGAGATATATTTGCTTCATATAATAATGTTTCCAATCACCTATGACTTACCAACTTTTCACTATTTATCGAGATTAATGAGTAAGTGTCTAATATCTTTTATTCAATCTTCACACTCAGCGGTGAAAAACAATCCTACAGAATTTGATATAGAAATTGTAGCGAAAAATGTCAAAAAACAGTTTCCGCTGGAAATTTTTTGTGTCAAAAAACGATTTCTTTGACATTTTGTGCTTAAATAATGACAACTGGACGTTTTCTCCTAAAACGTCCTGTTTCCGAGGTAAATGGAGAAATAAGAAATATGATAAAATCTGAAGGGTAAATTTTTTGCGCCCTGTTAACTCCTCGACTACGGGCCCATATCTGTTCAATACGTAACAATTTCTACACTGATGATAAAAAATTATCATCTAAAATTTAATGATAATCTTGAACTTACACCAATAAGTAGTTCAATTACGCATATGTAAATATCCGAATATTATATACGGAAATCCTATAGAATTTCTATACGCAGTCCGTATAGAAAATTTCTATACGATTTTTTCATACGTGTGGAAGTCAAAAATTGAATTATCTCAATAACCAGAAGCTTTCAATGGAAAATATGAATATGTTTTTAATAGTAAATGATTTTTTTCTCTGTTTACCCAAATTCGACTTATTATTATTCTAAACGCATATTAATCGCATTAATTCTCTCAAATTTCAGTTTACCCACAGAAGCAGCAGTACGCTTACGCCGGATATCCCGCACCTGCAGCATATCCAGGCCCTTACTATCACGGCTCGCAATACGGGCCGTATAATTACTGAAGTGAAAAGCTGAGCTCAATGAGGAACAATTTTGCAATACGAATAACGAGGGGAAAAACAAACCTAAAATGACCTCGGTGATGACGTTGTCCCAGTGTAAACACGAGAGGACAACTAGTTTAGATGAAAAGATTGAAAAGAAGCATAACTTTTGTAAACGACGAGGGAGACTCGAACTGAATGAATAATACTAGAAAAATAGAGAGTTAAATGTCGAGAGAGGTCAACAACAGCGCGTTGAATAAACAGCAATTTTTTATATATTTCTATGTGTATTCTTAAGAGCGTGGAGTTTCTTGATGTGTTATTGATATATTTATAATGCTCCTAGTGGATAAATAGCGGAGATGATTTGGTTCGTGTCTCTGGTGCGTCTCGAGACGATTTATCCGCATTTTTAATTAAATCTTTCACGTACGGAAAAATTCATAGAAAATTCGGGTGGATTTCTTTTGAATTTTCTATGAGTTCTTGGCCGAGTCTATTGAAAAATCCCGCTGCGCGTTTTTTTTCAATAGACAATATTCTATAGAAATAATCAATAGAACTAATTTTTTTATTCTATTGAAATATCTTCTGTGGAAATTCCTCGGGTCAAATTTTCAAGGATATTTTCACGCTATGGACGAAAAAACTAAAAAAATCATGGAAAGGAATTTTTATAGAAGATGTCTCAATAAAAAAAGTTGTATGGAAAGATGAGATTCTCCTGATTTTTTCTATAAAAATTTTTATTTGACATTTTAAAATTAATGGAATTTTCAACAGAAGTTCAATGGAAGAAAGTAGAATTTTCTATCGAATTCGCTAGGTTTTTCTATGAAATGTTTTCGTGTGCGTCGATTCAATAATTGGCAGTACATTGATTATTCAATAAATTATCAATTGATTAATTCCTCGGGTCCAATTTTCAAAGATATTTTCACGCTGTGGACGAAAAAACTAAAAAAATCATGTTGAGGAATTTCTATGGAAGACGTCTGAATAGAAAAAGTACAGAAAGCTGATATCCTCCTGATTCTTTCCATAAAAATTTCCATTTGACATTTTGAAACCTAATAATTTTCAAACTAATAGAATTTTCAACAGAAGTTCAATGGAAAAAAGTATAATTTTTCATCGAATTCGCTAGGTTTTTCTATGAAATTTTTTCGTGTGTGTCGATTCAATTATTGGCGGTTAATTGATTACTCAATTAATTATCAATTGACTAATTAGTTATCCTTAATGAGACTCTCATTGCTCAAAAACACGTAGTTTGATTGTGTTAGTTGGCGAGAAAATTTTCACGCGTTATGTATTCCGTTATCATGTTTTGTTCTGACTATTTACCGTTTAAATTTGTCGTAGGAAATGTACTTAGGGTGCCAGAGTTCCAACTTACTCATTACTTTGAACATTGCACAATTTAGGTAATAATTATTGTAACATTAGGATAGTTTCATGATTGATTTGTACTCGTTTTTGAATTATGCGGTGAACATTCTGGCGGATTTATTTTGTACTCGGAGATGGAGGCTACGATGACGATGATGTGTATAGAGGAGTTATCTTGAGAATAAAATGATGAAAATTGATTCGGTGAATTTTGTAAATGAATTAATCTCGTTTGGTTGTATTCACAGATGGGTAAATATTTGGTTTAAAATGATGGAGTGTGATTGGGAGTGATAAGTCCGGCTGACTCTTTTCCTAATCTACTCGGGGGAGATGGATTTTATGAATATTCATGAGCGCTATTACGCGCTTGGATAGATTCACTGAGAGAAAAACAAACACGTTGTTAAACAAGTCTTGTTTGGGCCAACAAGATCGCTAGTTGAAAATTGCCAAAAAAGAATTTGTTTCGTTCGAATTTGAAAATGTCAAACATGAATAATTGTTCTGCTCTCGACAGCAACGAAATATTTGGCTCAAGAGGCGGATAATTCACACCAGACGGTGCCTTTTCAGGATAAAAATATCTCATATGGAGGAAAATTTATCAACAAATATTTTATCCCTAATTTACAAGATTGCTATCATATCATTATTATTGTTTCATTTAAGGGTTCATTTGTTCTCTGTGATTATTAGACAGCCGAAACGAAAAACTACTATCCCTTGTCTCGCATAAAACGAAGATTTTTCGGGAGCAAAATACGTATGGGAGTATCGAATAACGAAGGACTAGTGCTAGAAATGACATTTCTTGCGTGTACAGAGAATGCAATGTTTTTTGAACTACTAAATCTATTTTTGCGACAAAAATGTTTCATTCCGGCGCACTCTGCATGTTTGGCACAAAAAATTATTTTTTGATCATTTTTAGAAAACTATTTTCTCGACACACGTAAGACTTGTTTGAGAACTTTGTCGTTTTTCTCTCAGTATTAATCAATTTACAATTTTAGATGAGATTGGTTTTCCACAAGCGTTGAAAAATATCATTATAGAAAATCTAAAAAAAATACCCACAAGAATCGAAAAATTGCAGGCGTCGGTATCTTTGATACAGCTGTATTTGTACGGGAATACGTCCATGGTCTTTCCTCCTGTCTCGAATTTCCTATAAACTCTTTGCATTCCCTCGAATTTTCTAGAAATTCCCTGAATTTCTTCGAAATTTCTAGAAACTCCTTGAATTCTTTCGAAATTTCGAGAAACCTCTCCAATTACCTCGAAATATCTATAATTTTCTAGAATTCCAATAGATGGTGCTGCACATAAGGATCGTTTCCCAAAATGACCCCCATATTGAATCCACAGACGTATCCACGTCAACAAAAGAGAACGCTGAAACCGGATAAAAATTTCGATATGACTCTCATAGAATTTCCCCAGCGAAAGCGCTTCGTCCTATTGATTTCTCTCCTCCGTCCCCTCAATCTCCCCAGGACAACAATTTCTGCCCATACTACCCAAGTTGATTGACAATGAACGATTGTTTCGATTGTTAACTTTTTTATTCGCCTTGCGATTGAACACTGATAGACTGATTCATTTATTCCAAACGAAATTCGTTAGCTATTAACGAATAGTAGAGTTCAATATGACCAAGTGAATATTCGGTAATAATTAACGAAAGGTTCACTTGAAAGGTGAGAATCGAGTCAAACAAGCCTCCTCAAATATGCATTTATTAACTATTAACGAATGAACATTTGGTGAGACCGAGTAGACCCTCATCTCCAACCAAATCCATTCGTTAACAACTAATCTTTTCTATGAGATAATGGAAATGATTGATTGATGGATCAATCAATGATTTCCATGACTACAAGTATGTTATTGTGCGTTACATCGCTCACTTGAAGGTGGTCGCGCGATGATTGCCTAGTATTCCAAAAGGTCAGAAGTCGATTTTTGAATGAATTATGCTCAGTAAAATGGAAAAAATCATCTGGTCCTTGGCGCCAGCCTTAGAAATAGGTCTCGCGGTTGGTGAAAGGTGAGCCACAGGTGTCAACATTCCGCGTCGATGAGTATTACCGCGCTTGCGCATCGTCTACAAGTACCAAAATGGCGGCCACTGGGTTATTGTTGTCGGGTCGCAGTGACACAGCGCACAGCGATGCTCACACGCCCGTCGCACTAGAGTGTGGGATTTATTGCGGGAGTTCCCGGGGGTGGATTCAGTTAGCGTACGACCATTGACTGGTCAAAAGGGACATGTTGAGAGTCTCCATAAATTTTTTTCTCGTTACTGTAGTACTATTGCAGTCTGCAGCTGCGCAAAACAGCACGAGATCCTCATTTCGCGACGAAAAGGTGAGGCAAAACTAAATTACGAATCGATGCCATGCAATGTTTATTTTTCAATAACTCCTCTCGTTATTTTCCATTATTTACGCATCTCCCGCCATTTGTTCACAGTTGTTGCATACGGCAGACAGTCTCGATGCCGCTCAAGTGAGGCGGCTGTCACAGCTGTCGAACACTACGAATTTGAATGAAATATTGGACAATATCTGTGTTGTTAGGGTCGTGGGAACTCCAGCGCATGCACGAGTTGGAAATGTATGTAGTTAATCAAATAATTACAGAAAGTTAAGTCATTTGTTCCTCAGTGATTGGAGTTTAACAGTTCGGCGTAAGGATAATTGAATTAATTACACGGAAAGATACTCGGAATGAGGAAAGTCTTAATCGGAAAATAAATATTTTTTATCCGAGAATACGACATTCTCGAATCAACTTAACATGTTTCGGTTAAGAATACCTTTGGCGGGGCATTCTTCCATTTTATAGTAGTAGTTATTATGGGAGAATACATTTATATGATTGAGGAAGCGGTGTCATTATTATTATAACAATGATGTATTGTGTATTATTACCAAGAAGGTTGTGGTAATATCGATTGATTCGTGAATTCGCGGAAGAGTCTTATGGTACCCTTATGGCGAAATCAGTCATCACGGTTTTTAATGAATCCCATTTTAAAAAATGTGCGAAGAAGGTGTTTATTCTAATTTCCTCTTCAGATAAGAAAACAAAATCGAATTGAAGGTCCGCGTGTGTTATCTCTCGAACGTGGGCTTGATTGTTTTTTTCTTAATTTTGATATTCTGAGATGTTCTCCAATTGCTGCTCAGTGTTACGTAACCCTGGAGTCTTCAAAATTGCGATCGTGCAATCAAAAGAACGTTGAAATACTGAACATTTTCATAGAGTTTAAAAAAAAATGTTGAGAAATAAACAATAGTTTATTTGTAGATAATAGTTATTAATAAATAATAGTTAGTTATCCATTTATCCTTTTACAATTGCATCTGTGTCAGACTTATTTCCTAATCTTCATTATAAATGTTCTTTGGAAATGTTCAGTTTTTTTTTACTTTTGTTGATTGTAGAATCATAATTTTTAGGGACTCCTGCGTGATGTAAAATTCAATGGGATTTGTGATATATTTTAAATTATGACGATGAAAAAAAATCGAGACTATCGTTCGAAAGATGATCCATCCGGCTCTTAAGAAAAAAAATTGAAAAATGTATTATCAAATCCCTCTACATGAAGAAGAAAGAATTCATTTGCAACTGCTTATTTCTGAACAAAATAGATTTCTCAAAATTACTGTTACTGTCGTGTGTGAGGCAAACAAGTGGTGCTGAGAAGATTAAAATGTACGCAAATTCTCCGCTCGTATATTACTTGATCTTAAACAGCCCAATAAGCATTCGTAAGACAAAAAAATCCAGACGACTGAATTGTCATGAAATGTCCCATAAAGCAAATAACTCAAAATGAATAAAAACTTGAAAAAAGAGTAGAAAAATTTCAAAAGAAGCATTACCGTAATTACTCATCCAGATGAAAAATCATCATTCAACCATATTTATATATGATATTCATCTTATTATTAATTCATCCAATTATTCATGCGGCATATTGATGCGATCGATTTTGTTAATCCCCCAGTACATAAAAGATTATATGGACAAGCTGTGATAGTCCACAGAAATCGACGCGTTCAAAGACGATACTCCGAATTTTGGAAGACTAGCCTTTAGAAAGCAAATAACTCAAAATGAATAAAAACTTGAAAAAAAAGTAGAAAAATTCCAAAAGAAGCATTACCATAATTACTCATCCAGATAAAAAATCATCATTCAACCATATTTATATCTGATATTCATCTTATTATTAATTCATCCAATTATTCATGCGGCATATTGATGCGATCGATTTTGTTAATCCCCCAGTACATAAAAAATTATATGGACAAGCTGGGATGGTCCACAGAAATCGACGCGTTCGAAGACGATACTCCGAATTTTGGAAGACTAGCCTTTAGAAAGCAAATAACTCAAAATGAATAAAAACTTGAAAAAAAGTAGAAAAATTCCAAAAGAAGCATTACCATAATTACTCATCCAGATAAAAAATCATCATTCAACCATATTTATATATGATATTCACCTTAATATTAATTCATTCAATTATTCATGCGGCATATTGATGCGATCGATTTTGTTAATCCCCCAGTACATAAAAGATTATATGGACAAGCTGGGATGGTCCACAGAAATCGACGCGTTCGAAGACGATACTCCGAATTTTGGAAGACTAGCCTTTAGAAATATCATAGCGAAATTGAATCCCAATGCACGCAGGTACTTGGCTCTGGCGTGTCACTATGACTCGAAGTACACGAGAGAAGGTGACTTTGTGGGGGCGACTGACAGCGCTGTCCCATGCGCCCAGATGATGAACTTGGCTACTGTAATGAGGAAACATCTGGAGCCACTGAAACAGGTTGGCCTTGTTGCGCATGAATAATTCTTTTCATTTGTGAAATCTAGGGGAATTATTAATCCATAACGTTTATTATGCTGTGAATTGTTGAGAAGTATTAGAGGTCTAATTAATTTTTATATTCTTTGCATTAGAATTTCCAAGAATTATGAATTTATAGGATTAAAACGATCCTGTAAATAGAATCTTATAATAGAATGAAGATTTATAGGATTTAAGAGGAAGATTGAGGGCTCGTGAGGCAATCAGAACATAGCTGACGTCTTTTTTGTAATATGTAGCATAATTACGGTTCATGATACAGGAAAATATTCCAAATTACATCAAGTAAACTTTTGAGGATTAAGATCAATTCCACTGGGAATGCTGGGAAGTAATTGATTATTTTGGATCGTTGAATTCCCGCATGAAAAGTTTAATAGAAAATTGAATTCTCTTCTATTGGGGATCTTTAGGAAACCATTGGGGTTTATTTCTGGTAGAGTTCTATTAGAATTTTATCGAAAATTATACCACTTTGCCATACGTTTTTCAGTAGATATTTTTGATAGAAAAAAGGAAATAGAGGTTTTAAATAGAAATTATATACGATTTCTATATATTCCTTATTTTGTTAAGTTTTTTTTCTATGAGAATTCATGGACATATGCAAAAACCCCTTTTCATGGACGTCCACCTATGTCCATGAATTCTCATAGAAAAAAAATTAAAATTGGTAAATTGTTTTTTTATCCTCTCGCTAGAGAAGATTATGAAAAGAGATTTAAGCCATCGAAAATAATTTACTTCTCTCAAGTGAATGTAGACTACACATTAGGAAATTTTTCTCTCAATGTATAGAATAGCAACAGTAATTTCATGCAATTACAATTCTTTCATAGCGTAGATACTGTGACTCATGAAAAATTTCTCATGTCTTATTTAATTATAATTTCATTGTTACATTCGGCTTTCGTTTTCAGGGAAGTCTCAGTTTGATGTTAATATTTTTCGATGGAGAAGAAGCATTCAAGACTTGGGGGCCCAAAGACTCGATTTACGGATCTCGACATCTAGCCGCCAAATGGCACGGGGTCAGAAACACCATTGGATACGAGTCGGATATCACAGATTTGGACAGAATTGTCAGTTTATTTTTTTACTATTTCATCTGAGACTATTCGCAAAATAGTCCTCACGACTGAATGAAAATTCCTCAATTCCGTTGACAATTTCGATTTGTTAAATGATATGGAATTGTTTTTCAGGATCTACTGGTGCTGTTAGATTTACTCGGAGCTTCTGATCCCACATTCTACAACTATTTTGACAATACAGAGCACTGGTACAGCCAGTTGGTCACGGCAGAAAGAGAACTAGCAAAATTGAGACTGTTCGATAATTATTCATATGGCAAGCCTGAACAGACCTACTTTCAGCCTTATTCCATTGATGGCGGTGTTGAAGACGATCACGTTCCATTTATGAGGAGAAGTGAGTTTATTCATTACAATCTGTGATAAGCAAATTCCATAATTATTTCTTCACTTGAGGCCCGCGTGTATTATCTTTCGAATGTAACCTTGGTTGTTTTTTTAAATTTTGATTATCTCAAATGTTTTCCAATTGCCAGTCTGTTTTACATAGCCCCCGAGTCGATGAAAATTATGATTAAATGTGTAAATTATCATTAAATTTAAAGATTGAATCATTTAACGAAAAATTAAGATTTTTATAATAATATTGGAAAATAAAACGAATTGGGAGGAAAATTATTAATTTACAAATTAATAATTTACTGCATTTTGCAAATTAACTGCAATTAAAGGAAAGAAGCACTAACGAACGTCATTGCTATGTCAAATGAGAGATTTTATCTCCGCAAAGTTTGACCGTCGTGACCCTCGGGATTTCACACATTTCCCCTCTGACCTACTTATTATCCTCCTTGCAACATTGAATAAATTAATAAGTGCCACGATTCTCAACATTTTACCATTGAAATGATTATACTTTAAAAAATTGAAGAATTAAAAAATTTGTGTTCACCTCTTCAGGTCTAAATAAAAGAGATTTCTCCATTTTTGGAAAATCAATTCGAAACTCAACAATAGGTCTTTTATTTTGATGTCCAGTAAACGGACATGTGGAAGTAAATTTTTTGATGCTGGAAATAAAAATATCTGATTTGAAAAAAATTTAAAAATCCCCAAAAAACAATCTGAATGGTTAGTTATTAATTAATTTAATATTTTTTGAATTTCAGACGTGCCCATTCTCCACTTAATTCCAAGCCCCTTCCCCCGAATTTGGCACACGTCCAAAGACAACAGAAACGCCATCAGCATTCCCACAACTGAGAACTTGAATAAAATATTGCGATTATTTGTTGCTTCCTACTTGAAGCTCAAGGTGTCTGTAAAAAATGTTTATAAGAATTAATGTTGTTTAAAACTTGTACAATTCATGCTTCATCATTTCTCCCCGCCCTCAAGTCCACGAGAGAATCGCAAACAATTGAAGATAGTCCAAAATGGCCGAACTTTGATCCCTTTTGACACATCAGAAAATTCAAAATTCTCAATCTTCAAATTGCACAAGTTTATCTTTTACTCTTTTATGGAAGACGGAGTGGGAGAATTTAAAATACCGAGGACGAAGATATTTCTGGTGTTTGCATCTTTGGTATTGAAGTTCTATTGTCATTTATCAGGAATACTGTCGCAGCAGGGGGAACTTGCGATCATGAATTTATTAGGAGTAGTGAGTTAATTAATCATTTCATTCGTTCCATTCCTCTAAAATTGAAGATGTTAATCCATTTTCAGAAGAATTTTTTTTTCATTTTTGAAAAAATACTGCAATTCAGCTGATGAAAAAATATAAGAACAATTTATTTTGATGATGGCCGGCTGCACCAGGCCCTGTTAGCCAAATAAATTGTCAGAATAAATTCATGTCTAGAGTAAGTGTATTTCACAGTTAGACAATTTTAGGAATTCGTCGTAGAGTGCTTTTATTCTACCATTCGGTCGTGAATATCAACTAAATACTTCATATTTAGTGGTATTATTGGCAAATAGTGATGATACATCGATGCAGCACGTCTTTCGGTGAAATACCTGCAATGAACTTTCGATCAAAATTCAGCTGTAGATTATTTGTATATATTCCGATACTTAACTAAGGCTTTTCTTAACTGGGTTTGGTGCGACCGGCCCTATTTCCTTTTTTCTATCAAAAAATATCTTTTGAAAAAATTACTATTAACAGAACTTACGTAGAATTTCTCTAAGGGGATATGTAGGTGAAATTTAAAAGCCCTTACTGGGCCTTGGGGCCTTAAGTTTCGGACCCGATCGATTGTGCCCCGTATAACCACGAGAAACTACATTTTTCCTGTTTTTCCTTCCAAATGCTCCTTGCGCTGTAGTTTCCATACGATTTTAGCTTTTTTTAAATATTCGTTACACCAAAGAGTAAGTTGAGCAAGCATCCGTTTTTCTTCAATCGCAGCAGATCATGAATAAATGAATTTTGAATTTCATAAATTTTTCGCGTCACTAGAGTAGAGTAAAATTTGAAATTTTCAAGACTTAAATTTCACCGACGTATCCCCTTAAAAAACAGAAGGTTTTTCTGACGAATTTTTCCCATACGTATGGACACGTAAGAAAAAATTCAATAGAAGACGTAACGAATTCGCTAGAAAATTCTATTGAAATTCTATAAGAATTCTATGGGGTTTCTACAGAATTTCTATTAGAATTCTATTGAAAAATTCTATTTGTTTTTTGCGTTAATTCTATTCGATATTCTATAAGAAAAAGTCAATAGATTTAGAATTTCCGTTGGAACTTTCCTCTTCAGATTGTTTCTACTAGAATTCCAATGGAAATCCTATAGAATTCCAATAGAATTTTCTAGCGAATTCGCTAGGTTTTCTATTGAATTTGTTCATGCGTGGAAAAACATCCAGTTCATTTACTCATAAAATCAATCGCTGAAATTCCTGAAATTCATCAGATAAATAGCGTGCGAGATTGGCTGAACGTCAATTGGCAGTATCAAGTCGACGAAATATCGAAATTGCCACTGTCCCATAACAACTCCAATCCCAACTATGAGGAGTGTGTGAAAACCGGTGAGCCACAGGAAATAGTACATTACATACCCGAGCCTTGGAAAACAGATCATCCTCCCCCACGTGCTTGCCATCCTCGCCTTCGGCTCGGAAGGCAATCTTGCACGTGGGGGAGGGGGATATGCTTTCCATGGCGAGGTGTGTATATTAATTTTCGTGTCGAGGGACCTGCAAAACGCCAATTTGATGCCATTGACGCCATTTGAAAATAGGGTTTTTCAGGTCCCGTGACACGAAACAATAATAACGAGAAAATGATAATGAAACACATTGTGCCCACTGATTACACTTAATTACTAGTCCTGAAGTGGGTCGTGATGACACGGATGATAATAGCGCACCTGTACACAGCGACGTACATCGCAAACTTTTATCCAATTTTAACCTTATGCCGGGGACGATTGTTGGTTCCCTGGTTGGCGATGAGTGCTGTTAAAAACTTTATCCTGGAGGTCATTGTCCTCGTGGTCGTTGTGCTTTTGTACCTGCAGAATCATCTGTCCATTTACTTACTGTGCGAATTTTTTATTCACAAATTGGTGACGCTTGGTAAGATCAGAGGGAAATTAAAATGTTACTCAATTAGGAACTTGCATGACTTCTTATTCTAATCTCGAGGCGACGAGTCATGAAATATTTGACGTTCCAAAATGATGAAAAAATTGGTCCTGAGAATGAGGAATTTTTTCTTAATGCACGCGACAATGCAATAGAAAATCCAATTGTCGTTGGAATTCTGTTGGAGAATATGTTTGGTTTTTGCCGATTTCTCTGCGGAATTATACAATTTTTCTGGACGATTTGTCGATAGCCTGAAGTGATATTAATCAAGTTTTTTACTCTTTCCACATGGCGCGATTATAGGAATATTGCCGCTTGTTTCGGGTTTAATCTTCGAAAAAAAATACTGTACACGATCCTAAGAATTGCCCGCCCGAAAAAATGGAATGGAAAAACCTAGCGAATTCGTTAGAAAATTCTATCGGATTTCTATTGAAATTTCTATTAGTTTTTGGCTGATTCTATTGAAATGTTCAATAGAAAAAGTCAACAGAAGTCGATCTTTCTGTATGACTTATTCTCTTCGAATATTTTCTGTAGAATTCCTTCGGCTCAAATTTTGCAAGTTTTTTTCATTCTATTTTTCGTTTCTTCTCATCAAGAAAATAAAAAAACCTGGAAAAATTGAGCCGAGAAAATTCTACAGAAAATATCTCAATAAAATGAGTTGTATAGAAACATGGAATACTATTGACTTTTTCGATTGGATATTTTATATTGAACACTTCAACAGAATCGGCCGAAAACGAATCGAGAATTCAGAAAGCGAAATTAGCTGTGTAGGAGTCGAATTTCAAAAAACGAATTCGTAATTGTTATCGTAATCGTTGGGTATGAACTTTATAATTTATTTTTCTTGGATTTTGCAATAAAAAATACAGTGAAAAAAACTTGCGAAACTCTGCCCAAAAAATTCTATAGAAAAACCCTAAAGAAAATAAGTCATAAAAATTGAGATCATGAACTTTTTTATATCTAATATTAAAAAACCAAGTAGAATCGATGAAAAATTGATAGAATTTTTGATTTAATCCCCATAGACATTCAATAGAATTCGTAGCGAAAGCGTTGGGTATTTCTTTTGAATTTTTCCATACGTATATTTATCCATAACAAATAATGCATAATTCATTCATTAATTAAAAAATTGAGCTTAATGCAAGTTCCCAATTGACCTAAAGAAATCCTCAGGAAAAAAATTGAAACGACTCAATTTCAGCGCCTGCAGTATACAACTGGCTGACGATAAACTCCTTCTACACCGAATTAAAGTCGCTAAATCATCGAAAGCTAGCTAGACTCAATACCTCAATATTCTATCAAAAGTCTTCAATAGTCTACAAGCACCCGAACGTCATAATAGGGCTCCCAATGCAGGCCACAAATCCCAATTATCCGCAAGAGCTCTTTAATTCAGGCTCGGGCCCTCCGATGAGAGTCACATCTCTCGCAAATTACCGCCACCCACTCTCTGACCCCCCCGGAAACCTCAGACTGACAAAATCCTTATCCTTCGCCTCGATCGACCGAAGAGAAATCGACTCCCTCATTACCGAAAATGCGCAGTCTCATGCAAGAAAACTTCAGGGGGCAATCAGTGAAGCTTCAACATCATCACCCTGCGGTTGTTCCCTCCGCGATGATCAGGAATTTCTCGATTTAAATAACAAGACATCGGAGGAAACGGTCTTTACAGATCAACGCACAGAGACAATCGATCCCCCGGAATCGTCTTTTCTCCCTCAAGACTGGTTTTTAAAAAAGATGAATGACAGATATAAATTGAGTGACTACACAAATCTCCTGAATCAATACAACGATGGCGAGTCTTCCAGATGGTCATCTAACGAAGAAGTGAACGATGAAGAGTCCGCTACCACCATAATCAAGACTGTACCTGACGAAGTCCCCAAAACGTCGAAGCCATCGACTAAAATGGACTCGATCCAGTGGCGAAGGCGACTTGAGATCATCGGATCGTCCTTCGAGTCGACTCTCCAGTATTACAATCAATCCTACGACTCCCGATCCTCAAAATTATCCATGAATGACTTTGGATTGAGCCGAAGTTGGATTCTAGATGGAATGATAATCACAGGAACTGTGAATAATAGAAAGACGTCGAGTCAGGGGTTGAACACGAACGTGAAGAGACTTGAGAGGGTGGAGATTGAGGCTTTGAAGGCGTATAATAAGAAAACGCTATGGGAGGATCGACTGAATCGTCAGAAATTGAAGGGAGATCTTGAGAAATCACGGAGGGGCTCGAATGAATTATCGAAGAAGGAGGAAGAGTGCGAAAGGGAGGTCCAAAGGGAAAGAAAGTACGAAGTTACGAGCTTGAGCATTAAAAAGGTCATTGCCAGTCTCGATTGGTCCCTGGGGGCTTTCCCAATTGATCTCTCCTATCGAGGCGAACTGAATTCCGGACAAATTACCGATGGACATGATGATGAGCCGTTGGTAGCTAATCTTGCCTCAGATAACACGAGAAACACCACGGAATTACTTCTGTTTGCCTTTGGTTTCAGTGACAGGAGTGGATTCGGCGAGTGGAATCCAACGTCAGACATTTATTCTTCATCTGAAGAAATACCCAATGTCTTCTTTGAGATTATTAAAACAGCCAGAGTGAGGGCTATTAAACACGACTGTAACTGCCGGAGTACAGCCGATGTGGATTATGGAGAAAATTATTGGGGGAATGTCAAATACATCACGTAGTTGGAAAGATTTAATAATTTTCTGCTCATACAGTTGAGCGATAGGCGAACATAAATTTAAACGAAATGACGAAAGACACTGATCTAGGTCAGTCACATGTTCCTCGTGAGAATTGAAAAAACTGTTTATATAATTCGCTCGTTTATTCGTTGAAATGTGGAGATAATTTATTACTCTTTAATCGTCATGAATTTAACAACGCAGGGTCGACGAAAGAAGTTTCGTCAGTTAAAAATGATCACCATCCACTATTCATTTTTATTAATGGGTTAGTATATCGTAGACCCATTAATACTACATCGCTGTATTGAGCTCATTAACACAGTTTGTCTTTGGTTCCACTATCAATGAATGGACCCCAACATCAGACATTCATTCTTCATCTGAAGAAATATCCAGCGCGTTCTTCGAGATAATGAAAACAGCCAGGATTATTAAACCCAAGTGTAATTATCGAAAAACACCGGATGTAAATCATGAAGAAATTATTGGAGGAATGTGAAATAAACTAAATCACCCAATCTCAAGATAATTCCTGCTCAAGCAATTAACTTAATGTAGACCATAAACTTCAACGGAATGATGAAAGGCATGATTCAGCTCAATCATATGTACCTGAAACGTAAATAAAAAATTCTGGGTCAAATCACTAGTGCCTTCAATCCTTCAACTTGTACTTATCCCTAATGAATTTTCTCCAGCGACGAGTATCTCACGAATTTGATATTCTCGGAGAAAAAAAGTACTGGAATGAAGAAGCTTTAGATACTGAAGTCGAGAACTCTAGGTTTTTAAGAGAGGAAACGTTTATAATTTATGAGATTGGAGGCATTCGCAATTTGGGACATTAACTCTCCTGTAGTCGCTCGTCTTCGCCGAACGTTATTGGTCGCGTGGTAAGCGCTGCGCCGTCTACGAGCGCGCGTTGCCAAAGCCATACGACACTATAAACATATTACCGGGCAGTAGTAGATAAATTATAAATTTCGACACAAATCCCATAAGAGTCCGTGTATAACGAAAAACTTGTTTATTTATTTCTGGCGAGACTATTGCCATTAATTTTTTTTTAACATCAAAGAAGTTAGTTTCATATGCTTTGCTATCAGCCAAAAAAATTATAGAATTTTCCTTGAACATGAAGAAATAAGATTTGCTGAAAATGGCTAAACATCCTGAAGAACTCGGGTTTTTTATTTCAGTAAAAATTTCCCTAGAAGTTTCACTCGAATCATTTCTCCCTGCGTACATACCTGAAATCCGCCCCAAGAAGGAACGCGTCGTCCCCAAAAAACTGATTTACATAATTTACTCATTTATTAAAACAAAGATAAAAACCTATTTCTAATTATTACCAATCAATTCAAGAATTACATCAACAACAAAGCCTATCCTAAATCAATACAAAACCACTGTAAAAAACTGCATGTACACGTTTACAAGAATAAAATACCGAAAAAGCCGTCGATATCAGCACGTTTCATCGTACCCGTTCTCCGACTCCGGAACGATGTAGTCAGGGTCGCAGACGGTGTTCCTGACAGCCTCGTCAACGTACGCCCGATAAACCCTGAAGTTGATGTCGTGAGGATTCCAGGGCCCATAGAGGTACATGGGGAGTCTGTTGGAGATGGTCCAGAAGCTCTGTCGATCCTCGTGATCGACCCTGAGATCGTTCGGGAACACGAGTGACTCATTGCTGACGCCGATGACTCCCAGATTCTGCGGGATGTACTCTTTCCTGGTGTCCCAGCACCAGACCGAGTCCCTGGTCACCATGTTGATGAACATTACCCCGTGTTTGTCGATGGCTGACCCCGAGGAGTGGCCGTAGTCCTTCGCGCGCGGTTTTCCCACTGGCATGAAGCTCTCGGGACTCGTCTCGGCCGTGTCTTTGTCGTTTAGGACTGAGGTTGCGACTGCGAACTCTCGGAAACTCGACATCGGGTGGAAGAAGAGGGTCCGGTCGTTGTTGATGTCCAGGGGGCTCAGGGCCAGCCCCAGAATGCCATCCATCCACTGGAACTGGATTCCGTGGAGCTCGTAGCGCGCTGAGAGCGGATCCGGCAGGAAAAAGTGGTGCTGGATCCGGAAGGACGTGTCGTTCGAGAAGTCGTAGACTATCATTGCGAAGCGCCACACGTCCGAGAGGTAGACTTTCGCCGAGGTGCAGTCGCCGTCTCTGACGTCCACGACTATGTTCGACCAGAGGGAGTCCTGCTTCACCTGGTCCTCCGGGATCTGGTACCGGCGGAGGAGGCGGTCTGTGCGCAGGTCGAAGATGAAGATCGCGGGCGGACAGATCTGCCGCGGGTCCGCGGTCAGGTTCACTGTGCCGGAGTCCAGCACCCAGAGCCGGTCGCACTCGTCTACTTGGATGCGGAATACTGACGTCATGCCGCCGCATGAATCTGGGGAGCGGGAGGGGTTAAAGGTGGTACTGCTGAGAGGTGGCATTGGTAATTAAATGACAAAGGCATCAGAGAAATTTTTAGGTATAGGTGAATTTGGAATGAATCAATTGGTGATATTAGTCAGCAGGTTTTTGATTTTTGGAAATAATCAGCAATTTACATTTTCAAGTTCCGAATTATTTTGTCGATCGGGAATTGAAATATTCAAATTCGAATTACTTTATGAACCAATAATTGAGAAGTTGACTTACCAATTATTATATTATTTTTCAAATTTCAATTACGATGAATGAATTTAAATTACTATAAGGTGAAAGTTCTCATAATATTACTAAAAGTAATGATTGATACCGATCTATGATTAAATGGTTTTTCTCCTCCGATGCTCAAGAGAGCATCCCCAAGAAGGGGATTTCATAGAAATTTCAATAGAAATAGAGTGGAATGATGGTTTTTCTTATTGAGGGTTTAAGGGTAAGTAAATTATAAAATTTGAGATTTCACTGAAAATTCAGTCAAATGCCAGAATTTTTAGAAGCATAGAGACGAGATGTCTTCGATTCATTTGAATTTTCAATGAAAACGTGAATATTCAGTGCCAAATTCTCCTGAATTTTTAAATAATTGAAAATTCAAGAATATGTTTACCGGTATTTTGCGGTTTTCTATTAATTTTCAGGGAACAATTAAACTAAAATTCACAGTTATCCTCGATTTTTCCCCGCAATTCAGAATTTTCAATGACGCAATTCCTTGAAATTCCAGTGGAACTTGAATGCGATAAAAATTTCGGAAAATTCTACGGGAAATGGCAGCTAAAAATTTTTTAAATTGTAAAAACCGCTAGACTAATACTTGAAAATTGAGGGTCATCTACATAGATCGCCATTGACGGTCAAAATTCAGTAGTGAAGCGGTAAACCTGCTTAAGTCGATTTTGACTGCTGTCCAGTTATTCATTAATACCTCAAAATCTAAGAGAGATAGCAAAATATTTCTTATGACCTTTTTTATAACCCTCAATTGGCTCTACAAAAAAGGTCAGAACAAAAGTTTTTCCATCTCTTTTAGATTCCGAGATATTCGTCAAAAACTAGCCGATAGTCGAAATCGACTTGACCCGGTTTACCGCTTGGCTACTTCAACATTTATGCGGTAATTTCATGCTCATGGCCAATCATTTCTTTTTCTGACCACGTCAGATTCTCGGCGCGGTAATTACCGGTCATGCCGGTGGTCATTGCCGGTCATTTGACCGGTCGTACTTGTCACTCACATCTCTAATCATTACCTTGATGATGCCATCCCCAGCTGGGATAGGGTCTCAATTTAGGGCTCTTATCCTTAGAGAACCTCGGAGCGGTGGTGAGTGTGGCTGGCACCCCGCTCCTCCACTTTGGCAATGTCACGAAGACTCTGTCGTGCCAGAATTCCAGACCAAGTGGTAAATTATTCTCGGGAATGTAACTGCCCTCGAATATCGCACGCTCTCGTGCTGCTTCACTCTCGAATTCGAAGTCAACTGTGCTCCACGCATAGACCTCATTAAATAAAAAGGAAATGCATCGTTAACTCGATAATGAGAGGCCATTAAATTGCGTAACAGTCGAATCGTCCCACTTACGAGTTCCATCGATGGACCAGGTTTATCCTCCTTAGGAATTGAATTGCCTGGCGGCTCGAAGCTCTGACTTGGCTCGGCGAACGTAATATCGTTGCCATTAGTATTACCATAAGAGGTACTGTGTTGCGATTCACTGAATCTACCCGATCTCATGGAGTTGAGGATCTCGGGACTGAGAAAACTGGAAGAAGACTGCGTACACAATTCAATTGAATAAATCAAGTGTTACGTAAGGAGATCAGAGGGGGAGGCGCACGTTTTCTCGGGGCACTCACCACTCTGTATCCACCTTCCGGTATTCTTGGGGGCTCCAGCTCCTGGGAAATCTGCTCCAGGAGGTTTGGACTCTGGGCTGAGTACTCCTGCAGCCCCAGCAGGGTCATTGACACCAGCAGGGGCATTACGTTTGTCATACCTGCGGCAGAGAGTGGGTAGTGGAATTGGAGAATGAAACTGGAGGACATTGAAGTATTTAATTGTTGGGAATTTTGGGGAATTAGTTCAGGACTTTTTTGGAGTTTTATTAGATTCAATTTCGTGATTTGGAAATTCATTTGGAAATCACAATTATTTTTTTTAGATAAATTCGCAATTATTTGTCATCACGCACGAAAAAAATTATTACAAAATAACAGCGAATTCGCTAAACAATTCTGTTGATTTTCTATTGAACTTTCTATTTGCTTTTGGGAGATTCTATTGGAACATTTTCTATAGAAATTTCCGCAGCTCAAATTTTCCAAGTTTTTTAAATTTATTTTTCTTTTTTTTCATAAAAGAAATGGCCAAGACAGTTTGAGCCGAGGAAATTCTATAGAAAATATCTCAATAAAACAAGTTGTATAGTAAAATTTAATTTTATTGATTTTTTCTGTAGAATATTTGTTATCCAACATTTCAGTAGAATCGGCCATTTTACAATAATTTTATTATTGAAACTTTGCAGGCTTCAATTTTAATTTCGATATTGAACGATTAGAAAATATTTTAAAAATTAAAAAAAAAATTGGAAACTTTAATTTTGGAGGACGATTGGTGAAATAATTGAAAAATTGTAATTTTCAAAAATTGCGTATTTTCTACGAATAATTTATAAATAATCAATTTTCTCCCATAAAAATCATGTCTAAAAAAATTAGGTTTCCGAAAGTTTGAACAATTTCAATTATTTATTTATAAACAACGAATGTTTACAAGATCATAATTCTGTGCAAAATGTAATTTTAATAACCCTGAATATTCATAATTTTTTTTTTCAATTTTTCCTCACGCAATTTAATTATCAAATTCGTTGATTTTGAATCATTGGGTTTTAATGTCTCGTTAAATAGTGTATTATCTTCATAATGAGTCTATTTCAGAGAACATCTGAAGGGATAACAAGTATTTAAAAAATCAATAGAAAAATATAGGGTTTTTACCGGGAAATGCAAACTCAATTTTTACATTATTTCTAGAATTTCCAATTAATTTTTTAATTTTCTCATTTCTCACTAGAAAATCCACCAAAAAACTGCACGCCTAAATATTCTCACTACAAAAATTCGCAACTGAGTAATCTATCTCGGAAAATCGACACCTGACTTTTTTCGATCAAATATCTCTTAAAAAATCCGTTCGCGTTGGACTTCCTATAGAACACCGAAAAAATTTCAACCGAATTCCAATAGAACCTTAAATACCAAAGCTAATTACTATCACAAAAAAATTATTTCTACAATTGAACGTGAAATCACAGCATCCCGCGAAGACTACAGAAAAAAAAATTTCCCTATTAATTCTGCACATCCCCATAAATTATCTCGACAACGAGGGATGCTGGTGAAAATGTCAAAGCCTTTTTTGCAGCTGGAAAAATCTCCAGCAAAAAATCCCCTGAATTTCCCCCTAAAGCCCAAAATAAACCAAGAAACACCAGAAAATAGAATTTCGTTTATCACGATTCATTCCTTCACTCCAAAATTCAATAAATCAGTGTGAAAAACTGAAGCGTCAGCACGGCAATTCACGCACATGACACCATTTAGCAACTCATCGTAATTGACCCCATTACCTCGAGCCATCCAAATCGTAATTTCCGACGTAAAAAGAAAACTCCACTTTCTATTTCATCAACAAACGAAAATAATTTATCTCGATCTCAACTATTTATTTTGACGTTTGAATTTATCGGCTGTGTACGTCTTCCAAATTTACAGAAATATAAACGTTGGATTTAATTATTCAACTTTGATATATACGATCACAAAACTTGCGATACGACTGTGTGTCTCGCCTGCACATCTTCGTATATTCTATCCCGGATGAACACATTCGAGAGTAAAAGCCGGTGGCATCGTCATCCCCCACTCGTGACTTTTAGCTGGTATTCACAGGCCAAAAGAAGGAGAATCTTCACCTCGAGCTGGGTAGGTCAATTGGGAAGAGGCATAGAACCGTGAGAGACAATCAAACTGACTCCAAACTTCCGGAATAGAGTAACTTATTAAAGAACATTATCCCCCTTTCCCTTTCAGGCGCCATTATTTCTCGTTGTTACCTTTTTTTCCTGGTTTTCATTCGCACTGGCAATCGTATGGCAACCGTTCCACAAGACGAACACTTTTATTGCCGCAATAAACAAGATGAGTTTTCAATTAATGTCCCAGGACTGGTTTTGAATACACAACGCGTTGGAATTCAATTATTATCTAATACTTTTGGACATTTCGTAATAGCTTCACTGCTTTTATTTTCACACTGTGAGAGGAATGTATTGGTCAATGATCGGTCATTAACTTTCAGTTATATGGGCATGGGGCAATTTCACTTGTAAAAATTAGAGATAACAGGGGATAAAGAACAGGAGCAAAAACCCCTACAGTGCACAGGCTTTTTTGTGTATGTTGGGAGCAAACGTGCAAACGTGGATTGAATACTCGAGAATTTGAATTATTTTTCGGTCATTAAATGTGGGGAAATTTTAGGGGAATGGATCGGCTAAAGGCTCGAATAAAGGTTTCAAGATTTGTTACATGAAATTAGAGGGGAAATTTCCTAATCGTGTTCCAGGCTGAAATCACCAGGAAAAATGCCAAAATGCTCTTAAATCATGCCAGACGATAAATGTCTGCGATCGAGGGAATAAAATACCCTTCGCTGTGAATTCGAATTCAATTTAAAATTTAACCATTTTCATCACCTGAAAATTGCAATTTCCCGCATTTGACTGCTTTTTCCGTAACAAAATATACGAAAATCTCATGTAAAAATCAAAATCAAATAAAAATAAATGACTAAAAATTTAAATTTTACATAAATGGATCGTTGTTAAAAAATTCGCGATCTGCTTGAAAGTTCATGAGTAATTTCCTACCAGTGTACCACTCTAAATTCACCACTAAAAATCTGACAATGCTCTTAAATCACTCCAGCCAATAAATGTCCACACTCGAGCCACTAAATTATCCTCCAAAGTGAAACTAATCTCCACTTCACCTCAAATTACATAAAACCCGTCAAGACCTTGCCATATCCAAAAACAACTTACGAATTTCATTGTATCCGTGAAAGTGGTACTGCGGAAAAAAATTCCGTTTTCTCCCAAAATCCCCTCCATAATGATCTCTGTAATCCTCCAAGGGATCACTATAGCTGAAGTCCCTGTCCTCCCCGTCGGGCTCGATGGACCAGGGTGTTGTGCTCCGACGTTTTGACTTCCTGGAAGTCATCTCGGGTCCGTTATTTATCCCTTCCTCATCGTATGGCACTCATCCCATCCAATCGGTATTCTATCAGACCACGCACTTCAGCTCAAATGTCATTACAAACGTGCGATTAATTGACAAAATAACAGACCCGAACAAATGCAGACTTGATTTCAAACGAGATGTTGAGGCACTACAGCTCACATTCAAAGCACAAGTGGTGGAAAGATTTCTTTTTATTATTTTTTTCCTTCCGCTGTTGGAGCCCCGCGTGCACTAGCGGAGGAAAGTAATTGGCCAAAACCTACTAATCACACGGCCTGTAACAATTGGCGCGGAAGCTATCACGCGCGAAATAATTTCACAGAAAAATTTTAACGAATTCGTTGGAATATTCTGTTGAACCTCTGTTGAATATTCTATTAGTTTTTCACTTCTATTGACAATTGCGCGAGATTTACTGCGCATTTTTTAATGGAAACATGTCTAATAGAATATTTTTTTAGAGAGAAGAACGGTACAATTTGATCTTTCTGTACAACTTTTTCTGCAGGAATTCCTCGACATCAATTCTCTCAGTTTTTTGCATTGTATAATTTTCCTTTTCACATAAAAAACAAAAAATAAAATATTTCGTATTAAAAAATCTATTGAAAAAAGCGCAGAAAACCAACAGAAATTGTCAAAATAATCCGCAAAAAACAAATAGAATTTCAAAGAGAAGTTCAATAGAATTTTTCAACAAATTCACGAGGTTTTTTAACAATTTACCGCCCGTGACGATTGTATGCTATCACGCGCGAAAAAATTCCACAGAAAAACCTAGCGAATTCGTTAAAACATCTTATTGAATCTCTATTGAATATTCGATTAGTTTTTTTTTATTTACAATTCCACGAGATTTACTGCGGATTTTTGAATGGAAAAATGTCTAATCGAATCTTTTTTAGAAAAAAGAAAAGGGACAGAAGCAACAGAATTTATCAAAATAATCGACGAGGAACAAAAAGAATTTTACATAGAAGTTTAATAGAATTCTTCAGAAAATTTGCTAGGTTTTTTCGCGAAATTTCTTCATATGTGATGGTAATAATTTACCGCCCATGATGTCTGTATGCCATCATGCGCGAAATAATTTCACAGAAAAACCTAGCGAATTCGTTATAAAATTCTATTGCACCGCAATTGAATATTCTATTAGTTTTCCACAGCGTCTATTACCGAATTCCAGAGTTTCACTGCGCATTTTTTAATGCGAACCGTCTAATGGAATATTTTATATAAAAAATCAGTTCCATTTGATCTTTTCATTTCCTGCATGAATTCCGCGATATCAATTTTCCATTTTCTGCACTTTATGTTTTACCTATTACAAAAAAAATTAACAATAAAATCCGAAAATCAGAGCTGAAGAATTTCTATAGAAAATATCTGAATAGAATGAGTTGAATAGAAACATTAAATTCTATCAATTTTTTTCAATGGAATTGAACGCGTAAAAAAGCTGCAGAATTCGTCAACTCAATCAGAGAAAAACAAATTAACTGTTGAATAGAAGTTCAATAGAATTCCTCAGCAAATTCGCAAGATATTCCTACGTGATGGGAACAATTTACCGCCCACGGTGATTGTATGCACGCGATGTAACACCAGAGAAATATCCCACTAAGTAAAAATCCAATATAGCGTCGAGATATTTACGAATGTCGGGAATAAATCACTCTTCATACCCTGTCGACATTTTTAACGCACGATAATTACAATGTTATGAGACATTTTCCGATATTGCGACATGTCGCCATGGAGTAAAAATAAAAAGTAACAACTCATGGGAATTTTCAATCTCAATTCCCTAATGAGGTCAAAATCGTGCGGATTAACGAGGCTACCGAGTGTGTGCAATTTCACCGGGAAGAAATTTCTCCGGACCGCGTGGCATCGAGGACAGCTATAAATTTCCATGATATGTTTATTTATGTGCATCTGCCGGCTGTACGTTATCTCACTGTTGAAGATTTTTTTCCGGGGGGCATTCACGGGGTCGGATGCTTGATTGAGGTTTTTATTGTTGGGGATTGGAGTCCGTGGTACCGGGTAGCGCAATCAGTGACCTTCACTGGTGCAGGTGGGATAGAATGGAATTAACGATATCCAAGTATCTTTTACAGTTTGGTACCCTCACTGTTAGAAAATTACTCTTGAAATTTCAAACCAAAACGAAAAGCAAAATAACTAAGTTTTGCGTCTCAAGAGGACACAATCGCTCTTCAGTACAGAGCACAACGGATCGTAAATTAGTCCCTTTCTACACTGAGAGAAAAACAAACACGTTGTCAAACAAGTCTTGTGTGGGCCAACAAAATAGCTAGTTGAAAATTGCCAAAAAAGAATTTGTTTGGTTCGAATTTGAAAGTCCCAAACATGAGCAATTGTTCTGCTTTCGACAGCAACGAAATATTTGGCTCAAGAGGCGGATAATTCACACGAGACGGTGCCTTTTCTGGATGAAAATATCTCATATAGAGGAGAATTTATCAACAAATATTTTATCCCTAAGTTACAAGATTGCTATCATATCATTATTATTGTTTCATTTAAGGGTTCATTTGTTGTCTGTGATTATTAGACAGCCGGAACGAAATACTACTATCCCTTGTTTCGCATAAAACAAAGATTTTTCTGGAGCAAAATACGTATGGGAGTATCGAATAACGAAGGAATGGTGCTAGAAATGACATTTCTGGCGTGTACAGAGAATGCATTTTTTTTTTAACTACTAAATCTATTGTCGCGACAAAAATTTTTTATTCCGGCTCACTCTACATGTTTGGCACAAAAAAATTCTTTTTTGATCATTTTCAAAAAACTATTTTCTTGGCACAAGTAAGACTTGTTTGAAAACTTTGTCGTTTTTCTCTCAGTGTAGAACTGTTTTCCCGGCATGTCATAAATCTTTGTCGAATACTTTTTGAAAGCACTGTTGGAAATTTTTTGAAATTTAAGCAACAGGTGCATTTGAATTTTCAATATTCTGAACTTGAATTCGATTTCAGACTAAATGACTCCTGGCATTCCTGATTCATCTTGGAAATTCAATAAAATTGAGTTTTTCCTTATGAATGATCATTGAATTTTCAGTGACAACTTGGATTTTCAAACCTATTACGAAAATTAAGCAACAGATTGAAAATTCAGAAGAAAAGTTGCTTAAATTTTCATGATTATCGGTAATTTTTATTGTCGTATGAGCCTGAGAAATGAAATTTCATTGAATATTCAAGAACATTGACTGATTTATCAATAACAAAATCAATGGAAATTCCACATAAATAATCGTTGCTAAAAATTTCAAGATTTTTTGCGTAGAATTTCAAGAGTAATTATCTAACAGTGCAGTTGATGTGAAAAATGCCCTTTCCTTCGTGAAAATCGTAATATCAAGTGACATTCGAAAAACTGCAAGTTTCTACTGAATTTCTCCACCCGACTGAGATAGATTCGCATCATGGAAACTATATATGTGTACGTCCACGTGAAAAGGGCCCACTTTGTCGCATCTAGTTTCCGAGATATTCACGTTTTTCTCTCCACATCTCCCATTTAAACCAATGTTAAATTGTTTTTTTGATCGTCTATACTGACGTCAGTTTTCATTCTATCGGGTTGATTTTGGGCTCAAAATGTGAGAAATCTGATCAAGATTATCGGAACATACATAACTCCAATACCGTCAAAGTGGGCCCTTTTCATGTGGACGTCCACATATAATCCCAGGAACCATTAGCTATGCATTACAATCGACTTCGAAAACCTCCAATAGATGAACAAAATCAGTTGTACCAGAATTCAACAATTTCTCCATTTGCATTAATCACATTGATCGTATTTAGAAATAGTTGCAGCCGAGAAATTGATTCACAGCACCAAACAACATTCACTCTGCTTTAATCAAGGCTTTTTCTTTTCCGAAACACTGCATTATTCAACGACTCCTGAATTATTGATTCGAGAGGTGACTTTTTTAATCGACAAATGCGTCAATTAAAAGTTAATGGAATTTATTTCACTTTTTGTTATGAATAGACGTGTCGAGAGACTGGAAAGTTACACAGAAGTGAGCTCTACTGTTTGGAGAAAGTGTTCTTTCATCTATTATCCATTGAAGCATTGAGTCAGCGCTCGAGTTATGCAAATTACCCAACTCTTTTTATCAACTTTATTACAATAAAAGGAGGGGATTTATCAGAGGGAGAAGGAAATGATTGATCGTATTTTTGTTTCAATTGATTTTATTTTTTCGCATTCCCCAATGCCCAGAGATAACGACTGTAGTCCCAGATAATGTCCTCGGCGTCGCTGAAGAAGTGCTCGAAATTGGAGCGAGGATCGCAATTGGTGCCTCTGATGAGACGATCCAATCTGCGCGACATGATTCGAAAGTTTATGTCGTTGAAGTCCTGCACGTCCAGGGCTATTTTTTGATATCTGTTTGTCGCTATCCACAGCTCCTCGTGCCTCTCAGTTATGTGTTTTGGAATTACTTTCACTCCGCTTACGAATTGGTAGTAGTCAATGTCATGGTCAAGAATTACCTGGAATGGGATAAAATGATGAAGTGGGAAGTGGAGAGATGATTAATGCTCGGGGATTTCTGATGTGCTAATGTCTCAGATCGGGTTAGGTTTTTATATGGTACAGTAATAAGTTTTTATGTTCGCTTATATGGTCTTCTGGCATCCCGGCCGTAAGGCAGCGCTTCAAGATAAAAATATTTTAATTTAATAGTTTGATATAATATTAATAAATATTAATTATTGATAACAAATATAAATATTTGTTATATTTTATTGTTTCTATCTCATTCATCCCTATTTACTTCTATCTTATATGATAACTCATGCAGATAACTCATATTCATCAGAAATGTTTTTTTCCGCCTTGAGGGAATACCATGAATGAAATTTCTACTTGAAGATATCCAAGAATTTCAACGTTCTCTTCGGAATCCTTATTAATATTGTTAGCTGAACATAGGAATTTTATTTCACTTTATTATTGATAAGATTATATTAAAATTGAAATGGAAATCGCATCGCACGTTTTAAACAGAATCATTTTGCAATGATTTTATTGCTTCAACGTTTTTGTATGTGAACTTGATTTCCCATTTTAAAAATTGGAAAAAACAATTAGGCAGTGACATCACTATGGATTATTGATGAAATAATTGAAAAGTTGCTGTTACTGCAAAATATCAATGAATTTTTCAATGTAGAAATTAGTTTCTCAAATTCGAAATGGATTTATGACAAGTAGAAAGGATGATTGATGTTCGATTTCTGATGTGTTAATATTTCAACTCGGAAGGATTTTTTTATACTGTAGTTATATTTTTTTATACTCCGGTTATATGTTCTTTACACTATAGTGGTTCCGGAAATTTCAGTAGAACGAGTGTCTGACCGGATGCGCAGGAAACCAGTGCGCACACAGGGAGTACCATGAATGAAATTTCTACTTGGGAATAGCCGAGAATTTCAACGCTCTCTTCGGAATCCTTTTCAATATTGTCAGCTGAACATAGGAATTTTATTTCACTTTATTATTGATAAGATTATATTAAAATTGAAATGAAAGTGGCAGTGTACGTTTTAAACAGAATCGATGCAGACGTGACGACATGTGCGAGATGTCTCCATATACATATCAGTAGTGAAGTGGTAAACGGAGATAAGTCGACTCATCTCCCAGTTGAGTTTTTGAGGAATATTTCCGAATCTAAGGGAGATAGCGAAATTTTTGTAATCACATTTGTTGTAGCACTCAATCGGCTCCACAAAAAAGTTCGTAACGAAAATTTTGCTATCTCCCTTAGATTCCGAGATATTGATTGAAAACTGGTCAATAGTCAAAAATGACTTATCTCCTTTTACCACTTCGCTACTGATATGTACGTTATTTTGCTCTCAGTCACTTTCAAAAATTTCTCGCTCGCTGTGCCTTGAAAAGCCCACAGCCAACTGACATGTTTAGAATATTATTGAAAACTGGTCGAGACGTAAACCGTGAAAATGCAGAGAATTCTGCAGCGAATAATGCGGTTTTGACCCACATCTCCGCGACCACCCGTCCCACGCCGCATGCGTACCCCCGAAGGTCGCCCGTTAATTTAACACAACAAATGTTAATATCTCGAGGATTATTAGTTGTAGGGACATAAATCGGAAACCATGTCACTAGGTGTGGAATTCCCTGCATTTGTCCGTGGCAGGTCTTCATAGCTTTTTAATGGGCTGCGAAGTATTTGAATTGCCGGGTAGTTTTTATTAGAACGAAACGCACATTCTTCGGAAATTTTCTGCGTGATTTAGAATAATTTTCCGTTTTAGGGAATTGATCAGGTATTCAAACGAATATGCGTCGGATTTTTTAATTGAAGCAATATCCCTGTTTTTTTTTTTTTTTAATTTGTGGAAAAAATTTAGTTTTGAAAAAATACGTGAAATTCTTTTCTCATTTTATTATAGTTATTGTGGTGAATTTGAATTCTCTGAAGAAGTTTTAGTTGAAAAAATGAGGGTTTCGAGGCAGAAATCATTTTGTTTTTAATTCCAGTCTTCCAAGAGAACACGTATGACAAAATTTCGTGAGAGAACCTAGCGAATTCGTTCGACAATTCTATTGGATTTCTATTCAATTTTCTATTAGTTTTTGTTATTAGTCTTTCTATTAGTTATTTTATCGAAAAAGTCAATGGAACTCGATTTTCTATAAAAAATTTTCGGCTTAAATTTCTCAATTTTTTTTGTTTTCTTGATAAAATGAAAAGAAAAATAAAATGAACAAAACTTTTTGAATTTTAGTGACTTATTCTATAGATTATTTTCTTTATTTTAGAAATTCAATAGAATTGTCTAGCGAATTCGCTAGGTATTTTTATTAAATTCTTTCATGCATGAAGTGGAGAAAAATTGCTGTTTTGCGAAGAAATCTCACAAAATTTCAAGTTCCAGTTAAAATTCAAGTGAACTTAAGTATTTCGAAGTAGGAAGAATACCACAATTCCACAACTTCCTAGAACTTTCAATTGAACATGAATCAATTTTAAAAAATTTTCAATATATGCAAAATCGAAAAATATATTTGGCAAAAAATCCCTAATTTCCATTAATTGTCATTGAATAATTGAACTCAAATCTACATTTTTTTATTTTCTCGTCAAACTGCGATACTTCAGTAGAAAATTTCAAAGACGAAGCACATATGTCAATGATGAAAGTTCTGCAGAAATGTCGCTTGTCTGAAATTTCCTAAATTAGTATGAGAAAAACTTCAAAGAATGGATTAGTCCCTTTAAAAAAATGAACCTACAATATTTTCCGGAGCAATGGTTTTGTGCATATTCCAGCAGGCAATGGCATGCTGCTGAATGAGGCCAAAGAAGAGTACTCCACTGGCTGAAAATGCCATACCAGCAGCTTGACTGGGTAGTGCCCTCGATACGAGAGTGTAACGTACGGGAACAGAATGAGAGTCATGCAGATTAGAGGTCTCAGCTGATACCATGTCGTACGAGGCGAGTGGCCGGAGCATGAGGTATCTGTAATTCTCCTGTGGACTCACTGGGGGACTCAGTGCCATTCCGAGTACACCGTCGTCCAGGTAAAAATGCTCACCAGCCACCGTGAAATTCGCTGCTGCTTCCTGAGAGGCAAATGCCGGTGACTCGAGACGCCACAGAGTTGTCCCATTGTAAATGACTAGACCATTTCCCGTCGTGTCTGCCATATAGACCTATTTAATGTTTCGGTAATCAATGTGATAGACAGCATGCAGAGGGAAAAAAATCTGGATTGCAATAGTTCAAAGAGCAGAAATTTGGGGATTTCAATGAAATCTTCACTGATTCTAAGAGAAATTTCTGAGAATGAGAAAAAAAATCTCATGAAAAAAATTCAAACAGAAAAATCGAAATCTATTGACTTTTTTCCATCAAATATTTAATAGAATCTACGCAAAAAACAAATAAAATTTGAACCAGAATTCCCTAGAATTTTAATGTAGAATTTTAATCCCCATTGAATTTCTGGAACATTCCAAAAGAATTTCCTAGAGAATTCGTTAAGGCTTTCTATACTGTTAGAAATTTCTTGGAATTTTAGTCACAGTGTCATCTGAATTTTCCATTATGTGAGTTTGAATGCAATTTTAAATGAAAGCGTTCATTAAATTTCTCATTCATCTTGAAAATTTAAGAAAACTCTTCTTTGGGCTCGTGGCCAATCACGTGAGTAGAAAAAACCAATGCAACACGTCGTGGAACATGTTCTTCCGCAGCTATTTTCACTTTTACGATTTTGGGGAAAGGCCAATGCCAATCCGCGGACGGAGAAAAGTGAAGATCAGTACGGGAAATTATCCACTGAAATTTCAAGCAATTTTGTCACTTAAAATTCAGAATTTCAGGGAAAAATCAATGAGAACTCCAAATATCAGTTCAATTATTTCTTGAAAATTAATTGAAATCAGTAAAATTACGGTAAAAATATCCTTGAATTTTTAATGAATTGAAAATTCAAATACATTGAGACATTCTCGTCTTACCATTCCTCAAAAATTTGGAATTTTGAATTCTCCGTGAAATCTAAAATTTCATGATTTTCCCCCCTAAATTGTATTCATGTAACTCTCGTGAAAATTACCACTCAACCGTCCATGAAATTTTAATTTTTCTCTAACAGTGTAAACGGTTTTTTTATTTTTTGCTACTACCAACAATTACGTATATGCAATGTAAATACTTGACTGAAGGCCCTCGGGCGATGGCCATTTGCAAGTTCTCGCAGGAATTTGCAACAAATTTAGTTAAAAATAAAATAAACATTACATAAATTGGTGGAAAGTGGAGCGGAATTTCCAACGAAGCGAAACCATAATAATCGGCCGGATGGAGGCTGTTTAAATGAAGTATCAACTCACATGGGTTTTCTTACAATTAAGACCCTCGGTTTCTACCACTGGGGTCACAAATAATCCCTGCTTTGTTATCGCATTCCGTGCGATGCTTCGCGGGATCTTCACTCGCTTCAGCAAACGATCTGTGTGGAGATCAAACGCGAGCAGCTGGGCTGGACACACATGCTCTTCCTCGATCTTTCCAGTGTCCAGCACCCACAAGCGATCGCATTCGTCTATCTAGAGAAGTAATTGAATTAATCTATTCGATGCAAAATTAATTTCTTTCAAGGTATTGAGTATTTACTGCGCAAACGCTGCGACAACTGCCCCTGAATTTTAGTAATTGTGTAGCGAAATTTTCTTATAAGATTTTTTACCAAACATCAACTGAAAATTTGGATTTTATGTGCAAACTATCACGTACGAAAAAATTCAATAGAAAACTTAGCAAATTCGGTAGAATATTTGCCTGGAATTCTCTAGAAATTCTATTTGTTTTTTGCGCTCATTTTCGGAGATATTTGATAGGAAAAAGTCAATAGATTTCGATTTTTCTTCAATACTTGGGCATGAATGTAATGCAAAACAAAAAAAAAATATAGGGAAAAAACTTAGAAAATCCGTGAACAATAATTTTAATAGAAAAAATCTTAAGAGAAAAATTCAAACAGAAAAATCGCAATCTATTGACTTTTTCCCTACGATTTTAATAGAATTTCTAGAGGATTCTAATAGAATTTTCCAATTTTCCAATTTTTGCCATAATTATTGGTGTTTCTGCTGTAATTCTGGTAAAAAAATCCTCAAAAGTGCGTTAGATGTTCCCTAGTATAAGCCTGAAGATCTGAAAAAAGTTTGGAAAATCGCACAAAGTTTGGTGAGTTCTGTCGGCCGTCACATGCATCAAAAAAATAGAAAACATTACGATTTTTATTGAATGAATTTTTGATAGAGACTTATCCCGTTCCAATGTTTTCTATAAAAATCCTGTAACTTTTCAATTTTTTTATTAGGTTTCGTATTTGACAATCCATCAAAAACAGAAAACCGCAAAAAATTTCGGCCCCAGAATTCGTATAGAAAAAATTTCAAAAGAATAATTGAACGAAAAATAAACATCGCGAAAATAGAAGAGAATGACGAATAGAATATAAATGGCATTATTGAAGAGTTTCAACTGAAATTCTATTCAATTGACTAAATAATGAAACCGCATTTTTCTATTTTTTTCCATACGTTCATTCCACCCCAGAATTTCCTAAACTTCACAAAATTCCAGTTCTGGTAAGTCTACTCACAGCTACACGAAAGACACTCGTAATCCCATAACAATCGCCCTCGACCGCCCAATTCCAGTTGGGATAAGGCGCAAGTAGCGGTCCTCCATATCCAAATTCTTCAGACACTGTCGTCAAACTCGCTGGCACCCCCGGCCTCCTCACCACAGTGACAAAAGTCTTGAAATCTATCCAAAATCATGAAAAAAGATCCCCCAAGCTCCCCAAATTCGTAACAAAAAACACGAACGAATTTCTTCTTCCCGAGAAAGCGGAAATCAATTTCCCTGGGAAACCCGCTTACGCAATTCCCGCAATAATCTTTCCGTAATTGAAAGAGAATTAGTTCTCTACGAAATGTGATTATGGAAATTATCCGGAAAAATAGAGTGACTGCCTCAATGATTCATTAGTCTGATCCGAGAACATGAGGCCATTAATTACCGGATCATTTCAATTTCAATTGTCTGCACACTGTTAGAAATTTCTTGAAATTTCAGCCACAATGTCATCTGCATTCTCGATGTCTTGAGTTTAAGATTCATTCAGCATGAAATCGTTCATGAAATTTCTCAATGTTCTTGAAAATTCCAGCAAATTGGGGTTTTCAGACGGAGAGAAATATTCAGTAAAAATTAAGGAACAATTCAAGCAATCCGCAATGGGGAATCGTTTTCCGGCAATTTTTATAGGAATGGAAGTGAAGAAATCTGAAACGTGCAGTGAATTTTCAGGTTCATCACCGAACAAAGTACGAAATTGTCACGTAATTTTTCCCGAAGAAGTAAAATTTCACAGAAACTTACCGACTTATTATGCCTTCGAAACCAAAAATTCTTGAACGTTCAACAATTTTTATGAAGCTGGTGAGTTATTTCTACGTTCCGTTCCGTAAAATTTCTCAATCGTTGGAGAAAAATTACGGAACGACTTGTTGTGCCCACAGCGGTGAGTCATCGGACGGGCGGTTAATTTTTACGAAAGAAATCGTAGAATTGACGTGGCGATTCGTACAATTTCATTTCCGACTCACCCTTTTTACTGAATTTTACTTCGCTCACGGATCACCTTTCGAACCGTAATTTTTACGTTTTTTTCTGGTAATTTTTATTGAATTTTTCTCTCTGCGCATGATGAACATTAGACGCATTATTATATTCAATTCATTGAGATATAGACCTGGAAATTGAGAATTCCTTGAATAGTCAAGAAATAAACTGATTCGTCAAAAAAGAAATGCACATAAAATTTCGTGTACTAGAACAGGACGCGCATATTGTCTTCCATGGCTGGAAGAATAGTAAAACCTTCCGTTTCAAACTCTCATCAATTTTTATCTCAATAATAATGCCGCAAAAATGAATAGTTTCAAAGTTTTTCACAATGAGAATTTAATTGTTAAATCATTTATTCAGAATCATCATAATCCTCTTCATTTGCTTCTTCGTTTCTCTTTTCCTTTTTGCTTTTCTTCTTTTTTTAGGAATGTATTATGTGCTAACATATATACTACGAATAAAAATGAATTTCTCTTTTTTCACAATTACTGTAAACAAATAATTACAGCACATAAAAAAATATACATAGACATCATATTTCATTACTTGATAAGCGCAATAGAGGTATCAACAATCGTTACACTGGATTTTTCAATTCAAAGAAGACAAGAACGTTGTTTACTTGAAATTTCAAGACTAATTTTCCAACAGTGCAGAATAACGAAAACAGAAAAAGATACTAACTGTTCCGGTATTTTTTCTTCCTTCCGTTCCAAACATCAACATCAATGATTACTGGTTTCGTGTAATTGTACTGTCCTGAAAGAATGGCCGCTGCTTTGTGTGCCTCGCTCTCCCACAGATAATCGATCCATGACCACTCGTACAATACTTGCAACTTTCCGGCATTGATCACCGGTGCAGAACAGAGGAATGACAAAAACCAGAGATACTTGTGCATACTTCCGGTGACACTTGAACGACAGATTGAGATGTGTTTAGTGACAGAGTTGAATAATCGGTGGATATACTTGGCATTCTTCCAGGGAGGCACCCACCCACTCCTCCAACAGCACTACTAATCTTCCAGTTATCACAATTTCAATTATAAAATCGGAAAGGGAAGTGAATTTTTAATGAAACACTTGTCGCGACGCACCGACAAACTGTGAATTCATTCCACTAGTCAGTGATAATGCTGGAGTGGAGTTCGGGCTTGTGAAAGTGTTTGTTTCTATGAATTTTTATTACAAAAAACACATGCGTGCGCAGTACATTTTTTTAATGTAAAGTCACTGAAGTAAGCGTGCGAGCAATTTGCTGTCAATCACATTATAATCGTTTGCATAACACTGGAGAAAAGGGAAACAGGTATTTCTTTTGGGTTTCAATTTTACGCGTGAACATTCAGAGAAATCGCCTGTGAAGTGATAAAATCACGTGAGGTTTATTTAATTTTGGCGACTTTTTTCAAGTCGGAGGAGAGTGAGCGAAATTTCAGCCAATATTTTGTATCGAGAAGATTAAATTTCATTTTGAATCAGCAATGTGTTATCGCTTTTTTAAATTTTTTTAATTGTCGTTTGTTAAAGGGTCTCATTGGAATTTCACCCTATTTTTGAAAATACCGGGAAGTTCTTTAAAAAATTTCAGGAGCACGCGCGAAAACGTTTAATAGAAAAGCCTCGCGAATTCGTTAGAAAATTCTATTGGATTTCCAGTAGTTTTTGACTGATTCTATGGAAATGTTCAATAGAAAATCAATAGAATTCGATTTTTTCTTCGGCTCAAATTTCCCATATTTTTTTCATTCAATTTTTTTCTCCTCGTCAAAAAAAATCAAATTAAAAAACTTGGACAATTCTGTTTGTCTTTTCATTTCATCAAAAAAATCAAACAAAAAAACTTTGAAAAATTGAACCGAGAAAATTCTCTAGAAAATATCTCAATAGAGAACGTTGTACAAAAAAATCTAATTCTTTTGACTTCTTCTAAACAATATTTTCCATTGAAGAATCCGATAGAGTCGGCCAAAAACTAATAGAAAGTTCAATAGAAATCCACTAGAGTTGTCTAGCGAATTCGCTGTTTTTCTAATAAATTTTTTCATACGTGTCCTGGATTCAGAGACATTAGTTTGTTTATTTTATCACTTCACTGGCAAAATCTCACTCAATTATTCTTCAAATGATAGTTTCTACGATGAAAAAAATTCTCACGATGGGTTTCACTCGAAATAACTCGATTTACCACAGACAAAGCTGATCCAAACGGTCCAGCAGTCAATGCTAAACTGTTATAAAACCCATGGTATCTCTGGGATACCTTGGTTTAGTATTGCTAAATCCAGCCACAACTAATGGCTTTATGATTTCATTTATGTCATCTGATTAAATGAATTTGAATATACTTTCTAGTTGTGGGAAATATCGGGCGAGGTCATTTCACTGGGGAAGAGTGTTGTTGTATAAGTTAAGGGCGTAGGGATCGAGGCGGTGGGGAACCGGTGAATGGGCGCGAGTTGAGTCGGGACGAATTCGTAGGATTCTCAAGTTTATTTCTTGATTGTTCACTCGTCGTGTGAAGAACTTCTGGAAGCGTGAGGAGAGCAGCCAGATGTTGCCGTTGTCTCGATTTACGTATCTTAATTCGGCTATGAATTGGAACTGCTCGGGCTGATATGCAATTATCCTGTGGAGAGCAAATTCAAGGATTAGGTGGTGCGGTTATTAATTATTCATTTTATTCTACTTTTTTGGTACTCATTTAGTTGTTTTTGTTTTTTATCTTTGTTTCATTTTTAAGAATATTCAAATATCTTTTTCATCACGCTGTGACGAAAAGTGAACTTTTCGGCACGCTCCGCGTGCCTAAAAGTCCAATTTCCACCACATTGTGATGAAAAATATTGTTCGTAACTCGTGAAAAAACACTTTTTTGCACTCGTTATGAAATATACTATTTTGTCACTGCTGCTACGTTCAGCCCGTGTCGAAAAGTGCCTTTTCGTTTACTAGTAAACGAAAAGTCGAAACTTGTAAACGAAAAGACTTTTCGTTAAGCCCGAGGCGAAGCCGAGGGCTGCCAACTTCACACTCGTTGCCACCCCGTCGCACTTGTATCGAAATATACTATTACAGTTTGGTAGACCACGCTGTGGATTCAAGCTTTTTCAATCATCAAATTTGTCAATTGAATTGCGTAAGAAACATTTGAACAAATCATGAATATTCAGCGAATTTTTTAAACATTCGTTGTTCATAAATAAATAATTGAAATTGTTTCAACTTTCGGAAATTGCAAATTTTTTAATTATTCCATCAGTCTTTCTCCAAAAGTAAACTTTCTACGTTTTTGCAGATTTTTTAAATGTTTTCCAACGGTTCAATACCGAGATTCGAATTCCGACATGGAAAGTTTGAATAATAAAATAATTGTAAAATGTCCGGAAACTTAGGGTCAAATGGGGCTCAAATGGAAGCTTTGATGGTCGACTAAAAAAATAGAAAAGCATTTCACTGGAGAAAAAATAGCGGAAGTACTTGGATATCCTTAAACAGATCAGTTTTTTCAAAATATCTCAAAATTGAAGAAAGTAGTTGTGAAAAAAATCTGCAGAAACACCGCCTGCTCTAAGAAATTCTATTCAAAATCTAGTAAAATTATTTTTAGTTTTATTAGAACTTTGTTGGAATTCCAGGCAAAATTTCATTTTTTGCGCCAATTTTTTTCAAATTATGCAACTTTGACGTTGCATAATGAATATTTGATTGAAAAAAAATCTACAGATGTTGATTTTTTTATACATTTCATCCTTGGGCTCGAGTTTTCCTAGATTTTCTTATCGGATTTTGTAGTGAGAAAATAAAAAAATACAGCTGAAAAACCTCCAAAATTTATGCCCGAGAATTTCTGTAGTAAAAAAAAATCGAGAGCATGATTCACACATAAAAATCAAAATCAGGAAACGAATAGAATTTTCTATTGAAATTCGACAGAATTTCAGTAGAACGTCAATTTCCATAGTTTTAATAGAAATTCAATAGAATTCCCATTAAATTTTTCTTCCACGTTCCGAGGAAGGAGAAAAAAAAATGAAAGGTGGATTTGTTTCGACGATTATTCCCAAAAAATCTCGATAAAAACTACCGTTGGCTATTCGTATGTGGATTCCAACTGGCGACAGCAGTTTCGGTCAGCGGGGCAAATAGTATCGTGTCATCGCGAGGGTCAACAGCCATTGCCAGTCCCTGACTGGACTTTCTACCGACCAGACTGACGGGCAATTGTTCACCGAAGGGAGGAGGGCCTGATTGCAGAGCTGACGTTGGAATGGAGAACATGCGGTCTGTCGCAAGTGGTTGATAGTACACTTGACTCAGACGAGGGGAGAAGCCCAGGCCGACGATACCGTCAAACAGCTCAAATGAGTCTCCTGCGATCTACGGAAAATAATTGAGAGAGTTATTGTATTCAAAGTATTGCAGTGAATGAAACGTTTTCATTTTGAGCCGAACCCCTCCGAAACGCACGTCTACACGGAGAGAAATATTAAGTAAAAATGACGGAACAATTGACGTAATCCGCAATGGGGAATCGTTTTCCGGCAATTTTTATAGGAATCGAAGAGAAGAAATCTGAAACGTTCAGTGAATTCTCAGGTTCGTCACCGAACAAAGTACGAAATTGCCACGTAATTTTTCCCGAAAAAGTAAAATCTTGCAGAAACTAGCTGACTAATTATGCCTCCAAAATAAAAAATTCTTGAACGTTCAACAATTGTTATAAAGCTGGTGAGTTATTTCTACGTTCCGTTCGATAAAATTTCTCAATCGTTGGGAAAAAATTACGGAACTTGTCCCCACAGCGGTGAGTCATCAGACGGGTGGCTAATTTTTGCGGAACAAATCGTAGAATTTACGTGGCGATTCGTACAATTTCATTTCTGACTCACACTTTTCACTGAATTTTACTTCGCTTGCGGATTACGTTTTGAAACGGAACTTTAACGTTTTTTTCTGGTAATTTTTACTGAATTTTTCTCTCCGTGTACCATACCGCGTGGTCTGTCAGACCTCTACTCCGTGTGAATCGCATTTCCCGTTTGTTTGAGCGAATGAATCAATCCCTTTTCCAATAGAATTCTAATAGAATTCTCTAGGTTTTCTATTGAATTTTTTCATGTGGTCCCACAGACCGGGAGTTCGGTGTAAAGGTCAAAAGAAATTTCCTGCTCAAAGTTATTAATATTTTTCGAAGCCGAAGGACACTGATCTTTATCTTCATTATCACCTCCTGGAGATTAATGTGCTTTGATTTGTAAAAAGATTCGGTTACCCCTTGAGGAGTATTTGAATCAATCATTCAACTGTTACTCGATTATTTCGACAATGGCCAGAGTTGTTCAATCTCCTTCAAATACCTGATAAGTTGAGTAATCCGGATCAGGGTACATTGATGCGTGGAGGAGTCTCCAGCTCCTGTCGGTCGCTCCATCGAATACAACGAGACCTTGAATGTAGAATTTATCAATCAGTCGCGGAGGCTGATGAAAACACACTCAATTCATTGCCCAACGCTCTTAAGACCGAATGATTTCAGGGGGAAATATCGAAAGACCTTTTCTGCGCGTGATGAAATTCCCGACAAAAGTTGTCCTTCAATATTTCCCCCCGAAATTACTTATTGTCAAGACAATTCAGTAGCGATGTGGTAAAGCGGTTTAAGTCGACTCATCTCCCAGTTGAGTTTTTGTGGAATATTTCGGAATCTAAGGGAGATAGCGAAATTTTCATAATTACATTTGTTGTAGCTCTTAATCTGTTCTACAAAAAATGTTGTAACATAAATTTTGCTGTCTCTCTTAGATTCCGAGATATTCATTGAAAACTGGTCAATCGTCAAAATTGTCTTGTACCGTTTTACCACTTCGCTACTGAATTCAATAGTTAACTAGCTGAGAATGAGCGATTTCTTAGATGATTTCTTATGCAGAAATAATTTACCGGGTCCAGTTGTATCAGTTATGTACACGAAAACGTCGTCGCAGGTATTTGCTGATGTGTCATCAATCACCAAATTAGTGAGGAGACTATTTGGTCTCAAGGACTGCACAGAAGACGTAAAAAATAAACTTCAAAGTAGATACTATTCAATATTATTTAAGAGAGAGTGGGTAAAATGGTCTGTTTTTAATCGTCAGTGGCTCGAGATCGGCGGAATAAAATTCAACAATTTTTCTTTAGTTTGAGAGAGATTCATCAGAGAGATTTCATCAGGATTCAGAATTAGACTTGATTGATCTGAATCGTATTATTAAATCAGGAGATATTGACGATTTAAACGGGGTCCATTTTACCTCACTTTCCTGCAGCACACGGAAATAGTGGATTGTGCACCAAAGGAGGAAAGCAGAACATTCCAACTCGAGGCGAAGGCGAGGGCAGTAAACACGCGAGTTATGATGTCCTATTGTCCTTCCTCAGTGCACACGATATTTTCCGTCATAACTGAACGGTTAATTTCGATTTTTCTCTGTAAATGAAAATGAGGAATGTGGGTTATGTCAAAAAGTTTGTATTTCGCATTCTGATGAACGGGAGGAAAGTGAATACTTCCCGCTCAAGGGTGGAAAGTTGTTCCTGAGGAAGAATAGTATATTTCTAATCTAGGGAGGGAAAATGAAGGATCCTCAGCCGCCAGTGCAATTACCAGCCGAGCCGAAGGCGAGGTTGGTAAGCACGTGGCTGAGGGTCCTTTATTTTACTTCCCGTGGTTAGAACGCGATTTTCCGTCTCGGCGTAGGCGCAAAGTCAGAGTTCCCTCCCGCGAAGCGGGAGGGAAATGTAACCTTGCGCCCGCCGGGACGGAAAAGTACTGACTTTCGTGGCGGAAAATCCAAACTTTCCTTTGCAGGCATGTTAAAAAATAAATATTATTGCATATGCACCTCGAGCGGGCAAAACATAACTTTCCGCTCTTGATGCACAATATACTATTTTCGTAATTCTCCATTTATCTGGAATAAGAGTGATTTTGGGAGATTAGACCTTTTGTCCTTTTGTTTTCATACCTGTCTGAAATACGCTTTCATCTAGGGAATTAAAATTTTTGTAGTAAATGGCTTATGAAAATTTTGATCATTGAATTTGGAACGATAGTAGACTATCATCACTGATATGTCATGTTCCAAAAAATTACTCCTTCTTGGAATATTTCCTCCTTATGAGTAAATAGTGGAGAAAATAATGGAGTAAATAATGAGTAAATAATGGAGATTGTCGAAACTTCTGAAAACTTTATTGTTTATAAAATAGTCATGAAAAAAGAGTCTATTTTCAAAAACTTGTTATCAACATAATCCATAATTCTGCAAAGAAGAAAGGAAAAACTATTTCTAACACAGCAAAAACGAATGTCTGAATTTCACACATCTTTCGTAGACATTTTTCGAGCACTAAAAACCATCTGAATAAAATGAAAATGTGTCTGAATTTCAGACGAACAAGTGCCCACCATCTCATTTCACGTTTGAAATTCAGACAAATTTTCATTTTATCCAGACGTTTTGTGTCTGAAAAACGTCTACAAAAGGTGCGTGAAATTCAGACATTCGTTTTTGCTGTGAAGTTCTGCTACTCCGCAACTTCATCCAATTAATCAATCCCCTATCAACAAATCAACTCACCCGACGTGGAAAGACATACGAGCGCACAAAGGTATCCGTCTGCAAGTCAAAAATAAGTAGTTTCGGCGGACAGACAACGCGGAAGTCGTCGAGGGACGTATTAATTCCACTATCAAGAACCCAAAGCCTGTTGCACTTGTCCACATTAACTCTATAAACGGAAATCAATCTAGAGCAGTTGAACTCTCCTTTACCAGCATTATGCCACTCCCAGGAGGGATAAGCTTGCAGTTGAGGACTACTACCGGGTGGTATATCCCGAGGAATGGCGCTCAGTGTTGCCGGTACCCCGGCACGCAATCGTGGAGTTGAAATGAAAATTCTGTGCCAGGCAACTGCAAATCCAGTCGGCACCACATTCTCCGGTCGATATTCATTCAAAAAAGCTCGATCGTAAGGCAGCGCGAAGTCCAGAAGTGGCCACTGGGCTATCGTGTCCAGGACCTCTGAACGTCCAAGACCCAGTGACAATAATGCTCCCAAAATAAATATAAAGTCCCTGGGGATTCAGATTATTTTAGATAATGCAGGTATACTACACGTCAAAATAACATTAGGCCCGGTTGCACCAGCTCCGCGTAACGAAACCGTCAGATAAAAAAAAGTAAATTTGGATGTTCGATGGATTATTTTACCCTGGAGAGTATCTCAAATTTATCCCAGGAACAGAAAATAAAATTTAATCTCAAGGTTAAATCAGTGTTAATTGAAGTGGGGCTACAGGATGAATAAAAAAGTATTCTTCGGGTCAAATATTGAAAAATGATGACCCCTACGATACAATTGACCCCGAGGATAATTCAGTACTGAAGTGGTAAACGGAGATGAGTCGGCTCATCTCCCAGTTGATTTTTTGAGGAATATTTCTGAATCTAAGGGAGATAGCGAAATTTTTGTAATTACATTTATTATAGCACTCAATCGACTCCACAAAAAAGGTTGTAAAAAAAATTTTGCTATCTCCCTTAGATCCCGAGATATTGATTGAAAACTGGTCAATAGTCAAAATTGACTTATCTCCTTCACTTTGCTACTGAATTTTACCCTGGGGTTTATTTGGAGAACAGGGCTTGGTGTAACCGGGCCTTATTCTGACAAATATTCTTCTGTAACATATAATTTTTGTTAATGAAGGCTATTTATTGTGATTAGAACATTCGTCAACTTTTGAACTTGAAAAATTCAATTTTTGCTGTTGTAAGGGAATTTTTACTCGGGAAAAATTTGCTGGTTTTTGGCGATGAAGAAAATTTGTTATTAGTGAGTGAATGAATACAAATTATGAATACGAAAAAAATGAATAGCAAAATCTAGCGCATAATCTAGGAAATTCTATCAAAACAACTTCCAGTTCTTCTAAAAATTTCTTCAATTAATTGAATCATTTCAATTGACCAACTGAAATATTTAATTGAATCGACAAAAAGTAATGAATCTTGATGCTTTATACATCTCAATCTATTTAACTGTTGAACTATTTTCATTTCAAAATTAGGATTTAAAACAGCTAATTTAGATATAATAGAATTTCCTCGCGAACGCGCTAGGTTTTTTCACTAAATGATGTTATTTCCACGTTTAGTTACGCTTCTTAGCAAATAGCGTGTTCTTGTAAGGAGCCACATGCCGCATTTAAAACTGAATAAGAAAGAAGTTGAATGAATGCGGTGTTTAAAGGGATTGAAAAAATCAGAGACCGGATGTGACGGGTAGGCGCGGGCTGAGGTGAGTCTGACCCGTCAGGTCGAACAATACTTCCCAATTAGTTTCCGTGTTTTGTCCATTTATTCGAGAAAAAATCGAAGGCCCCAAACTTTTATTTTGCCAGTGATCGGAAAACGCTTGAGACGATTTTGCTAAAAATCCATTTTGGTCTCATCATCCGCAAATTCATCGACTGCATGAAGATCAATTTAAAAAAATTTCAATTTCAACTTAATTACGACTACCCACACTGATGTTAACATCCCGATTTAACGCGAAGTGTGAACTTCGCGATTTCTCGCGAACTAATAAACACCAAAGAAAGCACCGCTAAAAAAACTTAAAGTCAAAACTAATAAAAACCTTACAATCAAAAACAAAATTCATCTCTGCAGAAGAAGTGATCAATTTTGCGCAAAAAGGTCTATTATTAATAATTTAAACCCCAATAGTTTCCAAGACATAATCCCTAACTTCTTCAAATGAAAACATTGTCATCATCATTTTCAAATTTTCGACAAAATTTCCCTGACCCATAACCGCCCCATTTTCCACTCCGGACTTTCAATTTCTCCCAGTCCTCCAACAACAAAGATTTCTCTGTACGATCAACGGCTCCTAAACCATAAATTTAAAAAATCCCGTTGTTTTCATTTTTCCGCCGCAATATTTACGGTGAGAAAGCCGTTGTTTCGCATCCAGCCCACTCGTTCTTTTCTCAAGCAAAAATACGAGACATGTAGCAATAAGCCATCCAACCCGCCGTAAAATTCACACACGAAATTTATCACCAATCTCCGGAATTTTTCTCCCCAAGGCCCCAGCATTTTCTCGAGCAAACTCCCCATACCCTCGCAAAATAATATCCCCACAACCTCCGCACAATTGCAAAACCCTGAAAAACGATCTTGTCGCCTATTCATCCAGTAATTATCTCCCCAATAATTAATGCACCTCCCGTAATTCCCAATAACTTATCCTGTCAATTGCTAATTACATCCTTTCGCCGGAATGAACGAGCAACCAAGCAAATACCACACTCAGCATTACCCCAGTCGCATTAATTCACTCGGAATGAATAATTCTATCAAATTCAAGTGCGGAACGAATTACTTTCTATCTTCGATTACCCGACATTTCATAACACCAAAGAACAGACAGAAACACATTGGCTTCGCGTGACCGCCAATGAATACGATACTGAAAGTTCTTTATTACACAAATACTTGATTACATCTCATCACCGACCGGCAATATCATTTTCAGTCGCCTATTAAGCCAAACAGCCACAATTAGCGATAAATGGAATAGAACAATGAGGCAGACAGCATTGTTCATCGAGCACAATGATCAATTCTCCTGACATTTAACACCATGTGGAAGGAAAGGCATCGAGAGTCCACGCAATCGGCCAACAAAAATTCGATTTTTTGCCGAAAGACCTCTCGCTTTTTTTTCTTCAAATTACCTCATGTCTGAGCTAATGAATGAAATGAGGAATTCAGTAATTCAGTCACTTCCCCGGTTGAAAAAAAATCCAATACGTGACCGGGTAAAACGGACCAGGAGCCACTGCCGCAATTGGAACACTGGTTAACACAGAGTTGCTGGCTGAACTACGGCGGATCTAATTCTCTAACGTTTGAGGCACAAGAACTGGAGGAATTGCCAGTAGCTGGCTCGCGGGGGATTGTTGGGAAGGGACCGGAGACAATCGGCTCCAATCGAAAACATACACTGGCTTATCATACGTGTGCGGCTTGCATCGACATACCCGGGGTATTGGATATGCTGAGAGAATGAACTGCCCTTCTCACGTCCCGGTTCCTGGCCTGCACCTGGTGACGCCCACACGAGGGGTGCGCGGGTTGCGAATCTACATGCGAGAAAGTTTTGACGTTGCGCGCGGTTTTGTTTTCTTGGGGCATTGTAGCTGAGACTCGGGGGGATATGGAGCACTTGGAGCCGGATGCCGGAGTGGTGTGAAGGTCCTTTGGTTATTGACAGCGCTAATCGTTTGCTGGGAGTGCGGCTTAATTTTTTCATGCGCGGGATTATTGCTTTGGAAGGATACACGAAGTTTACGTAGAAAAACGTAGCGTATTCGGTGGACGATTCTAAGGGATTTCTATTGAAATTAGGTTTTATCGAGTATTATTGACACATTCGTCGATTTGAGGAGACGGGGGACGAACGACTCCAATGCGCAGCCAAATTTCATCCCTCGCCCCCTCCCTCCTCCTCGTGAAGAATGTTAGTGGACGGAGAGAAATTTTTGATAAAAATTATCCTACCGTTCTGTAAAAGTGTATCATGAGTCATCGTTTCTTCATTTCTATCCCGAAATTTAGTAAAAATTGATATATGATGATCAAATTTTATTCTACATTAGAGAAATTTTATCCTGATAAAAATAAAAATTACTGTGCCGGTAGAGTAAAAATTACTGTACAAGTAAGGTAAAATTTACCAACCGTTCTAGAATTTTCGTTGTTATCTACATAAAAATTATTGAACTGGAGGGGTAAAATTTATTATGCGTCAGGATAAAATTTCTCTAACGTAGAATAAAATTTGATCATCATATATTAATTTTTACTAAATTTCGGAATAGAAATGAGGAAACGATGACTCATAATAAGCTTTTATAGAACGGTAGGGTAATTTTTATCAAAAATTTCTCTCCGTGTGGGCAATGCTCTCTTCTGCAGAGTGTAATTCAATTCAATATCGAAGTGATAAAACGGTACAAGTCAGTAAAAATTAGGGAACTCACAATTCGCTCACCGATTACGGAATCGACTCAAAAAATTTAAGTGATGGTATCGTAATTTTTCACAGGAGATTCATATATATTCATATATATTCATATATAGATAAAAATTGCGGAACGCTCTGGAAAAATTCCATGACAGTTCCGTAAAATTTCCTACATCCCGATTTCGCCCCGGAATTACGAAAAAGACGTAATTTTTATTGAATATTTCTCTCCGTGTATTGACCAGTTTTCAATAAATATCTCGGAATCTAAGGGAGATTGCAACATTGTTGTTGTAATCTTTTTTGTAGAGTCGACTGAGTGCTACAACAAATGTAATAACGAAAATTTCGCTATCTCCCTTAGATTTGGAAATATTTCTCAAAAATTCAACTGGGAGATGAGTCGATTTAAACCGTTTTACCACTTTGCTACTGCTTTCTTTTTAAAGATTGAGAAGATGGATATGGAATGGAAAAAATTGAAGTACGCGGACTTTGACTCGGGTTGGCCCACCTAACCGATACACGAGAGGGTGCTTGTTGTGTCAGTTTTATTACGACCATTACGGGACATAGCCCAATTCTCAAATAAAAAATAGAATTCTCTCCTCGATTAACAATACCTTCACTCTTAGCTCAACCATATGTAATTCTCACCGAATTACTCATGTTCATATCGCTCGCAATTACCCTTGGGGTTCCCACCCAAACGGGTTCTAAACACTGTTGACAATTTACATACGTGTCCTGTATCAGGTACATGAAATCACCATTGTCGGCTTCCCGCATATTATTAATTTATGACCCAATACTCCCCAATCTATCGAATCCGACACTCGAACACGAAGAGAAATATTCGTCGAAATTCAACAACCATTTGTTGAAATTTAACAATTGGTTGTTTAAAAAATTACTGCGTCTCCACCTATGTCTCTGTCCAGGTATGACAAGTTCCCAAGCAACATTTCCCCCAATTTACCCAAATTCCTAAAATCACTCCGTTTCGGTCACACAGATAATTAAAACCTAATCCTCAAACTTTCCTATTATAACCAAATAATCCACAAAATTCACCTACAACTTATTCTCTACTCACTACAATTTGTAGTACCAAATGTAGTACACTGATAGAAAGGATTAGTTATTGTTAATAAATGAATTTGGTTGAAGTCTAGGGTCTTTTCGGTCTCACCAAATGTTCATTCGTTAACACTCAACTCGTTCGAAATGGATGAATCATTCTATGAGTGTAGGGAACATTCGCATTTATTTTACTTTTCTTTATCTGCATCTAAAAATTGTAACAATTTCGAAAATAACGTCTATAACCCCCTGAATCCCATTTTTAATGTGAAATCGTTGATTGGAAATTTCATTTTTGGAGAACGCAAACGCACTGTGACGTCACAGCAAGGAAGTTGCCATGTGTCTCACTCACTCTCCCAGGGGAACCGGACGGAATCGACGCGCACCGTCAGCTGTGACCTATCGGTCTTGGCAGCGTGTGCTCGAGCGCTCACCTTTGAATTCCTTAATAACATCAATAAACCGTCTAATAACCAAATTTTTAATTGACTATTATGTTTACGATCCATAGAACCGTCCGGGAGAAAACTTCAACCGACTCGAAAAAAATGTGCGCGCACTATTCTAATGAACTTCGATACTATTGTCAACAATGTTCCGACAAACTGTTCATTAAATGGCATTCATCACCGGGGGAAACCTCACGAAAGCGTCAAAGAAATAATTACAGCAATAAATAACCACTTATCCTGACACCTGACATGACATAAGCCAATAAAACGAAATTGGAGGCATAAAAAATGATCGTAAAACTTGAACAACTCTTTACCGCAGAACTTCTCATTGTTTCCTGATTTTTCAAGACATTTAACAGCGCCTTGCCTTCATGCTATTCCAAATTACTTGCACATTAGATTAACTGGTACGCGATCGCGAGACACACCTCCAGTTTCACGTAATGTCAAGGCATTAAGTATCGATGTATATGTCGAGCCTTTTCCACTCGCAGCATAATCTGTTGCATTTCAAATTATCTGGAATTTCATTCCTATAATGACAATGTAATATCGCCATTTCCGTTGAACAATAATCTCAACGTGGGAAATCATGATCGACATTTCAAGGCTGGGCTCCCCTGCATTCATGCTTTTTGCTCGTGGGTTACGGCGAATAAGTTGGAGTAGTTTATGGGGAAATTAAGTATCCACAATTGTTCAGCAATTGTCTCTGACAATTAGCCCCCTTTACTCACTGCTCTACTTTATTTATGGGCTTTTTTCGTCGTTGATTTTGTGTCTTTTTGTTTTGAACAAAACTATCGTTGCACCACTCGCCTCTAGTGTGCGTGGAAGTTTATGAAAAGTTTAGCTTGCATCATTGTGCATTCGTATGTGCTCTAGTGCGTTGAAATGCGACGGGTTGCAACACATTCGCTACATCTTTTCTTATCGCGTATATGGGGATGTCTATTGATTTTGGTGGTAATGTTGGTGTTGGTAATTTCCGTTAGAGTATGTATTGATTCTCAATTGAAGTTGATTAGACATTTTCAGAAGAGGGACAGTGGTTTCGATTTAAGAGAAAAAAATAATGAGAATTTAGATTTCAATGACAATTCAATGAATTTCCTAATTTGGGAGCAGCAGGAAGATGAGAATTCCCTAACTTATTGGAATTTCCATCAAAACATGAATGGACAGTACCACACTGAGAGAAAAATATAATTCTTCTGACTATATTCCATTACCATCGAATTATAGTCAAAAAGTGCTCAACAATTTTTCATGGGTTACGGTAACTATGGCCGGAGAAGTAATTACTGCAATGGAATGTAGTCATTGCAACTATTTTATAGTTCTACTCATGATAGATTTGTCGTGGTTACTTTTGAACTTTGGTTAGTTTAACTGCATTTTGATTTGCAAAAATTACACTTGTGAAGTTACTATAATGTTATGTGCCGCATACAAAAAAAAATCGTATCGTTCACCGAAATGCCTCAACTATTTTCTTATTGTAAATCGAACTTCAGATTTTTCTCTCAGTGTAAATCATGCTGAATTTCCAATTCTTTGAAAATTCAAGAATAGTTAACTTTCATGGAATAATTGAACTGAAATTCTCAAGTTCCAGTGATTTTTCCAGTGATAATATTTGTAATTCTCAATGAAGAAATTTGTTGAAATTCCAGTGGAACAATAATGTGATAAAAATGACCAATTTAAAAAATTGAAAAAACATGCGGAAATTTCAAAAATGGAGAATCGCTTTGCTTCAAGCGACGAAAAATATTTGAGTCAAGAGGCGGATTATTCTTGTGAGATGATCCTGAGCCTTCTCAGGATGAAAATATCTCTCACACTGGAGTTAATCGATAAATATTTGATTCTTCAAATCCAGGATTACTATCCTTTCATGATTATTATTCTATTTGAGAATTCATTTCTTGTCTTTAAGGAGTTTTTTCTGGAGCAAGACACGTATAGTACTATAGACTAAAGAATAGGTACACAAGAAAAAGCAAATTAAGCGACATTTATTCCGTTCATAGAAAACGAAAATTGTTTAAAACAACTAGATCTATTTTGCAACAAAAATTTTCCATCTGAGAACGCTTTAAATGCGCAACACGAGATTTTTCATTCTCGATAACTTTCAAATTCCGACTTTATGAGTTGAAACAAGACTCGTTTGACATTTATTTTTCTCTCACAATCAATCTAGGAAATTCTATCTCACATTTATTGACAATTCTATTAATTTGCTGACATTAATATGAATGATACCTCTCCATTGGAATTCGCAGATATAATTTTAGCTCTCCATTAAAGTTCTGAAATCGTTGCATTGATTTCAAATTGGAGAACTTTCGCTCATTGAAATCCGAGCGCAGCAATTGGAGCCTAGAAATTTAAACTGTTTTGTTAATACGCTGTCCTGTAACCACATGAGAATTAAAATAAAATCTGCCATGCGCGAGTGATTAATGTATGAAAAAAAAAATTACGATCATATTTCATTGCCCGCCTATATTACGTGGAAATTATGAGGAAATTCCACGGATAAAGCTGCAACTGAGCTTAACGCGTATTGTAATCAATATCAGAGATAAATGATCTGCGGAATCAAAGAAAAAAATGCGATAACTCGTTCTGTCGACTGACCTTTCAGGTCTGCTCGAACGGAATAGCATTATACACCATTGATTCACAATATTATGCGATACAGACAGTGCTGACGGAGAGAAGGGATGTGTTACTATAGAAAAATTCAATTTGTTTCGCACTTACGCAAAAGTTGTCAGTCTACTTCTGTCACTTAAAAAAAATGAAAATAACAGCTCAATAAAAAAATATCAATAGGTTGATCATTGGGCTGGAAGTGTATTTTTTACTCGATTTTCCACATATGTCATGTCATAAAAAATTCATAGATAAGAATCAATTCAATTCACAAATAAAGAACAATTCGTGAAAATAATTTAATATTTTCTTTATTCCATAAAGAACTCTCCCTGAACCTTAAACTCAGTCTTTTCTTCATTCGCCTCCACAACTGTTACATTGAACAATTACATGATTGTCAGAGAGTGGTCAACCCCAACGCCGACAGTGCCCCTGATGAAATCAGGGAAGTTGGACTCAAGGACACGCATGCGTCCCCTCTTGTAATCGGGAATGACTTCTGAAGCGAAGGCGTACCCGTCGCCCTCGTACACCTTGAGGAAGTTCTTTTCGGAGAAGGGTGTGCAGACGTCCCACCTGTAGATGGGCTGCTCCCCCTCGTACCGGAAGAAGACAGCTGATCCATTGTCAGTGCCGAGCATGACCATTTTCTTGGGCTTGGGCCCGAGGTCGTGGATTTTTCCAGCAGCTGCGCCGTTCTGGAGCAACTCGGTGCGGACGCTGAAGAGTCGGGAGCCGCTGAGGTAGGAGATGAGGAGGACGCCGGAGCCGTCAGGACGGTGAATCAGCGACGGGTACAGGACGTCTCGCTTTGCGCAGCCCACGGTCGTCGCCTTGGGGAGGACAACGCGATAGCCCTGACCCGACGTCACGTCGTACACCAGAATCGCTCGGGTGGCTGCATCAGTGACGTAGATGAAGGCGCGACCGTCAGCGCTGTAATCAGCTACGACGTACTGCAGTCTCGATGTTGAGGTTGCCATTCCACTCAGGTCGATAGTCTTGACCATCTGAAGGCAGTTGTGAAGTGGGTAATAACGGGTTATTTACTCTGTTTCACTCCCCCGGTAATGAAGTGGTTTGTAAAGTGGGAAGACCTACCTTTCCAGTTTTCACGTTGATGGCTACGACCTTGGGCGAACACGTTCGCACGGGCTGGGGCTCGAGGGAGTCCACGATGCCCGTGTCGAGGACCCAGAGGATGTGCTGGGGATCGAGGAAGAGGTCCACCACGCTCTGGAATGCACCGCAGTTGCCTTCCTCCTGGACCGACCAGCAGGGGTACGGGCTCAGGCTGGGGTAACCGACCTTGCAGAACAGGGGGATGATCCCCAGGGTTATTGGGACACCTTTCTTAAATCTGTTGGTTGCATAGAAGGAGTCTCATTATTTGGTTATTCAATCGTGGGGACTATCCATTTCTTCAGTTGAAAATTTTCTGGTTATTCATATTGAGAATAATCCCGGTTTCCATCCTACCTCATCCAAATCCCATCCAATTGTTTCCTATGACGTCACAAAAATGGGGAACGCTATGTAAATTCCCTTCTTTAATGTAAAAATGAATGTTGTAAGAAGGACGGCGGAGCTCAATATGCACCAGAAATTTGAAATGGAGAAATGACTAGCAGCCGGATAGGTCAGTTGGGAGAGCACCCGATGCATAATCGGAAGGTCCCGGGTTCATATCCCGGTCTGGACTATCCATTCTTTCAGTTATTCATATTGAGAATAATCCCGGTTCCGGTCCTACCTCATCCAAATCCCATCCAATTATTTCCTATGACGTCATTAAGATATGGAACGCATTATAAATTTCCTTCTTTAATGATGTTGTCAGAAGGAGGCTGAAGCCAAGTGAACTTGGACTCTTCATTTTTAGATTTTGGAAGAAAAAAAATTAAGTCAGAGGTGAGAATTATAAAGCCTTCAGAGGTGAGAATTATATAGCCTTGACGGAAAAGTTGGTGACTGAGGTAGTGGAAAGGATAAAGATTAAGGGGGGGTTCACCTTGGAGAAATAACCTTTTCCTTTTCCGAGAAGAAAAATTGGAATAGTATTTTACGCGGGATTTTTTCTGAGGAATCCGATTTTGTGAGTCGAATTTGTCTCCGACCGATAAAAAGAGAGATTCGATTCATTTTTAATGTGGTTATTTTTCCTAATCGGATTTCGACCTATCAGAGCGCAGTATTTGAGGCTACCCGATAGTTTTATTTCAGATATTTCCTCCTAACTTTTGAATATTTCGCAATAGCTCTCTTGAAAATTCATAATTTCATGGAAAAGTCAGTGGCAAGTGTGAATTTCGGTTTAATTATTCCCGGAAAATTCATGAAAAAGCTGAAAAATTGAGAGAAATCTTGCGTTGAATTCCAGATTGCTCTGAATTTTCAGGGAATTCCTTCAAAATTCTTTGAATTCACAGAATTTTAAAGAAATTCCCAGAAACTTCAAGGGAATTCGGCAGTGAATATTCATTTTCACTTGAAAATTCACGTTAACTGTGAAATTTCCGTCTTCCAACCGCTAAAAAAATGGGACTTCACTTAAATTTTGAGAGAAACTTGAAATTCCATTGACTTGTTCTCCTTAAATCGAATTAAAAGTCTTCTTCCGGAAAATTCAACCAAATTTTTGAACAATCTACGCTTAACGCCAATATGACGTTTGACGTTGATTTTTCCCCCTAAGCCGCATTCAGTGTCACTGCCCTGAAAATTCAAAAATACATTTACCGGAATTTTCTGGTTTTCCATTCATGTTCAGGAAAAAATGGAACTGAAATTGACAGTTCTCTTTGATTTTCCCCCGAAATTGTGAATTTTCAATGACGAAATTGCTCGCAATTTCAGTGGTAATCAGATCCAATAAAAATTTCCAAAGAGTGTACGGGGAATTTCCGACAAAAATTTTCAACAGTGTACCTAGAATACCGCATAATTTTTAATTCAGTAGCGAAGCGGTAAACCGGTTTAAGTCGATTTTGACTAATGTCCAGTTTTCGACGAATATCTCGGAATCTAACAGAGATAGAAAAATGTTGATCATGACCTTTTTTATAGAGCCAATTAAGGGTTATAAAAAAGGTCATGAGAAAAAATGTGCGATCTCTCTTAGATTCCACGATATCCATCAAATACTGACCAAGAGTCAAAATTGACTTAACCCGGTTTACCGCTTCGCTACTGAATTGATTTTGTTCCCCCCGCGTTATTCACTTCTCAAATTTACCTAGGCAATGCAACAATAGCGCTGTCCTTCCAGACAACAGCGCGGGTAGCAATGACATTCTTGCTGATATATTTCCCACCATTCCTGTAGAGGCTCTCGGTGAGATCACAGGGCCAGTCAATAGGTCCCCCAGTCCACTTGGTACAGTCCTCGGAAGATGGACCTCTGGCAAGAGTGCACCCGATGGCGAGTGACACTACCAACAACTTGATTATCATTCTCTTAGTTTAATGATTAATTCAACACCGCTGACTTTAGTTGGTAAAAATAAACGACTGATAATGTACGGGAGATCCAACAATTATATATACTTCATCCTCATTTTGTTTGGAATTTTGAAATTCACGGAACCAGAATGGTGGTGTTTTTTCAAAAGAATCAGACGGATGCGTATCGTCGTTATTTCCGCATTTCCGTCAGCCGGAAGCCAGAAGATGTTTTCGGAAGGAGCTGATTTCGAAATCCCGGAAGATACGGCAAGTTTACAAAGAAATTCATGCAACATTACGTATATGCGGTTATATATACTCGTTATTCAAGAGTTGATCTCTCAGTTTGTTTCGAGGCGGTGGTTCTCGTTAATCTAAACGAAGACTGATGAAAAGAAAGATCATTGAAGTGATTTAAATTCGATTGTTCAGTGTGAAACATCGGGATTTCTCCTTTTGAAGATTGAAATAGTAATAGGATGAGGGGAACTCTGAGTGTCTCTTTCTGCCTTCTGTCCCTAGTCTCCACCGTCTTCGCTGGGTGCAAGAAGGTGCCTCTTCAGGAGCTGAGAGTTCCGTTGTCGGGAACGAACCTCGAGTGGCCCTGCAACAGCACCAAGAACATCTACGTGAGCAGTGGACGCTACATTCCCAGGAATGTCATCGTCACCAGGATGCAGATGTACAAGGACGAGGCGATTGTGGCCCTCCCGAGGCTCAAGCCGGGGGTCCCTTTCACCCTTGGAGTGGTCTCCCTGCACAAGAAGGGCAATTGCAAAATAGCCCCGTTCCCTTGTTGGGCCATCCAGGAGGAGGGCAACTGCGAAGCCCTCCAGAGCGTTATCGATATTGTGCTGGATGTACAGGACGTTCTCTGGGTTCTCGACTCGGGAATCGTTAATACTTTGACACAACCCATTAAGAGGTGCTCACCTAAAGTGGTGGCTATTGATGTTAAATCTGGAAGGGTAAATATCCGATTCATTGAAGAAGATCGGTATCTTGTGAAGGGAAGGAATTATTTCGACTGGTATATTCGTATTCTGTACACGGAGAGAAGTATTCAATAAAAATTACGTTTCTTTTGCGTAATTCCGGAGCGAAATGGGGTTGTAGGAAATTTTACGGAACTGCCATGGAATTTTTCCAGAGCGTTCCGTAATTTTTATCTAAATCTCCGATGAAAAATTACGATACCGTCACTTGAATTTTTTGAGTCGATTTCGTAGTCGATGGGCGAATTGTGAGTTCCGTAATTTTTACTGAACATTTGTCTCCGTGTATTATCCCGAGGGCTACACTGTTGAAAAAAAATGAAATTTCATGGACAGTTGACTACTGATTTTCAGGACAGTGACACTGAATGCGATTTAGGGGGAAACTAATGACATTTCAGGTTTCACTGAAAGTTCAGTAAAATTCCGGAATTTTAAGCAGCGTAAAGACGAGAATTCCTTAATTTATTTGAATTTTCAGGGAAATCTGAAATTTCATGATTTTTTTCCCCTACATCGCATTCAGTGTGACTGTCCTGAAAATTCAAGACTATATTTACCGGAATTTTTTGGTTTTTCTATTTATTTTCAGGGAAAATGGAACTGAAATTTCATTGGGAATTAAATTCGATAAAAATTTCCAAAAAGTGAACCGGAAATTTTAGACAAGAATTTTCGATAGTGTATTTAACTCGGTCAAACACAGCGAAAATGAATGTCTGAATTTCACAAGCCTTTTGTAGACATTTCCAGACCCTAAAAAATGTCTGAATAAAATGAAAATTTGTCTGAATTTATGACGAACAGGTTCCTAAACATCTTAACGATGTTTGGAATTCAGACAAATTTTCATTTAATTCAAACTTTCTTAGTGTCTGAAAAATGTCTACACTGTTAGAAATTTTTTGAAATTTGATGAAAAATACCATAATATAATTCTCGTAAGAGTGACATTCCATCGGATTTAAGTAAAATTCAAGTGAATTCATGAGTTTTAAGTGTGAGCGAGCAGAACATGAAAATTCAAGAAAAAAAATAACATGAATTTTCAATTTTTCCCTGAATTTCCCTGATTTTTATAAATATTCATAGAATAATTGAACAGAAAATCATTGGAATATTCGATTTTTCAATGACAAGATTTCCTGAAATTTCAGTGGAACTTGAACGCGATAAAAATTTCCGGAATTTGGCCCGGAAAATTAAGACGAAAATTTTTAACAGTGAAAAAAAAGTTGTGTGTCTGCTTGCCATGTAATTTATACCTTAAAGCATCTCAGGTTTGAGCGAGTAAAATAGCCCTGCGGATAATACAGAAGACTAATACTCTCGTTAAAAAATGGGAATGGCTTCTTTGGGCACAGCCAACCCCATTCCCATGCCCTCGCCACAGCCTGAGTGCTAATTCCATCCCCCAGACTCCCTCAGATCAATAAATTAATGAATTAATGCATTTTAATCAATCAGGTCGTCAAAGTTGTCAACATCGAACCCTTCATGACTGACGAGTCCCACCTCCAGAACCTCATCGTCGACTATGCGCCAGACGGCAATGTATTTCTGTACATCTCCGATCCCCCAACTCGTACCATCATCGCCTACAACGTCATCGCCGAGAGAGGTGCAAGGCTGAGCCTCCCCAGGGCCGTCAGTCTGGGATCTAATCAGCGTGATCTCATGTGCATGTGCCTCGCCAGGAAATCAGACTTCACACCAGTCGTTTACTTCTCTTACATGAACTGCAGCAGAGTCTTCAGTATCAAAGCAGAGTTCTTGAGGCGGGGAACTATCAGTAATAATGTCGTTGATGTTGGATCCAAACCCGGAAAATTCGTCGGCCTCGGCGGTGACAATGGGAGCAATCTCTTCTTCCGCAGGAAAGGTTCGTACATTTTGATTCTGACTGTATTCGTCACTTTCGAAATTTCCAATTTTTTGCGTCAGGAGTTCGTGTGTGTGTTTTTTTTCAGCCCGTCGCAGGGATGGCCATATCCATAAATTATAATTACCGTTAAATTATCAAGTAATGGATTCGGTAATGCCACTCTCAAATTTCAATTTAAATTTAGTTTATTGAAGTAATCATCAATTTAAATATTCAAATTCCGCGGTATTTATTAATCAGTAATTTAGTTGAGAAGATTGACGATTACTTGCATGGAGAAAAATATTCAATAAAAATTACGATACCCTCACTTAAATTTTCTCAGTCGATTCCGTAATCGGTGAGAGAATTGTGAGTTCCGTAATTTTTTGAAATCATCAATTGGAAATTTTAATTTTAATTATTTTCCTATTTCTAAACTTCGATTGGGATATTCAACACTTCGTTGGTCGCACCGTAAGCGCTGCGCCGCGCCGCACCACCCTAAATCGACATAATGATAAATTTGAAAGATTTAGGAAAACTCTTTAAAAAAATCAAGAGTAATCTAGATCGTATACTGGAAAAAGTCCCGTGAGATTTTTTACGACCAATGTGCCCCTTAATTATATATTCAAGCGTAAAGTTGCCATGTTTTTCTGAAAATTCGCCTTATACACGGTATACGGCTTGGAGTTTTGGAATTCAATGAATCCTTGAATTCAATTTAAAATACATCCTCATAGAAATTCATTCGGAAGCAAATTACTAATTTATTAGCAAAAACAAATTGACTATAGTTTAACCAAAATTTCTATTCCCTTAAAAAAAATAGTTTTCCTTTGTTTTCATTGCAAAATCAACAATTTGTCAATAGAAACTCGTTACCTGCAACTAAGTTCATGCCTGAAAAGAAGTTTTGATCGGACTATAGTTCAACTAAATTTTTTTTCCCATAAAAACCTAATTTCAGGCCCCAGGTTTCCATGCTTTCCATTGTCGAAATGTTGATTTCTCAATGAAAAGAATTGAAATACAATTGTTCTAAGGGAGAAGAAATTTTAGTCTGACTGCACATATTGTGAAGAAAGCAATTTCCCACTTGTTTTTCTTCCAATTGTATCTCCGTGTTTAGTTCGTTTATTAATCAATTCAATGAATCAGTGATCTAATTGAATTATTGTTTCTTCTTTTGCGCTTCAGGAGAGTCAGACATATATATGTGGAACGCCGAGACCAACTTTAGACCGGAGAACTGCATTCTCGTAGAAAAGGGCGATGAGTACCGTATGCCAACGCAAGTCGTCCCTGGTTACAAGAAACTCATGTGGACGCTGGAGAGCAACTTCCAGGATTATATTCAGGATACAGTCCCCTGCTCTGGCACCAGTGTGCTGATCCGCCCGATCGTCAAGCAGTGCGAATAATTATTGATCATAATCTATCCCTAAAGTAACCCAACAATTTCTCTCGACTTGGAAGTAATTCACGTTCGCCGAGCGGATTTCCGAGGAGCTGAAGTTCTTTTATCACAAATTTCTTTAAGTAAGATATCCAACGCTGAATATCTTATTCAAGCAATGACTCCAATAATTGAACTTCTGGTGCTCCAGTCACGAGAGATTATTGTTGTCTGATAATTAATGAACGTGACAGCAGGTTTGCTTATGGACAAAACTAACCAGTGTTTCGTTTGATTGCATCGAGTGACGCTAAATTGTCGTTTCTAGTCGCATGATAGGCAGGTGAATCAATAAAATTATCATCTTAATAAAAAATGTATCAATTTTTCGTGGATAAGCGAAATTTAATTCCCCCCCCCCCCCCGGATGCTATTCTTCAACATAACATCTGTGGACTACGGTGACCGTTAGGGCATGCATGTACGAAAAAATTCAATGGAAAACCTTAGCAGAATCGCTAGAAAATTCTATTGGAATTCTCTACAAATTCTAGAGAATCCTCGATAAAATTCTATTTGTTTTCTACGCAGATTCTACTAGACATTTAATAGAGAAAATTCAATAGATTTCGATTTTTCTATTTGAATTTTTTTCTTCAAATTGTTTTCTATTAACTCTCGACACTCGCTTAATGAGCGCAGCGCCGCCCGTTTTCGTTTCTTTTATATTTTAGAGTTTCTCGACGCTTAAAAATTCTGAAAAAATTTTGAAAAAAGAGTTCCTAGTTCAATCCTTTTATTAAGCGTTGACGTTGTCCGTTTTCTTCTCGGGAAATTTGTTTAGCTAAAAAAGCAAAGAAACGTCGAACGGACAGAAAAACGACGCCGCGCCGCCCGTTGCGAGTGAGTCCCTGCCGATCTCACGAGCGACAGCGTTGCTACATTCATTGACACACTTGAAATGTGCGCATTGCGGTAAGCGTCAAGTTGGCAACAGCGCGCTCAGTTGAACCCAGCGGCGCAGCGCTAACTGTGCGGCGGATAAAAGCTGGCGACCGGATGGACACGAATTTTCCAAGTTTTTTCCGCTATATTTGGTATTGTTTTGCATTCCAAGATCCGAATGAAATTAGAAAATTCGTCCCCAAGTATTCTTATAGAAAAAATTCCAAGACAATATTCATATAGAAAGATCGAAATCTATTGACTTTTTCCTGTCAAATATCTCATAGAATCAGCGCAAAAAAACAAATAGAATTTTAACGAGAATTCCCTAGAATTGTAATAGAATCCCAAAAGAATTCTCTAGCGAATTCGCTGTTTTTCTATTAAATTGTTTCACAGGTGAACTCAGCTAACAGCTAAATCGACTAGAATCCTTTTACCCCTTCACTACAGAATTGCTAGTTCAATCGAAAATCTATCAATTTCCCATAGTCAAGCGTCACTTAATTCCCGTTCTTTAAACAGGATGTGATTCCTTAGCATAACGTGTGATTTAGTAGTCCTTTAGAATGATTGACCAATAAAACACGCCTCCTGACCCACATCCGTTGCACACAATATCGGATCAACGAGCATGCTGGCAGATATAATTTGACAGGATCAAATGATGGATTACGATTTTTACGAGAAGAATTATCAACGAAAGAATTACAATGTAAAAGATTGCAAAAGATTTTCATTCATTCATAAAAGTCAGAGGATAATTAATTGATGAGGTTACTTCACGTCAATTACAGGCGCCTCAAGGGGCGAGTAAATTATACTTGAACACTCTGACAATCCGATCGGACAATTTCCCCGTTGCTCTACAATTTCCATATTCTCCCAAATAAGGATGTCGTGCGTTCACCAGTCCCCAGACATTTCTCTGCGCGTCCATTCTGTAATCAGTTAGACTGAGAGCCTGCTCACTCTGCAACAGAACTGCGTGACTACCTGCCTGAAAAGTAAATCAAGAAAACGAGGATAGAAAAGTGGTCGAGCCAACACCTGTTAATTAAACTAATGATATGACTCTGGGGGGTAAAAAATGGTCATTGAATCCGGTGTTGTACAATTAGGATGTAGCCTAACACTGATCGATCCCTGCAATCGATAAATACCCGTTAGGAAAGTAGCCCACGACTCTTACTTTCAAATCGTGTTTTGTATCCCATCGAACACTGGCGTGCTCGGTGACCAGGAAGTAGTGAAGGCCACCCTTTGGGTCGCAGAGCAGGCCCGAGGAAACTCCCATTTTTATGCCGTGGTAAGTTGTGTTCGTGGTCTGAGGGGGCACGAGGGCCTGGGAGTGCTCGCTTCGCAGGAGCTCCAGGTTTACGCTGAAGAGGTCGAGAAAATTGCCGCCGGTTATGAAGAGCTGATTCTTCCGGCAAATTGCGAGGTCCGTGGAGATGATTTTCGGGTGGTCCACGGGGGGGCGGAGTTTTACCGTCCACCAGGTTCGGAGGCCCGTGTGGTCTGAGGATTTTCATTTTTTTTTATTTAAGGATTTTCATTTGTTGAGTTAACATTCCGTTGGTCGCACAAACGACATAATGATTAACTTAAAAGATCTTCGGCTCGGCCGAACAAACTTTCATTGAAAACGGAATTTGTGCGGCGACGTATGTTTGAGCGCTCAATTTTGAATTCACTATTCAGTAGCGAAGCGGTAAACCGGTTTAAGTCGATTTTGACTATTGTCCAGTTTTCCCCGAATATCTCGGAATCTAAAAGAGATAGAAAAATGTTTATCATGACCTTTTTTGTGGAGCCAATTAAGGGTTATAAAAAAGGTCATGAGAAAAATTTTGCGATCTCTCTTAGATTCCGAGATATCCATCAAATACTGACCAAAAGTCAAAATTGACTTGACCCGGTTTACTGCTTCGCTACTGAATTGTAGTTTCCTCTTGAAGTTACCATTTCATCACTGGTCAATAACATTCACTTGACAAAACTGGAGCCTCATATAATTATCTGTAGAACGAATATATTTACCCGAAAAATATAGAAGTGTCTGACGAGAACAATGACTACTACAAAAATTATTGTTTTGGTGGAAACTTTCTTTTTTATCCACAAGTAAATTGGTTCAACACGACAAAAAATCTCTTCAGGGAAACATAATTTTTCGGCAGAACGAATTCTTTCTCTCAGTGCACATCTCTGCGCATTCCTTTCACTATTTACGAGGCTGTTCTAGAATATTACTTCACCTATGTTGTAAATGAGAATGGAGTTGTCCCCAGGGTCTCCAATATACGCCCTGTACCCCCGGGGTCCAACCACAGGGTCAACGAGCAAATTCCTCAATCCCTCCTTCGCAATTCCGCGCAAATTATCCCGACATATTTCCTCATTTCTCCGTAAATCGAACAGAACGATCTTCGCAGGGCATCGGGTGCTCTCAGGTGAATCCAACACCCAGAGACGGCCTCGGTTGTCTACATCCACTCCGACGATCGAGATCAAATTTGTGCAGAGGTTGCCCGACGCTTGAATTTCGACGCTCGGGTATGCTGAGACGGTTGAGTGAGGTGGATGCAGTAACGAAAGTTCGGGGGGTTGATCTGGGTACCAGGGGGCTTCCAGCAATGTCGGGTGACAGCGAGAATTATCACCCCATCTGATAAAAGGAATTAATGAGTACACGAAGCGGAAGAATTTGTGATTTCAGGAACACGTCAATGATCTTCAGTGACATATATCCCTAATTTTGAGGAATGTACGCTAAATTTTTAGAGATGCGCGGCTGTGAAATTCAATTCAGAGATTTGTTCAGTAATGTTTCGTGACATTATCACGAATTTCGAGTGACGTCGTCGCTAATTTTCAGGGACATCGTCACTAATTTTGAAGGAAATCTCACTGAAAGAAAAAAAAAACTCTCCTGGAAAACTATTATGTTCCACTAATATGTTCCACGTGGAGATATTTGATGGAGTGGAATAAATTTACTTGAGGGAAATTAACCAACTTGGTAGGAAGAAATTTAATATCTTTCACGAAAACTACTATGACAGAGACATATACATGTCTCACGAGAGCAATTATCACTGCGGAAATTGTCATGTTTTAGTGCACTGTTAAAAATTTTTCACTGAAATTTCTGGGAAGTCTTGGAAATTTTTGACAAATAACATTTCCACGGAAATTTGAAGGAATTTTGTGATTGGAAATTCATAATTTCATGGAAAAATCAGTGGGAACTGTGAATTTCGGTTTAATTATTCCCGGAAAATTCGTGAAAAATCAGGGCAATTCAGAGAAGTCTCTCGTTGAATTCCATATTCCTCTGAATTTTCAGTAAATTCCTTCAAAATTCCTGGAATTTACAGAATTTTGAAGAAATTCCCAGAAAGTTCAAGGGAATTTGGCTTTCTTGTTTGTCCGCAGATAAATTGATTCACCACGACAAAGAATCTCCTCAGGGGAACATACAATTTCTCAGCAGAATTATCGGTAGTTTTGTTGCACAACAACGAGAGGCATAACGTCTGCACCCGTAATTGGTGATAAATTCATAAAAATTATCCTTTCCTATCAACTCTACATTAACCTTGGAACAGCAAAGAACGCTCGATTCCTCCAAACCGCGAACTTCCAAATAGTCACATCATCCGAGACATTGCACTGGGAAAAATCCCACGACAACGTATAACAAACATCCGCCGCGATGAAAACCAAAACAATTTCAAACATGTTGTTGATGTGAAATATCACCACAGACTGTTGACCCTTCCTCCTCGATGTCCCTCCGCACCCATCCTCAATTCGTCAGCGAATAAATGCAGTTCAAACTTAATCATCAAAATGCCTAAAAAAATCCGCAAACTAGCTCTTTTCGATTGCCGATGAGAACGAACCAGTTTAAATGCTTATTTTGTAAATAAACCTCCAAAAATCAATTTTTAAAAGAATACGAATTCACATTTAAAGCCTGATATGGTCATTTATTTTTTTACGACCCTTCGTCACCCACAATTTTTTGTATTAGGGTCACCATATATGGTCAAAAATTCTGGATATGAGATTTTTAGATTGTGTTTATATGTAGGGGAGCGTGGGGTAAAATGAGCACTTTTGACTTTTTTAAAAATATTCATAACTCAGAAACAGATTTATCAATTGAGCTCAGTCTCAGCTCATCACAAAGAGGAATCATTGTTTTTCAATTGAAAAATAAAACTATTCCATTTCATGAACAATTCAACACGTCATGAATATTTCTAAAAAAGCCAAAAGTGTCCATTTTACCCTACCCTCCCCTATGTATGTATGTGGTCTTTTATTTTTTGTTATTCTTCTATAGGAGAGTTTTATAGAAATTCCTGGATGTTCCATCATGACTAGACTCTGATGAGCTCTATCTACGGACATAAAATAAAATTCAATTTTTCAGTAATCACTCAAAAAATTATAATCAAAACAATAAGATCATCATTATAACTTCGAGAAAACCCGCAAATACAAATAACACGATTCCATAATTTTCCGTAATCGAAAACCCATATCTTTGATACAGCGGTAATTGTACGTGGATAGGTCCACGGCCTTTCCTTCTTTCTCGAATTTTCCACAAACTCCCTGAATTTCCTCGAAATTTCAAGAAACTCCTTGAATTCTCTCGAATTTTCTAGAAACTCCCTGCTCCCTTCCTCCAAATCTCTAGAAACTCCTTGAACTTTTTCGAAATCTCAAAAAACTTTTCGAATTACCTCGAAATATCTAGAATTTTCTAGACTTCCGATAGATGGCGCTGCACATAAGGACTATTTCCGAAAATGATCCCTCATTTTGAAACCATAGACGTCATCCACGTAAAAAAACCGCGCCGCATAATTGTTCGACTGTTGATGACATCGACTCCTACCTGTGCGGCGGAAGCAACGCCGGTAATCCCCATCAAAACCCCCAACCTTCGGAAACCCCCGTAAGATGTCGGCGCCACCGTGAAAACAGTTTCGCGCGCGCGACGTGTAAAGCACGGCGTTGGTGTTCTCCTCGCAGTGGAAAACCTCCGTCAAGAAACCGCAATAATGAAGTCAACCAAGTGCCGTATGTTACGGTAGTTACCCTGCGCAATACGTCTCCCCCGACAAACCCATCCCCAATTGTTCGTGTAACTCCCAACAATAATCCGACGTTACACGAGGCAGTGCTAGTGTTTCTCCTCCCTCGCACACGAGTAAGCCTGCCGAGTGGGCAAATGGCCGCCGTATTGCCGTGTTTGCATCGAATATTTCCCACCGAGCGGTCCCCCAGGCGAAACCAATGATGTCCTAATCCCCCAATTTCCCCGGAGTGATTCCCCACGGAGGTCTCAACCCCCAAATGATCGTCAAGTGGCCCAAAACATTGAGGAAGTGAAGTGATCAGGTCAGGTGTGAGCCTTTCCCCTCAATTAAACCGAACGAAAAACTGTGCAGTCAAGGCCCCGAGTGATTGCACCCGGGCGATGAGCAGTGATAGAATCGGCCCGGTTATGAAATCAGTGTCGGAGGGTGAACTCGGTGAAATCGGTGCCACTAGAGAGCCCACAATTCTGGGCGTGGATGAGGTTAAAGATCCCCGCAATCCCAACTCGCGATTAAAAAGAACGTTCACATTGCCGAAAAATCCGTTTCAAAGTGCAACGAGAATGTCCAGAAGACGGGGTAAACAGCGTGACACCAAGGAGAACAATAACAACAGTCGTGATAGCATTAGAATGAGTGACAATGGTTTATCGAATAACAATAATTATCAGGATAAACCTGGCAAGGTATTCAGGCGGCTCTCGTGGAGGAAATTCCTCCACAAGATTGAAAAACATATGCCCAGTGTGCAGGCCCGCAAAGTGGCTAGACGCGATGACATTGCATCCAGTGCCAATGACATGAGAGTTCCACCCCCGAGGCCAGCCCACATACCCCCAGACCGAGTACCCGGGGTGATTGGTCTCAGAAATCATGGCAACACTTGCTTCATGAACGCTGTTCTGCAGTGCTTGTCGCACACTGACATACTTGCTGAGTACTTTGTGCTGGATCAGTACAAGGTCGATCTATCTAGGAGAAATAAATTGAATTCCAAGAAGTATGGAACGAAGGGGGAAATCACTGAGCAGCTTGCTCTGCTGCTCAAGGCCATTTGGAGCTGTCAGTATGATCCTGAGATGAGCACTGCTTTTAAGAGTGTTGTGGATAAGTATGGGAGCCAGTACAGGGGGAATCTGCAGCACGATGCTCAGGAGTTTCTGCTTTGGCTGCTGGATAAGGTCCACGAGGACCTTAATCAGGCTACGAAGAAGAAGTACAAGATTATTAAGGTAAATGTGGGCTGGGGAGGGTGAAGCTGAAAGTGGCGAATGATTCGACCGTAGATTTGTCTTGGGTGAATCTAGGGGTGTACCAGTGTTTTTAAGTAATGCACAAACTCTTTCGCACTTGAAAAACACTTGTGCATATGAGCAGGGGAGCGTGGGGTAAAATGGATACTTTTGACTTTTTTAAAAACATTCATAACTCAAACAGATTTATCAATTGAGCTCAGTCTAAGCTCATCACGAAGAGGAATCATTGTTTTTCAATTGAAAAATAAAACTATTCCATTTCAGGAAAAATTCAACACGTCAGGAATATTTCTAAAAAAGTCTTTAATATTTCTAAAAAAGTTTTTAAGAATTCGTTGAGAATTCGAGTTGAAGTTAGGTTTAATCAGCTGAAGTAAAAATAGATAAATTAAACGCTTTCCTGGAATGATTTCCCTTGCACTGAGGAAGAATGAACTGAATAGATCATCGCATGATGTCAGAGAGTGAATTTTTTAATTTTTTCATTCATTATCAAGGTTTTCTTTTAAAGCTTCAAACTGAGACTCGATTCATCCAGATCGTATTATCTGGTCAGGAAATATTGACGATTGAAGACGTTTCGTTTTACTGCACTCTATTTTGCCGTGGGGGACACAATGATTATAATGACTATAATTAAGTTACTTCAAGAATTTATCGAATTAAAGTTAGTTATTTGTCATCAATTAAGTATTAAGTTGTTTCGAATATTCATTCGACTTAATATAATCAAGAGAGCTGTGGGATTATGAAGCTTGTTTAGGAATATGAATGGCACCGGTCGGGAAATTATCATATGGTAGACAAACCTGTCGTAAGTCATCTTAAATCTGACAGATAAGGGATTGGAAAAGTATCCTCAGCATTCAATTTTGTCTTTAAATATAAATTGTGACAAGTTCTACTCTACTTAGATTGACTATTGAATGCTTTAAGATGACTGAAGATTACAGCATCGTAAATATAGTATTCAGGATTGGGAAAACGATAACTATGATGTCATTTGAGAATCCTTCAAGAGTCATTTTAGGAATTCGGTGAAGTAAATATAGAGAGATAGAAGCTGTTCTGGGATGAGTTCTTCTGAGGATGAATGAACCCAATAGAATAATCACCGCATGATGTTGGAGAGTGAAATTTTTCATTTTTTTTTTCATTCATTTTCACGGTTTTCTTCTGAAGCTGTACAATGAGATTCGATTCATCCAAATCGTATCATTTGTTCAGAAGATATCAGCGATTGAAGACGTTTCGTTTTACCCCACTCTATTTTGCCGTGGGGGGCCGATGATGATGATGACCATAATTGAGTTATTTCAAGAATTTATCGAGTTAAAGTTAGGATTTGTCATCAACTGAACGACTGGGATATAATGTAAATTGAGTGAAGACATTCCTGACAGTTGTTTAAAATATTCTTTCGTCTTAATCAGATGATTAAAAGGTATGAGATTATAGACGCCATTCGATATGTTTTGTAATCGTAATACCATGTGATACTGTTGATGATGACGATAGCATCAGTGTCTCGGAGACTGATCGAGGCACATGTTGAGAGAGAGGTTTATTTATGACGCTTGGATAAGGAATGTGGGGAGATAAATTAGTCCGAGAAATTCCAATTTTTCCATATTTCTTTGGAAGAGGTCGTCTGTCGTTTTATTTGTATATAACGGAGCACTACAGATGCCGTTAGGCGGCGATTGAGGATGCTTCGAAGTTGTCCAGTTTACGATTCTTGGTTCAACAGTTTATGATGGGATTTCGGGGGATTCGGGCGTGATTAGGAGGGAAATGATGCAATGACGGAGGGGGGAGAGTGGGCTTCAGTGTGGGCGAGTGAATCATCTTCACATTGAACTTTCAGGCCAAACAATAGTTTTATTGAACTTTTTATAGCCTTGGTGGTTCTCATGAGTCATCGTGTACGTAATATTAGATTGGTGTATGATGATGATGATTGCATGGTGTTGTTTTTGCGGAATTTGGTACTACAGTGAGCAAAATATTTTTGTTTGTTTTGAGAAGGTTGAGAATTTGATTAATATCTTTTTGAGGGAGAAGGGGAAATTTTTTAGAACAAATTGTTTTGCAGAGTTAGAAATCTTCATTAGAGTTAGCCCCGCTTTCTGGAGACTGGTTTTTTAGCTGATTTGCGAGACTTCGGAGGAAGTTACATTGTTAGAAGAAATTGAAATTTCAGGGATAACGCGGCAGTAAGTTTCGTGAGAGAGACTATGGATTTCGATTTAAGGAACAAAATGGTTATGGAATTTCAAGTTTACGGTTGAATTGCAGTGAAGTTCCGAGTTTCAAGGGGAAATAATATAGAAATCTCACAACTTAATCGAATTATCTACCAAATGTGAATATTCAAAATCGAATTGTCCTGAATTTTGAGCATTTGCACGGAATCATTGAACTGCTATAAATCTAAAGCTTTCATGATTTTATTTTAATATGATACAATGAATGGTATACGTGATTTCTCAATGACGGGATTTTCTGAAGTATCGGTGGAAGCGTCATATATTGAGAGTAAGTGACACGAACGAATTCAGAAGGCAGTTTCCAACCGTGTAATGTCTACAACGAAATGCCCATAAAATGAAAGTTTATGGACCATCGATTTTTTTTTAAGGCGACATGTATTCAATTTAAGGGAAAAATTGAGAAATTTCAAATTTCACTACAATCTCAGTGGAATTTTACATTTTTTGGCAGGAGGCAGACAAGAATTCTCCAATGGCAGTGTCTATTCACACGCTCCACGGTAACTTTGACCGTGGATATACGGGACGTTTTCCCGTGGATTCAAGGTAGTTTCTACCGTGGATATACGGAAGATCGTGGACCCTCAACTATTACTTCTCAAATTAAATCTAGACAATAAACTAGACACATCGAATCAATTGATAAGTGATATGGAGATAGTAGACTAGTAAACAATTTTCTCGAATACGAATATTTGAAGGCCGTGACTATTCGCACCATTGCGTGAATCACTCCCGTACACTCCATACACTTCACGCATGCGTGAAGTTTGTGTGTTTCACGCAGCCGAATTGTCATACTGCTGTGTATTTCACGCAGTTGAAGTTTCATACTACTGTGTGTTTCACGCAGTTGAAGTTTCATACTACTGTGTGTTTCACGCAGTTGAAATTTTATACTACTGTGTGTTTCACGCAGTTGAAATTTTATACTACTGTGTGTTTCACGCAGTTGTATTTTTATACACCTGTGTGTTTCACGCGTTTCACGCAGT